AAGGCGACTCCAGCAGCTTCTCAACCCTTTGGGATGTCCGGGATTGTCTACGTATGGCCCTGCTTCCTGGCGGACGTACCTGTGAGAGTTGTCTCGATCGCAAGAGGGCCGCCTACCTACCGTGTACTTGGCTATGACTGGTGTTCCGACGACATAGGACCCTTTGGTTCACGACATGCGGATGAGTTCATGGCAACCCGAGTTAGGATTATCCGACAAGGAGTATGTATGCTGATTGTATATACCAGGAGAAACCAAGTAGTCAGTAGTTATGCCAACTGAACGCGACCCTACCTCGGGTTCTTAATGTCTTCCTACGGCAACAGTTTTGACTTCGTTGCCTCCCCCAACCGGCGCCTATTATGCAGGACATCAAGGCGACTACTTTTGGGGTTATCGACGGCCTTTTCTCCGGTAGGTGAGCGGCATTGAATTTTGCCCAAGAGCGGAATTCGTGATCTTGGGTTCGGCTTCGCAGGATGTACCGTGTGCATGACTCTCCTTCATTTCAGAAGGCAGCGATGTATCGATCTCGACTGTCCTAAGTAATATTTTAAGCAGGCTTGGCTGCTCATGGCTAGACTATCGTTGATTCTGATTTTATTTCGGGCAGATCGGCTCAGAACTGGGTACGGAAGGACAAAAAGTTGACGAAGCAAGCCCTCCGAAAGCCATTTCGACGCTGGTATTGACCATGATCGCGCCTGACCCTGCACCTTGTGCGGTTCCTAAAGTACTTTTCCACATGGGCGTCGGGGTTGGGAATCGAGCTCTACTGATATGCCGCATTGGAATTCCTGGCATCGTAGTCCAATTTTCCCAGACAATTCAACAAAGTTTTCGAGCTGAAGGAAAACATGTATGCCTTTCCCTGACGACTACATCACTGGGTTCTAACCTACCATCGGTTGCTTTTAGCTCATCTTTCTGCGTCTTTCCAGATTTTTTGTATTCGTATGGAGCAAAGTCACTTATACTCGGGGCAATGGGAGTACTGGGGCCGGGGTTTGAGAGGTCATAATGACCACCTCCTCCTCGAGCTTTTGCGTTGGTGATACTAGGACTCCTATTTTTCCCTTAATAGAGGTTGCAAAATGTTCGTCGATGGGTGCTAGAGACGCAAATTTCATACTGAGGCCCTACAGCTTAAAGGGAACTACCCTCCTCTAATCGTCCGAAATATCGGCAGTGAAACTCCTTGTCTGCCGAGTCATCTGGACCTAGTCTTCTCCTCTGGCTGCGGGAAAATTCGCCAGTGATTACAGCTCGTGAATATGGCAATTCCTCCACTGCGGCTTGAAGTCCATGGTATTCACCTACACCCGGCATTGCACCCTCGGCAGAGGACGTCCTTTCATCCGCAAGATCCTTTTCCTTCCACTTCACCTTCCTCCGCTGGCGCGCTCTAGAGGGGTTTGCCTTCAGCGAGAACCTCACGAGCGAGTTTCTTCTCTTCAGAAGGCGGGCGACTCAGACACCTCCTCTCTGCTGGTTTGAGAGACTTCCACGACTTGTCCCTCCACCATGGCCGGTCGCTATCCTCACCTACGGGTGCGAAGTAGCGTTGGAAGCCGAATCTTTGGCCCGTATCCGCGCTTGTTGTTTGTCGACCGCCGTCTTTCTCGCCGGCGGTTATACCACGAAAGCGTGATGGCGAACGAATTGGCACTGGCTTTGATACTAAGAGGTGTGAGCCCCGTAATTCCCTTACCAGCTCTCTCAGAGAAGGAGAGACTGGCCAAATACTCGGGCTAACACGAGGCACGTCGATCTGTTCTACTGGTATTGCGTGCACTGGGGGCCGTTTTATTGCTTCATTGGTCCATGATGGGCTACGCGTGATGGCGCTGCGAAAGGGATCGACCAAGGAATTGATGCGGTACCTCTGAAATATGTTGCGAAGCGAAAGCGGGAGAACAAATTCCTGGTATATTTTCGCAAAGTCTTTCACTGAATCCCTTTCTTGGTACGTAGGAAAGAAGTTGGATATCGGGCGGGGTCGCTAGATGGAGTCTTACCAGTTCCTGTTCAGCTGGTGAACTTGCTTGGCGCAAAAATTGACGAAGTCTACAGAAGGAACCTCAGAGCCTCAGATGGGAAAGAGAAGGCGGATTGTGGACATACTAAAGGGATAGAAATTGGATCATGAAAGGCGTCGTCATTGCAGGGTAAGCAAGATGGCCATGAGAGAGGAGTCCACAGCGAGGATTTGAAGTTTGTTGGCGCTTTTGGTTTGCAAAGGTTTTGCAACAAGGGGTCGATAAAAACGTTTGGAACAGATAGGCAATTATGGTGATTGAAGTAGCCTTTCGTGATTCAACACAACCTTATATATACCGTCCCAAAGCCGTCACTGTCACCAGCACCTGCTCGTAAGTATAACCAGGGCCCCCTCAACCGAAGGTTTTTGGAAGAATAAGGTAGTACCAACTCTAAAATAAATACCCGAATGAAGTGGAAGTGCTGGCTAATGAGGGGCGCACTGTTCGATTCCGGGCAGGAGCGTGAAGAAAAAGGTCAGTCATCCCCCCATTACTTCTCTTTCTCTTTGCCCTTCCCATCACCTTTCTTTGCCCCCCTGCTTGATGTTTAATGATTGGGATCGGCTCACTTGGATGCTAAACGTCCAAATATGATCATGCACTGAATGTAGACGAATAGCCGGTGGGGTCTTCGACTGAAAATGGTCGGCGGCCTTCCTTTGCACACTAGCTCCTTCCACTTGCTTCGCGCCTCTAGTCATATTGAGCTGTGTCTAAATGAAAGATGGAGAAGAAAGAGCATGACAATTCATTATGTGGCCAGAACCGAACCATATTTATTCTCTAGTGTTTTCAGCCAATAAAAAATTGATTCTCGAAATGTCAAGAGTACCGGCTCTGAGAAGATAGACTGGCACTTACACAATGGAAAGGAGGGAGGTGAAGTTGGGTTCCCCCCGCTAATGACTAAGCTACCTAGCAAGGGGGCCATCCCGGCAATTTACGCGAGAAAACGCGTCCCAGACGCGCCCTCCTTCAGCAGCGACGCCCGCCCGCAAAGTTGCCCCGGTAAATTAGGTTGCCCACCAAGACAAAGTGAGCAATACTATCAGAACAACCCATGAAGCTGTCACCTTCAAACACCCTCTCCGATATAGCGATGCCTCATTCCGTGTCGCCAGAAGCAAACTCACCATCAAACGTTACCGCCGTTGCCGACGACACAATGGCCAATTCTACCACCCTCGATAATGTCACCCAGGCAACGGACGGCGACGTCGCGATGGAGGAAGCAGAGGCGCCTGCGACGGTCATCGAGGAGAAGAACGAGGTCAAGCTGGACGATTTATTCGCAGACGCAGACTCAGACGACGAATTTCCCAATTCAAGGCCACAAGAGGCATCCTCGCCAAGTTCCGACGGGATCCTTACACCCCCTTCCCCAACGTGGGTTATCCGGCATAGAATGGAGGGGCAGTTGCTAACATCAGGCGCAGAGATGTCGCAGACCTTAAGGCATCAGATCCCGAGGTGATGCGCAGTTTCTACCAGCGCTTATTTCCCTGGAGATATCTCTTTCAATGGCTGAACCATAGCCCATCGCCGACAAACGACTTTGGCCACAGAGAATTCGCTTTTACACTGCAGAACGACGCATACCTACGATACCAGTCCTTTGCAAGCCACGACCTGTAAGTCGAACATGATCTTTCTGTCCCATTTTCGCGAGGTGTATAGCGGCTGACTTCACGCCATAGCCTCCGCAAGGATGTCCTCCGTCTCATGCCCTCCCGTTTCGAAATCGGCCCGGTGTATACCACGAACCCTCGCGACCGCAAGACCCTCCGCAACGCGAGCGCCTTCAAGCCTCTAGCCAAGGAGTTGTGCTTCGATATCGATTTGACAGACTACGACGACATCAGAACGTGCTGCGACAAAGCGAATATCTGCATCAAGTGCTGGCAGTTCATAACAATGGCAATCAAGGTCGTCGACGTCGCGCTGCGGGACGACTTTGGATTCAAGCACATCATGTGGGTGTACTCTGGACGGAGAGGTGCCCACGCGTGGGTATGCGACAAGAAAGCGCGGACGATGGGCGATCAGATGCGGAGATCCATCGCGGGGTACTTGGAAGTTCTCAAGGGTGGCGCGCAGAGCGGGAAGAAGGTCAACCTGTGGCGGCCGCTCCATCCTCATGTTTCGTAGGTGGTATGTCGCTGCTCAGCACGGCGGATTGCTAACACGTAGCTACAGACGGAGTTTGGAAAGTCTCAAATCCCATTTCCAGGAAGACGTACTTGAGGCGCAGGACCCTTGGGCCTCCAACGAGCGCGCTGAGCGTCTGCTTCAGCTCCTTCCGGACAAGGACCTCAACGAAGCCCTCCGCAAGAAGTGGGACGCAGCGCCGGGTCGGTCGTCCATCGCCAAATGGGCCGACATTGACACCGTGGCCAAGAGCGGCGCAAGCAAGAAGCTCGACGCGAAAGCGCTGCTCGAAGCCAAGCAGGACATTGTGCTCGAGTATACGTATCCGCGCCTCGATATCGAAGTCAGCAAGAAGCTGAATCATTTGCTCAAGTCGCCCTTTGTCGTCCACCCCGGCACCGGCAGGGTGTGCGTGCCGATCGACACGAGCAAGCTCGAGGACTTTGACCCGCTGGCCGTGCCGACGGTGCAGAGCTTGCTGGCGGAGATTGACGCGTGGAAGGGCGGCGACGAGGACGCCGAGGGTGGGTCGCAGCAGAAGAGCGTGCAGGACTGGGAGAAGACGAGCTTGAAGCCGTACGTGGAGCAGTTCCGATCGTTTGTCATTGGCTTGATGAAGGATGAGAGAGACGTCAAGGTCAAGAGGGAAAGGGAGGAGGACAGCATGGAATTTTAAAGCAAATCGATACGACTTTGTATGATGGGTCTCTTGGTTAACGGGTCGGTGTTTGTGGTCTTTGAGTCTTTTTTCTCTCTTCCAAACAGCAAAAGGGGGTATTCTATCACATTTTAATCGCCAGCCATTCCTGGCTATGATGTACTCACTTCATCCTTCACACTCTCCTGAGCCGCCTCTGTTGAGACAGACGCCGCCACATTGTCAGTGATGGTCTGCTTCTCATCTACATCCTCGTCATTCTCTTCCTCAAACCTGCTATCCTCAACCTCGCCTTCGCCCTGGGCAACCGGCGTTCCACCGGCACTGCCCGTGCCATCTTCTTTCAGCTTCGCCTCCTTGCGTTTGGGAATAATCTTGAGGAACGCCTCGGCCCAGCTGCCGGTCTCGAGCCAGTTGAGCATAATCTCCACAACATGATTCGTCGCCAGGACCCGCCGACTCGACAGGTTCATGTACTCCCCGATGGGCAACTTGGCCGTCCGGATCCCCATCTCGCGCGCGCGGCGGTGGCATAGGCCCTTTTCTCTGTTCCTGTCCACGAGGCCGCCGATGACGTAGCTCGTGTTCGGCTCGAGGCGGTCGAGGGTGTTGACGGAGTCGGAGGAAAGGTAGACGATGTTCTTGAGCTCGTCCGCGGGTTCGGGTTCGGGGTCCGGGCTCGGCGCGTCATCGAGAATGTCTCTAAACACGGCCGGTTTCTTGGCGGCTGTGCCATCTCCCCCCTCCGCGGGTTGGAGCAGATCGATAATCTTACCGCCGCGGGGGCCACTCATCAGCTCGTCCGCGTCCTTGGCCGCCGCGACAAAGTCCCCCTCGACGAGCTTCACGCCCTTCCAGTGCACGTGCTGACTCCCCAACGTCCCCTCGAACCGCTCCTTCAGCTGCCCCCCGTACGAGCTGACGTACAGGTGTGCGCGATACCGCGACTGGCGGTTGTCCGAATAGGACCGCGTGATCTGGCTCGCGAGCGAGACCTGCTCCTTCTCGAGCATGTACTTTTCGAAAGCGCAATCGAGGATCAGGGTGATGGGCACCTGCGTCGGCGGCACCCGGGGGGTCTTGCGCCGCGGCGGGATGGTGACGGAGGCCGGGTCGAGACCCTTGGCTTCGGCTTCGGCCACGGCGGCGGCGAGCTCTTCGCGGCGGGCGACCTGTCTGTCGTGGCGCTTGTCCTTGCGCTTGCGCTTGCGATCTTCGCGGCCGTCCTCCCACGCGGCCTTGCGCTTCATCTTTCGGAGCTGGTTCTTGGAGATTTTGGGTTCTTCGGCGGTGCCAGGGGCAGAGGATTCCACGTCGGCTTCCTCGCCTTCCTTTTCCTCGGCAGCTGGCGCTCCTCCCTCGACGTCGCCATTGGCGGCCGAGGAAGCGACGGCGACATTTTCTGGACCGTCTTCGGCCATCGTGAGGACCTTGGCTGGCTGATTGACGGGTTCTGATACGGAGGTGTCCATTGTTGCGGTGGTCGAGGTGGACGTCGGTGCAGAGTTTAGGTAGCGAAGTGGGGGACTTTTACGAAATTTTGGCGATGACCACCTCCGATGGTGGTTGCCCAGCAAGTGCGCTTGCCCAGTGGGCAGCTTGGAGAAATACGCTAAGCCTTTTGGGGCGTGATGCGGGGCAGTTGGAGCTGTGCTGCTCTCCTTTGCGGCGGCGCGACAGAGAACTCGCGTTCTGAGCTGCAATGACCTGGGCAGCATGAACGCGGGGCTGTCTGGATAGGTAGTTTATGATGGATGAAGGAGTGCTTAGGAGACAGCCCGATGCCCGTGGGAATGCAGTATCTTGGATAAAGTGAGAGATGGAATGGCGGAAGACGCTGAATGGCTTGCCACCCAATCCACCTAGCCAGAGACTTGATGCGCAGACCAAGGCAACGTACCTACCTCAAGGTATAGATAGGATGAGGGTTCTCCTCATGGAGGTGAGAATGAATTTCTAGAAATTGACGGCGATGCACCAAGTCTGAGGCTTAGGCCATAGGAAAGCTCGCTGGATGGTATGACTACCTATATGAAGCAGCACCTTACGTTACCTAAGGTAGGTAAAGGTAAGGTCCGGTACCTTAGCCCCAGGTGCCCAGAAACGTTTCTCAGGGTACAGCCACTGTTAGCAGCGGCAGATCTCAGGGCGGTCAAGCTTCTAGTACCACGTCTAGACTAGCGCCTTCGCGTCGCGTCCTCCCGCTAGATAGATTTCCAGACGCGCCACTCTGGTAAACCACTTTAACTTCGCTCGCTCTAGGGAAGCACCACACGCCGGGTGCCACTTACGGGTTACACCACCTGAACTGTTCAACTCGACTTTGCTTTCCGTCTTTTCCTTCGCTATCCAGTTCTTCCCGATACCCTTCTCACAATGTCATCCAGGCCGGAATTGAAGGTTTGTTGTCTGGTCAATGGTGACTCTAAACGATCGCTAATACGCCACAACCTTAGGTCGACGATGAACACGGCTTTATTCGCTTGTTCAAGTCCCTCCCGGCCGTCCACGAAGATACAGTCCGCATATTCGACCGAGGCGATTGGTACACAGCACACGGCGAAGACGCCAACTTTATTGCCCGCACAGTACGTCTTATCCTCCGCGTTACAGCTAGCCAAGGTCTGACGTTTCCTAGGTCTACAAGACGACGTCCGTCGTGAGGACACTCGGCCGAGATGAGAAGACAGGGCTCGCCTCCGTTACAATGACGGTCACGGTCTTCCGGCAATTTCTTCGTGAAGCTCTATTCAAGCTGGGCAAGAGGATTGAGATCTGGGAAAGCATCGGCGGCCGCATGAACTGGAAGGTCGTCAAGCAGGCCTCGCCTGGCAATCTGCAGGATGTGGAGGAGGATCTGGGGGGTCAAATCGAGGCAGCGCCGATGATGCTTGCCGTCAAAATATCGACAAAGGCCTCAGAGGCCAGAAGTGTGGGCGTCTGCTTCGCCGATGCCAGTGTGCGGGAGCTAGGTGTCAGTGAGTTCCTCGACAACGACCTGTTCTCCAACTTTGAGGCCCTCCTCATCCAGCTGGGTGTCAGAGAGTGTCTTGTCCAGACCGACAAGGCCGATAAGAACAAGGATCCGGATCTGGCGAAGCTCAAGCAGATTATCGTCAATTGCGGCGTGGCCGTCTCAGAGCGGTCTACTGGCGAGTTCGGCACCAAGGACATTGAGCAGGACCTGGCACGTCTTTTGAAGGACGAACGGGCTACCGCTCTCCTTCCACAAACTGATCTCAAGTTGGCCATGGGCTCAGCCGCGGCGCTTATCAAGTACCTAGGCGTTCTCCATGATTCGTCCAACTTTGGGCAGTACCAGCTGTACCAGCATGATCTCTCACAGTTCATGAAGCTGGATGCAGCGGCACTCAAGGCTCTCAACTTGATGCCTGGCGCCCGCGACGGTGCCAAGTCTATGAGCTTGTACGGCCTGCTAAACCACTGCAAGACACCTGTCGGTAGCAGATTGCTGTCACAGTGGCTCAAGCAGCCCCTTATGAACAAGGGGGAGATCGAGAAGCGCCAGCAGCTCGTCGAGGCATTCGTCAACGACACCGAGCTGCGACAGACTATGCAAGAGGAGCATCTTCGCTCTGTGCCGGATCTGTATCGCCTCGCCAAGCGATTCCAAAGGGGCAAGGCAAACCTCGAGGATGTTGTTCGCGCGTACCAGGTCATTATTCGTCTTCCCGGATTCTTGGGAACCCTGGAGGGCGTCATGGACGAAGCCTACAGAGATCCCCTTGATGAAGCGTACACAACCCCGCTTCGTGAGCTTTCCAATAGTCTTGCAAAGCTTTCGGAGATGGTGGAAACAACGGTCGACTTGGATGCACTGGACAACCATGAATACATCATCAAGCCAGAGTTCGACGACAGCTTGAGGATCATCAGGAAAAAGCTCGACAAGCTCAAGAGGGATATTGACCAACAGTTCTCGGATGCGGCTCGCGATTTGAAGCAAGAAGTCGGCAAGAAGATCTTCCTCGAGAACCACAAGGTCCACGGATACTGCATGAGACTCACGAGGCAAGAAGCCGGTGCGATCCGGAACAAGTCGGGTTACCAGGAATGCTCAACACAGAAGAACGGTGTCTACTTTACGACGAAAACCCTGCAAAGCCTCCGTCGTGAGTTCGACCAGCTCTCGCAAAACTATAACAGAACCCAAAGCAGTTTGGTCAACGAGGTCGTTGGCGTAGCCGCGTCATACTGCCCAGTCTTGGAGAGACTCGCTGGTGTCCTGGCACACTTGGACGTCATCGTTTCCCTCGCGCACTGCTCCGTCCATGCACCCTCAGAATACGTCCGCCCCAAAATTCACAAGCGAGGCGAAGGCCAGACAATACTAAAGGAGGCCCGCCATCCGTGTCTGGAGATGCAAGACGACGTTCAGTTCATCACGAATGACGTCTCTTTGACTCGCGACAAGTCTTCATTCCTCATCATCACCGGGCCCAACATGGGCGGAAAGTCGACGTACATTCGCCAGATTGGCGTCATCGCCCTCATGGCCCAGATTGGCTGCTTCGTCCCCTGTAGCGAGGCTGAGCTGACCATCTTCGACTCCATCCTGGCACGCGTGGGTGCCAGCGACTCCCAACTCAAAGGCGTATCCACCTTCATGGCGGAGATGCTGGAGACGGCCAACATTCTGAAATCGGCGACGGCTGAGTCACTCATCATTATTGACGAGCTCGGTCGCGGCACATCGACGTACGACGGCTTCGGTCTCGCATGGGCCATCTCGGAACACATTGTCAAGGAAATTGGATGCTTCGCCATGTTCGCGACGCACTTTCACGAGCTGACGGCACTGGCGGACGACCATCCGCAGGTGCACAACCTGCACGTCACTGCGCACATTGGCGGGGGCGGGGGCGACAGCGAGAACAGCAAGCGCGAGGTAACGTTGCTGTACAAGGTCGACGACGGCGTGTGCGACCAGAGCTTCGGCATCCATGTCGCGGAGCTCGTCCGGTTCCCCGACAAGGTCGTGCGGATGGCGAAGCGCAAGGCCGACGAGCTGGAGGATTTCACGTCCAAGCACGAAGACCTTGGGCTCAAGTATAGCAAGACGGATATCGAGGAGGGTAGCGCGCTGCTCAAAGAAGTGCTGCTCAAGTGGAAGGAAGAGGTTGCCGCAGGGCAGTTGAGTAAAGAGGAGATGGTTTCCAAGCTGAAGGGCCTCGTCATGGCCGACGAGAAATTGCTTGCAAACCCCTTCTTCCAGTCTGTCAAGACTTTGTGAGAGTCGGACCTTGAAGGCTTCTCTGGTTTGACTAAGGTAGGATGTTTCGGTATGCGCATGGCGTTTGGGGTCTAGGTCACTGCTGTACAATATAATGATCAAAACGCTAGCTTCTCAAAGAGATTGACTTTTATTGAAGAAGATTGAGCTACATGGGAAAGTGTAGAAAAAGATAACTAGTTCCTCAACAAGATGATGCCATTGGCAAATCATGGTGAAACAGAGTGTACCTAGAGACATGAGTTTGTCAGTGCCTTGTACAGCGCATCATCAGAGGGTAGATATCGTGGTGCAAGCGAGGAAACGAATCAGACAAATGATAAAACGGTAAAATTTTGAATCATCAAAACATTCATAAACAGCCTCTGAAGCTGAGGATCATCATTGGAACAGGGTAGAGGTAGTGGAGGGGAAGAGACGAGCGTCAAACATACCATAATTACCGCGTGTAACGTCACCAGTGACGAAGACTCGATCATCAATGGCAAATAGCATGTCAGGATCACGGTTGAAATGGAAGCATTGTGTATGAAACCTAGGAACGGAATTAGCAACCTGCAATAGGAGTACAAACGGTGTTCGAAATTGAGAGAAAAGTGGACAGGTTGCAAGGAAATCAGAAAGTGATAGAACGGTGATGTTTCGAATCATATTGATAGTAATCATAAACAGCCTCTGAAGCTGAGTCTCATCATGGAAAATTGCAGGGTTGATAAAGACGGATTTTGGTGTTGCTGGAGGAATGAGACTTACCGTTCAAGTGGGAGCCAGGGCAGGTACTGATTCTCTTTGGTAGGAGATGGGAAAGCTAGCTGGGGGAGGGAAAGTCAGTGAAGGATTCCCCAGATATTGTGCTAAAATATGATGTGTAGATTGATAATGTAATCAGGAAATAAAGATAGAACGGTGTAAAGTTTGAATCATTGTGTGTTCATAAACAGCCTCTGAAGCTGAGTTTCATCATGGAAGAGGGGTTTGATGTGATTTGAGTTGCAAGACGAGGACTTACCACCACTTCGATATGGGCCCCCAGCGGCCGTGAGTAAGCAAGCACACATCCACACAGAATCGACGGGACCAGTTGAGTTCAAGGCTCGAGAATTGTGAGCTGTCTGAGTAGTTGTTAGTCGGTGCCGAGCCATGATCGATGCGGGAATTTAGGAGGTTGTGGTGTAATAAAGATCAGAAAATGATAGAACGGTGATGGGTCGAATCATAAAATAATTCATAAACAGCCTCTGAAGCCAGTGATTCATCATGTCGACGGGATTGAAGGGTTAAAGATAGTTCAAAACTTACTAGCTTTTTCTGCGGACTATTGAACCTGGCAGGCCGACGAGATCGAGAGATGCAGCGCCCTCGTCCATTAATATGCGGTTGGTGATGAACCCCTTGAATTGCGCACTCGAGCTCTGTTCTTCGCTTCCCGGTTATGTACTCATGTCCAACGCGGGTTTCCAGCCAGCTTTATGGTGCCTGAGGTGTCGTTGTCAGTATAACTTGATAGGACGACAAAGACGCAATGTTAATGGAGGAGATGGAGTTGTAATCAGACAAATGATAGAACGGTGATGGGTCTAATCATGAAGATCATAAACAGCCTCTGAAGCTAGTGTATCATCATACAGGTGATGGTAGGAAAGCAAAGCAGAAGATTTGACTTACTACAACGCGTAAGGTTGATCTGGGCCCAGATGTAGTATTATGTTGGCTTGAAAACGAAGTCAGTGTCTGTCTCAAGCAGCTACATAAAGAAAATCGTATTTTGAATCGCAAATCAGACGAGATAGATAGAACGGTGATGTGTTGAATCATATAGATCATAAACAGCCTCTGAAGCTTGGATATCATCAGGAGAGAAGGAGCAATAAGACGGAATACGTAGGACTCACATTGAATATGCTGATGGCATGGTTCGAAGGCTCCGTTCGACATGGTGTTGTGAGGCCTTGATTAAATGTTAGCTTGGCTAAGGCTGATGAAATCCACGACGATGAGAATTGAAAAGCCAAGTCAGACAAATGATAGAACGGTGATGGGTCGAATCATGAAATAATTTCATAAACAGCCTCTGAAGCTAATGTATCATCATAGTAAGGGAAAACAAGTGAACAAAACAAGCTTACCCATGGGACTTGGAATTGTAGTAATAATGATGAAAGACTTGGCATGGTTCGTTGCTGCTAGAAGCCGAGCTTCGTGTTAGCGTATGTCGCGGACGAGGAGATGCAAGCATTGCAAGTAAACCAACTTAAAATCAGACAAATGATAGAACGGTGATTGGTCGAATCATAAAATGTTTCATAAACAGCCTCTGAAGCTATTTTATCATCATTGAGGTTGGCAGCAGCCAGCATCATAAAAGGACGTACCGTTATTGAGACGCAGTTGGCGTGCGTCATTGGAGACAGGCACACAAATCACGCGGAAGCTCGGAGAGCATGGGAAAAAATAGTACAATTCTCCATTTCCTCTAGCCGATGAGACTCCTCTTCTTGTGCCCACGTGTTTCGCAGGCTGTGTGTATGTACAAGCAACGGGAAATAAAAGAGCATGCCTCGCTGGGCTGGGTGGTAGATGGGTGATGGTGGTGGTGTTGGCGTTGACAATGTTTCGTTTGGGTTTCTTTTACTCGACAGTCGCCTTGACGGGGTTGATCTCAACTCCGTACTTCTCCTTGAGCCGCTCGCGTCTCCGCTCCTCGTAGCCCGGCGGCCTAATACCTGCGAAGTGTCAGCCTTCCATGGGATATCAAGCCCCGTGCTCCGAAAGTTTAACATACCACGGCCCTCGCCAAGCTCTGCAATCGTCTCCTCGATCGGGCGTCTCTTGGCAGCGCGCTGAGCGATCTTGCCATCGAACTCGGCTTCCTCTACCTCGGCCGTGTCCCACCCTCTAAGGCGTCCGCCGGTGACCTCGAAAACTCCTTGCCATGCGCCGAAGGCAGCACCCAGGCCAAGCACGACGGGCATTCTTCTGGCTGTTCAAGGCGCAATTCGTAAGTATCCTATCTTACTTGCAGCTTTTCATACTCGGAGGATGTATCCATACTTGTCATTCCGAGGATTGAACCGGCGACGAAGCCGGCAGTCGCGGTGTTCCACGGATCATCCTTTTCTCTCAGGTTGGCCATTGCCGACTTTGTGAAGCCGTATGCGCCGCCACCGATCGCTGCGCACATTCGTTAGCAATGGAGCTCTTACGATAAGGATTGACGCAGGGCAATTGGGCGACGTACCCATTACGGCGATAATGCCGCCGCTACGAGTGAAGACGGACATGGCGCCAACATTCTGCTTCTGGAGGGCATTGTGGACAGCGGCAATGAAGAAACCGGCACCACCAAGGGCGACGGAGGACGAGATGCCTGCCTTGATGGCGTCCTTGGGGTGGTACGTATCGTGGTCGCCGGCCATGGTTGCGGGGTGGTTCGGAGTCGCGGGCCAGACACTCAATTGGAAAAGAAGTTGGTGAGGGATGTTGCGGAAGTTTGAGGTCAGGTTGAAGCTCCACGACAGGTGCTCCACCTCCACGTCGGTCACGTGTTTTCATTCGGTGTGGAGCCAATCACACTACGTGTAAATGTCAACTGCCTCTCCCCTCGGTGTGTACCGGTGTTTCGTGTCGGGATGCTGTGCTGAAAAGCGATCTATATATGAATAAATCCGGATCCTATGATTCTATTTGGAGTATTTAAAACAAAAGACGTTTGCGTATGCTTCAGATTTCTCAGTCCTTCTCGAGGTTCCTCGGTGGGAAGAGGAATTGGGTGCTGCAATTGGCTTAAGAGCATGACTCAGCTTCTCTTCCCATCCATCATTCAAGGTCACTCGCCAAGTCACCTGATCAGGATCCCGAGCTGGAACGCTGGAGCGTCGATGGAAGCCACATCCCTGTATTCCATGTGATTCTAGCCACAGGCGCCGTACCTTAATCGCTCCATGCCGAGCCAGGGAGTGGGAGACCTGAAGGAACTCGGCAGGCGGTGACTAGGTAGTTTGGGTGGCCACATAAGGTACCTTCCAGTGTTCACAGTGACATCCCATTACCTTATCCGCCTCACTGGGGAAGCTTCGCTGGCATAGTTCCTTCCAGGTGACCTAAGCTCCTTTCATTTACTTGCGACGGCGTGGTGCAAGGCTGCAAGCTGCGTCAGCCTGTCCACGTCTCGATCCCCGCCACACCACCCTGCCTGCCCACCTCAAGCTCGCATGAGGTAGCTCATGCCCGTGCGTCCCTGTCGTCGACGCATTGAAGCTGGCGTAATTGTTTACCGTCTTCTTTTTCGGACAGCTTTAACGACGTCGTCGTCGTCGTCTTTCCTCAGGGTCTTCAGTCTTCTTACTTGTTTGCCTCTGCATCTAGATACCCCAAGCTCTCCTGCCTGCATTCTTCCCGTCGCCGCTGTTTCTGCCGCTATCCCCCGCATACAACTGCACCGCCCATTTGGGCGTGGCCTCCGTCTGTAGCCGGCTCGACAAACACTCCAGGCCACAAAGCCAAACCATACTGCCTCGACAAAAGACGCCCCTCTGCTGTTCGTCATTTCCTCTGCAAAAACAACTTGGCCTCGTGTTTCTGGACTAAGATTTATTCAGTACCCCGCGTCCAACGAAACCTCTGCCGTTTCCGATCGAGCTACCCTCCACCGAAGATACACCAAGTTGGATGCCTCCGAATACGAGCATAGACATCCCCGCCCACGGTTGTGAGAGTCTTTGACGATCCCACTCCAGAAGAGAAACGGGGGATGATCACGACCCCTCGTTGTTCTACCCGAAGCACGAGTGGCCACGTTAGCTTATTGCCTTTGGCCGAGCACTTGTATCGACATCGTACATAAACGAATCCTGCGACCTAGAAATAGTCTACCCGTGACTTACGCCCTCTTACGGGAAGTTGATGACAACCTGGGAGTCGTGTGCGAGGTGCCGCTTGAGCCGCCTTTCTACGCTGCAGCATCAAGTTGACTCATTGCCGTGAGCTCCTAGCTCACCACTCTGCCTGCTCATCGAACGAAACAATAAAGCATGGCGATCATGGACCAATACTCCATCATGTCACCAGGCGATTCGCCGACTACCCAGCACTGGGAAGGCAGCCCTGTACCGGTCAAAGAGAACATGGTTGGAAAGACTGGTATGTCAGGTATTCCCAATGAGCGCGGGTTCGGCTTCTGATATTCACGGCACCGTGGCCAACTCTCTTTTCCGCTGCCGACTGTAGAATGCTCACATTCTTATAGGACGTCTTGCGCCTAGATGGATTCAGGACTTGCTCAACTCTGACCTCGACTCCGGATCATTCGCAAGAATCGAATGGGATCAACAGGCGCGTTGCAGCAACACAGGAGTACCGCATCGACTTGTTCTTGTGGGTAACCAGAGCACGGCAGAAACTCGCAACCCTGGCGTTTTGTCTTGCGTTTGTGCAATCTGCGATTTTCACTTCTTGATCAGGACCTGTTGGGACCCAGATCAACTCGTCTGTCTGTGCCGCCCTAACGCTCTCCATTTCCCTCCGAAAGACACAGACTTTTATCTCCATCATCTCGTGAACATCAAGCAGCCGCTTCGACCAACCAAGTCGACCTCAAACTACCATTCTCTGATCCGTGAGACTATACTCGCCGTCGAGCACTTTGCCTGTTCGGCCCCTCGCTGCACGCTGCAAGTCACGGTCGAGATTTCGCGACCTCGACTCAAGCGCGAGTGGCTGCACCTCCTTCTCAATGAGCAGCGTATCCTGGATAATCTGGCGAGAGCCAGGAAGCAGTCGCCGGATCGATTCGCAGACGCCAGAGACGATTGGTGCACAAGCGCGCCGTCCACCCTGAACACCTATCTTAGAGACTTGCTGGACAGACCCAATCCACGCAACATATCTCAGCGTAACAAACGCTTTCAGGTCGTGTTTGGCGAGGAGTGCTATGCCATTTTCAGAGCCATTATGTTTACGGAGGAAAACCTTGATAAAGACGGGGTTCTTGAGCCCTACTTCATTCCGCCAATGCTAGAACCTGGCACTCCTGGCACACCAACGGAACTAAGCACATTACGGGCATTCGTTGAGGACATGCAGGCCGAGACGGAAAGTGTCATAATAAGAGGCGGAAAGACTGGCGAAAATCGGCCATATGTCGGCAACAGGCTCTTTAAAGAGCTGCAATGTCTTGACTACCCCCAGAACAAGATTGCACAGGCTGCAACCGAAGCGCATCGGACTCTCGGCGTGCTTCCAGATTTCGACAAGGCGCTCATCTTTTTCGCCTATACCCGGCAGGCTGCCCTCTGCGAGAAGCGCCGTCCCACGTTTGTTGAAGCCCTCAAAGATATTGCCCTCCTCACAAACGACGACGACTTCCAGACCCGCGCGATCCAAGAGCTCACGATATTGGACGGGATGCCCACAGCGGATAGCCCTGGCGCAGGCGACGAGTTGCAAACCCAGGCATACTCCTTTTTCAGCCTCAAATACACCGCCAGCGATGACAACGTTGTTTCTGCTTTCAATACCAAGATCGAACACTCCCCCTCTCAAGCTGATTCTGCCCGAGAAATGCTGCAGATCATTGGGCGTCATAGAAACAGTGATCGCATTCTTACGCATGCCAACGGCCCAATGGACGTCGCTTCAGCCTATCGCATTCTTGAAGTAGACCCCCAATGGCCTGATAGCACCATTGTGATGATGTCCAACGTCAAGGTATATGGTGTCCTGGGAACCGCAGCCACCTGCTTTCACTAACAACTCCTAGCTAAACAAGGATCCAAAAAGTAAAGCCACAGCGGAAGTTGCAATCAAAGCCATGGAGGCCATCGCCGAGGATAGGAAAAGCGACGAAATCCGTGAAGCAGCGAGGACTCTAGCTTTGTTGGCTCAAGCCCCAGATCAGTCATCGCAACCTGCGGAGATGGACGCGGTACCTTCCAACGCCGGCAACTTGCCCGTTGGCCTCGAGAATATTGGCAACACTTGTTACTTGAACAGTATCCTTCAGTATCTCAACACAGTTATCCCCGTTAAAAGCTTGCTTGCTCGTTACCCAGACTATGAGCTAGGTCTGGATGACTCGAATATCCAGCGTCGGCTTGTCGGCGGCAATAAGCTCAAGATTGATCGTGCCGAGGCGGTTGTTGCCCGCGCCTGTAAGTTCTTGATTGCCATCAAAGTCACATTGGCCCACTGCTAATCCTCCTTAGTTGTCGATGAATTGAGCAGACTTTTGGATAATCTAAGTGGCTCTGAGGCTAGTGCTATCCGGCCTTCTCAACGTCTCGCCAACGCCGTCCTGCTGCCGACCTCGAACTTGACTGAAGATCCTGCCAAGCAGCCGAGCAAGACTGCAGAGGAACCGAAGACTCTGGAAGTCATGGGCACTCAGTTCCCCACCCCTCCGCCGCTTCCTGCGAGACCTGCGCCAGGTCCTCCTGCACAGACGGCGGAACATGTCGAGGACGTTGACATGGTCAACGTCACTGTGGACCTGATTTCTGAGTCTGCTAGCAGCGTAAGCTCGCAGACTCTAGTCAACCTTTCTGATGTTGACCACGAGAAGAAGGATTACGTGCCCGAGGATAAGACCGACATCAGAATCGTCCCCCAAACGGTCGAGCCGTCTTCGGCCCGATCCGCCAACGACAGCGATGTCAGAATGAAAGGAATCGAGACAGCCGTTCTCAATGTGGAACAACGAGTACTCAAGGCGCTGGAAACGCAGACCAGAGACTCAGGCACCGACCAACAAGACGTTGAGGAGGTCATGGGCAGCATTATCAACCGCCTGCAGGCCGCCATCAAGCCTACAAGGGTGGATGCCACTGACGAAGTCCAGTGGGAGCCGATCATGGACACATTTTACGTTGAATTGACCAACCACACCAAATTCCCAAATCAGGATAGATACAAATCAGACTCAACCCTGGAGCGTGCGATCACGGCATACCCTGCTGAAGGCGGACCGACGAACATTCATGACGGTCTTAGTCGAAACTTTGATCTTCAGCGAGTCGCTGCCGGGGAAGCAGACATCATGCGATACACGTCGATCAAGAAGCTTCCTCCGATCTTGCACGTCCTCATTCAGAGAACGAAGGGGGATGGCCACAAGAACATGAACCCAGTCGAGGTGTTCGAGACATTATACCTTGACCGATACATGGATACCCCGAATGACCCGCAGTTCTTCAAGTTGCGGCAGAAAGGCTGGGCTCTTCAACAGCGTTTGGATCAGCTGAACAACATGCCCAAGACTGCGGCTGAGGACACGCAACTTATCGACACTTTCATCAATGACTTCGTACACGTTGACAAGCCCGATACCCAGGAGACGTCGTCACTTCTGGATGACATGCCCACGTCATCCCTCAGCTTTGCGGGGGAGGAGCCGACGTTCCCTACGTATACTCCGCAGTCGGAGCCGACATTTGAAAAAGTGGATCCGCCTGAGCCCACAGGCTTCACGGTGGAAGGACGCCAGCAGATCAGCAACATGCGCGAGGATGAGCTGAAATCTCACAAAGCGGAGCTTGATCAGCTCTTTGCACAGCACAAGAAGCATGCGTATCGGTTGCATGCAGTGATATGCCACAGTGGTCAGCTCAGAGCTGGTCACTATTGGGTCTGGATCCACGATTTCGAGGCCGGAGTTTGGCGCAAGTACAACGACAGGGTCGTCACAGAAAACGCCGACACAAAAGAGGTCATGAAGACACTAAACAGCAATGGTGATCCGTACTATCTCTGTTATGTGGAGGAGGGCAAAGAAGGCGACTTGGTCAAAGTGCCCAAACGCCATCAAACAAAGCCTGGCCCGGCGAATAATAGCGAGGATCAGGATGCCGACGGAGATATTGAATTGATCGACGTGGACACGGTCCCACAGGGACTAAGCAATATACCATTGGAGGACTAGATTGCCCTGCCGATGAGTCTCATTCTCGAGCTATTCGAAGATACGAAAGAAGCAGCCGCAATAGGTGGACTGGACCAAAAGGAAAGGGGCCGATTGAGAAGACGAGGAGCAGGTAAGCTAGGGATTGATGCAAGCCACTATTAGCTTGGGACTTACTTTTCCTAGTGCATGTCAAGCCGGCAAATTTACGAAAATCAACGCCTCCGCTCAACGCCCTTTTTCGGCTTAACTAAGCCAGAATCAACGATACAATGGCGCCGCGGAGATTCGCATCAAGCTCTTGGGAGATCGGCTTGGAACTTGGTCAAAGAGGCTGTGTAGAATACACTTTTCGCCGTGGTAAATAACTTACTGGGATTGAATTTATACCAGCATGAGTTGGCATGGCTTCGATAGAGGCATGATCATTTCTTATTGAGACAGGAACCCCAAATACCCTTTCGCACAATGATAGAAACGAGTTGAACGTTACACTTCATCTTTCATGATTACAGTCCTGCCTCGTTTTTCCTTTGCCGCTGTACTCGATTTCTGGCTCTCTTCAACGGTCGTTGGTGATATCTCCAAACAGAACACTGGCTTCGGTGTGGAGATATCTCGCTCGCTGATCTAACTCGGGCGACGACAATGGCTCCGCCTCTTTGGCTCAGTGGTAGAGCGTCGCACTCGTAAGTTCGACATGCGAAGGTCCACGGTTAAATCCCGTGAGGGAGCACGTTGCTTTGCCGTTGTCGTCCCCTTTTGCTCGTTTAGCCTGTTCGTCGTCGTTCATGACACGGAAACGGAGTAGTCTGGTAATGTGGTTAGTAAGATGCGACTAATCAGAGGCTTGGTCAAGCTGGGATCTGGATGGCATTAGGGCTATGTATTTGTGTCGAGGTGGCGCTTTATCTCAAAGAGTTCATGACGTCGCAAGGTTGGATACCGCTGGAAAGCCATCTTTCTGTGATCTGCGAGTGTTGCAATTGTGTGAAACTTGAAGTTTGTGTATTCTGTCCCTATGTCGTATATTTCTTACATGGAGCTTGGAGTAATGCTCAGGATTGCGAAGTCATCGTTGATTTTGATTTAGATTTAGACTGGCTCTCTTCCTCTTGGAGGACTCGTTGAGGAGACATAAAGGTCATGGCTGTCCTGGTCCATGTATAAAGTAATCATCACCTGACGTCTCCAATATTGGCCCCGGTAATCCATGCATGCTGCGAGGTTCAAGGACAAGGGTGAGATGAGACATTCTGCATGATCTATCAGTAATTCCTGGCCACCTGCAAGATCAGGATACACGTTCTTCTACCACTGCAAGACATCTGTGAGATGAGATACATGTGCCTTTCCATCGGCGAGATTCATTGAGACGATACCCTGCGAGATGCAGGTGAGCTGGGAATGCGTGGGGCAGGTAAGGATACACGGAGGGTCCAAAGAGGAGGGAGGCTAGTCATGTCCGCCATACGCAATCACCACGTCAAGAAGCACAGACGTGCTTGTCTTACCCCATGGGGAGGGGAGAGAGGCGTGGTCTGATGAGCTCTGGGGCTGGAATGGATGGCCGCGGCGGCGGCGGCCTTTGAGACCCGGGCAGCTGGGACGAGGGATGGATATGCGGGGGGGTTAGTAACAGCGCAGAAACATGGAGGAGACGGGAGCCTGCGCGAGGTGAAGCGGACGGTTGGTCTGCTTGGGAGATCTCATTATATGACGGGTACTTGGCAAGGGAAGCGTCGATTACAAGGAAGTAGATCAAATTGCAAGATATTGCACAGATGAGCAGTCATGGTGATTAATGATATGGCCGTGGAGAACCTTATCCCCTTTTCCACCTCTCCCCTCTCGGTTCCTGTTCCCAAACGTTGATGTACCTCGATGTGTTTTCAATCTTTGTTCGGACAACATGTCACCACATCCCGTTCAATGTGATCAAGTGAATGTTTTCTGTTTTTTTTTTTTGCCTCGCCCTCCCCTCTTAGTAATCCCTAGTCACATCGACCTGGTCGTCTTCGCCTCCTTTGATGGGGATAGGCGCAGGAGGCTGCGGGGTCTGAGGTTTATGGCTCGGGTAGGATGCCATGACTGGATGTGAAATCTTATTTTCTACCCACAATCCATCGAGATGTCAACATTTCCCCTATTTTCGGATAAGGAAAACTGGGATTATGATACCCGAGGTAGGAGAATCACTCACGAGGGTTTTCTGGTGGTCAGTTCAGGAAGCGGAGTGTAAAGAAACTTTCTTCCATCCGCCATCCGTCTGAGAAACTTGGGCAGCGGACGGACGGGGACAGAATATATACATAAGCATCTATCTATGCTTCCCCTTCCTTCTCTTTTTGATAAACCAAGCTATTTGGAGAGCAGAGGGCGCGGGGGCGTCGTGACGTCAGGCCACCGTGATGTCCAAGTGTGTCGACTTCTTCCTTTTTGGCTGATCTCCTCTTTGGCTGGTCACGGACGTTCCGCTCGGACGGTTCGTGAGCTAAAAAATAAGATGGATTTACGGAGTCTAATGGCTCCTACGGGTAACTACAACATTTAGGGAAGTAGTAAACGGCTGAGTTCGTCGTGCGGGGGACTCGTCATTCGTCATGTATTAGAAATGAATGAAAGTTTACAGATGGGGGACCACGCATAGTGGAACGAGAGCTTTCGGGGTCGCAATCTCGCATGGGGACATCGTCTTCGAGCTGCCAGTTCGAGATCAGACCCAGGAAAGGGTCCGGGATGGGATGTCATCGCCTGTCAAATGTCACCGAGATGGGACGTATGTGACAAGGACCACGGCCCCGTTTGAAGAACCCCAACCTGTCCAGCTGATAGTGACAAAGCAATTTCTTGTCGCCATTCCATTTTGCCTTTCCAGGCACACATAGCACCTAGTAGATACTGACCACATTTGCCGCTTGTACCTCGATCCAACGCATCTAGACGTTGAGCTTCCATCTTACCTGGGGGATGTTGACATGTGATTAGGCTCTAATAGCAGTGTTTCTGCGCCCAGACGAAAATCAGATCGACACAGCGACGGTAACACTTCTGGGCGGCCGAAGCCAGCTCTTTGCAAGTGCCAACCGCCCCTGAGTACTGCTGGTGAACGGTTAGTTCCCGCCCGTCGGCGGCTGATCCCCCGCCGACCCCGCTGCTGCCGCTGGACAACCCCCGGTCGGCTCGGGGGGCCCGTCTTGGTGACCCGCATACGAAGTACATGCGGCACAGCGCGGATCGCAGCTGTCAGAATCCTCGTACCCATTAATTATCAGATCAGGACATCAGAATGTACAACCCCACCCACCGCCTCCTATACGCCTTCTCGCCAGGGTCCTACCCGTCGAGGTCTAAGGGAATCGGACGCTGTTTCCAGTCCGAGATTGCGGTGAAGAAGAAGACCTGGAGGCTCTCAAGGTTACGCACACGTCCAAGCAATCAGACAGTTCATAAGTCAGTGCATGTCGGGGTGATTCAGATGATAGGTGGGAATCCAACCTTTAGGCCAAGGGGGCTAGCTTCTGATGGTCGAAAGATTGTCGGAGATGTTTTGTATTTGAGGTTCCGCGAGGACCCCAGATTGCTCAACCTCCAGAGCATCGAACACTGTTCGCATTGTGACCTCTTGGTCCTGTCTCTTGGCCAATTGCTGGACACGCTGAGGGCTGTTATCTGGAGGAGGCGAACATTTTGAAAGGCGAGCAAGCTTGTATCCGCTCAAAGACGGTTCTAGTCATCGTCGTCTGGGCTAAGTATTCTACCATACTGATATGCGTATCTCGTCACGTTTTCTTATCGTCGTCTCGAGCGGGTAGCCGGCGTTATTGGTTGGCACAAGTCTCGTCTCCATGCGGAACACCGGATGACTTGGAACCCAACGGCCTTCCGCGAGCATTCCTTCCAACGCACAGTTTGGGCCTTCCCCTCACCTGGCAGGGTTTCGCCAAGATATTACCCCTCCATCAGCGAGGTATCATCAGTTAGGCGAATTGCGGTTTGCCGCTGCTATTGTTTTGAGCCTCTCGGCAGCTATGACACTAAAGCCAAGTCATCGTCCCGCCGCTAGCATGGTCGGTGAAAAGAGAATAATTCTTATGGGCAATGAAAACGCTGATGCTGAGGGGAAAAAGAACCCGGGTGAGAACTTCCAAGAAAGACGATATAAATGACGGTCCAGCCCAGCGGATTGTTTCTGCGGGAGTGGCACCGTGCTCCGAGCTTCAACTCTAGCTCCCTCTATTCTGTTCTCATCTTCTCGGGGTTGGGGTCCTAGCTCCCGCCGTGGAAGGTGGTGGGGTGATGTCTGCAGGATTGACACTTGGCGGGGTGTGTCAGGCCCTCCCGGGGTGCCGGGGTTGCCAGGATTACGGCACGCAAGGAAAGTCATGGATGAGTTGGATGAGCAGCGGTGCCATGATCTGCGTGCATATGCCACGATCCAGACTCGCCATGGATCAGCTGCTTCTGGATCTGGGCGAGGAGCCGGCCGGGTTCCGCACCCTCAGTTGTTGTCCGCCGTCTTTTTGTGCCGTATGCCAGGGTTGCACAACTAAGTGAGCCCGGTGCAATTCGGCACGGTCTGCCCAGTGGTGTGCAGAAGAAGGCTTAGCAACCCAGGCACTTCTATGCGATGACGGGATATTTGCTGCATGCCTAGCTGGATTGGCCGAGGGGAGAAGGCGGCCGGGTTTACTGCCAGGCTTGCCGGTCTTGTCAATGATAGATACCCTTGTCGGCCAACGGACAAAGTCCTTGTTTCGATGTATGTCTTGTTCCTCCCAGTCCGTGTTAATGGCATCGACACCGTTGGCGCTGATGTTCATCGGGCCATCAGTGGCCTGGTCGACAAGACGAGCAAAGCGAGAGGAACGGCCGGTCGTTTTCCGCCAGTTCCACGGGGCTAGCGGCGCTGGTTGCGATAGGGCCTTGATACGAGTAAATGTTCCGAAACGGCGGTGGCGTAGGGTATGTTCGACCTGGGATGGAGGCTCTGTTAGGAGTCATTAGAGGCGAGACAGAAAAATCCAGCTGTTTTCTCAAGAGAAGAATGCCACTGTCCCGTGATGGTAGGGAGACATTTTGGCTACGGCATTTCCTTTGACGCCACGCCAAGAGAAGAATCGTATCTAGCGATTAGCCGTTGTCCTGGCAGTCCTGATCAACGGGCAGTGAGACCACTTGGTCAAAATCGATTAAGGCTTCTCGAGGCGGGCATGGATGGTTTGGAAGGGGTCGGAAATGTGTTGGTGTAACAAAGATTGGCCCGGTAGCTCGGACAGGGTAGAGGTGGCCGATAATTTGCAGTGGCCTGCGTTGCAGGTTGCATTGAGAGCAGCAGCGCATGGTGTTCACTCCCATCAGCACCGATAGGTCCTTCCCCATCTCTCCAGTCACTGTCTTCACCTCTTCACCTTGGCTCACCATGGGTAGGCCGGGCCGGCAAACGGCAGCTCCGACGGTGCCGAACACGTACCTTGATGGTACCGTACCTTACCCCGAAGCGGCGATTCCACTCGGCCCGCTGCTGCCCCAACTTCGACTCTTGTCCTGCTTCCCTCCTCCGCTTCCTCTGTACCTTACTGAGACCAAATCCCACCAGGTGCAAGCGTTCCCGACCCAAAAGCCATTCAAAATATCCCAAAATACCCCTCTCCGTCTCCTGAAAACGGACTGACAAGGCAATCAAGCAATATGACGCGGACAGGATCGCAGCCGGTACCGACGTGGGGCGTAAGGTGACGTTGGCTACATGTCGGCTGGGGCCATGGCCGCAGTCGAGTTGCGTCCAGAAAATCAGACCACCTCTTCTCCCCACGCACAACCACCAGCATCACCCACAGATCAACCTCTCTTAGCCAAAAGAACATGCAAGGGAAACCCGCAATTCCTCAGCTCACATGCAGCCGCCGTCCTAGTTTTCGTCCCCTCGCCTTGTCGTAGGCAGCTTCCGGGCCGCCCAGAGGGATACTTCGCCATATGCCATTAGAGATAACCCACATGGAACTCCACGCTGCCAGGACGCCATGACACCCTACATCCCCTCTTCCTCCTCTTTCTTCCCCCACGTTGCCAGCCCATTGGAGCCTTTCACCATGGACTGGGTGAGAATCCGCACCTGGGGTTGCCATTTCTCCAACTCTTCAAGCTAAAATTCCCAAAGATGCTTCACCAAGAGCGCCATCAAGGAACGGGTACATGCCAAAGGTTCCGTTTTGCATCTTTGCATACCCCACCCCTCCCAGCAGGCCCTTGTTCTCTCAACGTCGGCAACCTTCGCCTCCTACCCAGGTCGGGAGCCGTCAACATCGGCTGATAGCTCCCAGACCTACGTCTGCGCTACGTTGCTGGTGCCCGCCTGCCTCCAACCTGGGATCAGCGCCGTAGACGTTAGCATCAACTCCAAGCCTGGGCGAAGCTACCCGCCCGCTGCCCGGCCTCTAGGCGAAATCACCGTAACTCATGTCCCTCCATGTCTCTCCTCTGGCCTCTCCCATCCAGGACTGCCTTAGTAGGTATAAAGACCAAGCCCCCTCGGGCTTCATTTAACCTCCTGTCTTCTTTTCCAAACCACCCCCTTCAAGGCATCTTGGCCTGAAAATACTGATACCAAATTTTATCCATCACTTGCACGCTCACCTCCGTCACCATCAACATGGCCGACAAGGAGGTCGAGTCCATCAGCCCCTATGGCCCAGCCCGGTCAACGGTCAAGGGCGAGCCCCTCTCCAAGGAAGACATTGTGAAGTACAATGACTTCTTCAAGGCCAGCTTGTACCTGTCCTTGGGAATGATCTTCCTCAAGGAAAACCCTCTCCTCCGGGAGCCTCTCAAGAAAGAGCACATGAAGCTGAGATTACTCGGCCACTTCGGATCTGCCCCGGGTCAAATCTTCACCTGGATGCACTTCAACCGTCTCATCAAGAAATACGACCTGGACTCCATCTTCATCTCCGGCCCAGGTCATGGTGCACCGGCTGTGCTCTCCCAGTCCTACCTCGAGGGTGTCTACTCCGAGGTCTACCCAGAGAAGTCGGAAGACATTGAGGGCCTGCAAAAGTTCTTCAAGTCGTTCTCCTTCCCTGGTGGCATCGGTTCCCACGCTACCCCGGAGACCCCGGGCTCCATCCACGAGGGTGGAGAGCTTGGCTACTCCGTCTCCCACGCCTTTGGTGCCGTCTACGACCACCCGGATCTCATTGCCCTGACCATGGTCGGCGATGGCGAGGCCGAGACTGGTCCTCTGGCTACTGCATGGCACAGCACAAAGTTCCTCAACCCCATCGTGGATGGTGCCGTCCTGCCCGTCCTGCACCTGAACGGTTACAAGATCAACAACCCTACAATCTTGGCCAGAATCTCCCACAAGGAGCTGGAGAATCTCTTCCTCGGCTACGGCTGGCAGCCCTACTTTGTCGAGGGCGATGATGTCGATACCATGCACCAGGCCATGGCCGCTACTCTAGAGCACTGCGTCCTCGAGATCCGCAAGTTCCAGAAGCAGGCCCGCGATTCCGGCAAGGCCTTCCGCCCCATCTGGCCCTTGATCGTCCTCCGCAGCCCCAAGGGCTGGACTGGCCCCCGCAAGATTGACGACAACTACTTGGAGGGTTACTGGAGAGCCCACCAAGTCCCTATTCCCAACGCCGCGACCAACCCCGAGCACTTGAAGCTCCTCGAGCAGTGGATGCGCAGCTACGAGCCCGAACGTCTCTTCAAAGACGGCCGCATCTCGGACGAACTCAAGGCCCTCTGCCCTACTGGCAACCGCCGTATGAGCGCCAACCCGGTAGCTAACGGCGGCGTTCTCAGGAAGCCTCTCAAGTTGCCCGACTTCAAGGAGTACGCTATCAAGGTTGACAAGTCTGGCGGTACCATGGCTGCCAGCATGAACAACATGGCCATCTACCTGCGGGACGTCATAGCTCAGAACTTGCAGAGCTTCCGTCTCTTTGGACCCGACGAGACCGAGTCAAACAAGCTCGGCGCGGTCTATGAGGCCGGCAAAAAGGTTTGGATGGGCGAATACTTTGAAGAGGATGCCAACGGTGGCAACCTAGCCCCCGAGGGACGTGTCATGGAGATGCTTTCTGAGCACACCTGCGAAGGTTGGCTCGAGGGTTACATCCTGACAGGACGCCACGGTCTTCTCAACAGCTACGAGCCATTCAGTAAGTCTACTACTATCTTCCATACAGCGAAACTCATGCTGACCAAAGTGCAGTCCACGTCATCGACTCCATGGTCAACCAGCACTGCAAATGGATCGAGAAGGCTCTCGAGGTGGAGTGGCGCAACAAGATAGCCTCCCTCAACATCCTCCTGACCGCCGTCGTCTGGCGCCAGGACCACAACGGCTTCACGCACCAAGACCCCGGCTTCCTCGACGTCGTTGCCAACAAGAGCCCCGAGGTCGTCCGCATCTACCTCCCGCCCGACGGAAACTGCCTGCTGTCCACCATGGACCACTGCCTCGCCTCGTCCAACTACGTCAACGTCATCGTCGCCGACAAGCAGGAGCACCTGCAGTACCTCAGCATGGAGAAGGCTGTCGAGCACTGCACAAAGGGCATCGGCATCTGGCCGCAGTTCAGCACCGACCAGGGCGAGGAGCCCGACCTCGTCATGGCCTCGTGCGGTGACATTTCGACCCACGAGTCCCTGGCCGCCATCGATCTCCTGCTCCAGCATTTTCCCGAGCTCAAGATCCGCTGCGTCAACTGCGTCGACCTCTTCAAGCTCATCTCCCACGAGGACCACCCCCACGGCCTCACAAACGCTGAGTGGGTCTCCCTCTTCACCGACGACAAGCCCGTCATCTTCAACTTCCACTCGTACCCCTGGCTCGTCCACCGCCTCGCCTACAAGCGCCCGGGCAACATGAACCTCCACGTCCGCGGCTACAAGGAGAAGGGCAACATCGACACGCCCCTCGAGCTCGCCATCCGCAACCAGACGGACCGCTTCAGCCTCGCCATGGACGCCATCGACCGCATGCCCCAGCTCCACAACCGCGGCGCCGCCGCCCGCGAAGTATTGCGCAACCAGCAGATCGCCGCCCGCATCGAGGCCTTTGAGACGGGCATGGATCCGCCCTTTCTCAAGAACTGGGCCTGGTCCCACAATGGGCTGTGGCAAAAGGTCGCCAAGATCACCACCTAAATAAACTAGACGTTGGCGGAGGACGGTACTAGAAGCTTAGATGGAGCAAGATGACTTGATGAAATGTATGGAAAGGTCCAGACAATTGAGATTTTGAAGAATATGTTTGCTGTTACGGCGTTGTGGTACACTGGGACACACACACACAGAGAGAGAGAGAGAGAGAGAGAGAGAGAGAGAGAGAGAGAGAGAGAGATCAGGCAGGGTTCGAGTCCAAGGATGAGTTTCGTCGCGGGGGTGGTACCTGTGCTCTAAAGTTGAATGAAAAGAAAGACAAGAATCAGTTTCGTTAGATTTGCATTCTTTACAATCTCACAGCAAACGTTGCTCAGCAATGGTGTTAACCTCACATATGCTTGATAATTCACTCGCATCATTGGTATCTAAACGAAAACAAGACGGTAGCTTCTGCCAATCACACAGACATGGCGATGGAAGCATAACAAAAACCACAAAACACGCAAACATCCAGACGTGGCCCAGACCATGTCGGTGGTGTCTTTGCAAAAAAAAAAAAGAAACCAGAAATCACTTCCTCGCCCTTCGCGACCCGTACAGCAAGCAGGCTGCGAGGAACTCGCGCTCGAGACTCCCAAACGCCCCGTTTGATGATGGCCTTTGCTTGCAAAACCGTCCACATGCTACACTTGCGTGTAAGTCCCCGATCTCTCTGAGTCTCCATGCAAAATAACGCGTTACACCGTCATGACGTCTCGTACAGACCGTTTCCTGGAGTGGTAGTCTGAAGTGACTTGGAATCTTCGTACTCTTCTCCAGGGGTGTCCTGCAGGACCAGGACCAGGACCAGGACCAGGACCTTCTTGTCAAAGTCCCTTCCCAGCCGTCCCACTGCATACACCAAGCGGCGCACGGCCATATACGTAGGTCGTCCTTTCGAGTGACAATCCTGCCACAACCACTTCAGACGCAACAGCAACAACGCAGAACATTGGTCAACTTTCCCTGGCCAGGAAAAGCAAAAGCCTCACCAGCACCGAAGTTTCTTCCATATCGACCCCTTGCCCACCTTGCCGTCAATATTCGGACCCCGCACGCCGGGGTTGCGTTTTTCGTTCTGCTCGCTGCCCGCTGGCAAGGGACTCAGTGGCTTGGTCATGCCCCTCCGATCCAATTCCATGTTCTCGTTGACGCCCAACTCTGCCATGCGCCTGGCCTCGACGACGCGACGGACAATGAGCGCAAAAGTCTCCTCAATGTTGACCTCAAGCCGCGCGCTCGTCTCCATGAAGCCACACCCGCGGCGGCGCGCCCAGTCCAGACCCATGGCCGCAGGAACGGCGCGGGACTCTTGCAAGTCACACTTGTTGCCGGCGACGATCTTGACGGGGGGAACGGTCTTAGCGCCCGGCGTGGCGGACACGGTGTCGCGGTAGGAGGAGGGCGAGAGGCCGGCGCGCTTTGCGCGATCGGCATTGTCGAGGCGCGTCTCAGCCTCCATGTCGATGAGATCGTTGAAGTACTGAAGGGCGTCGATGGAGTCGCGGGAAGTGATGTCGTATACGAGCAGGAAGGCGTCTGCGCCGAGGTTCGATGAGGCCCACATGCCGCGGTACTCCTCCTGGCCGGCCGTGTCCGTAAGCGAAAGGTGGTAGTTCTGGCCATCGATCTTGCGGGTGATGGAGTAGGAGTCCTCAATGGTGGGGTCGTATTCGGAGGTCCATTGCGAGCGGACGAGACGAAGGGTTATGGAGGATTTTCCGCAGCCGCCATCGCCGCAAATGGTGATTGAAATTGGCGTCGGGGCTTGTTGAGAGATTGACATTGTGTAGGTTGCCTTTTGCTCCGAAATGCGGATACAAGCTTAAAATGTGGTATTTATGGTGGTCCAATGTAGATCGGCCTCGATTGCGGGGACAGCTCCGAGGTGGTGAGTGTTGTCACACGTCGCGTGCGCCGTTTAGAGTTGCGAGTGGAAGAACCTAGATGACGGTGGACTTGGCGGCGGAAGTTTGTTGGTTGCTGCTCTGACCGTTGAAGTGAGCCGTCAAAGACCAATCGAACGAAATCTCACGATGATCACTCAGAAGATACAGCCGCTGTCGGGGGATGCAATCGCAGAGTTTGGGGGGGAAGGGTCGGTAGTTGACAAGTGGTGGGTGAGGTGAGATAAGAAGGGATCCGGCTCTCTCTTAGTGGTGGCGGTAGGGCAAGTAAGGTAGGCTCGTGGGAGCAAGGTAGTCGGACGGCAGTCCAGCAGCTCTTGGCTTCTTAGCTTCGTTTCGGCTCTCAGACCGCGCGCGCGGTTCGACCGTTTTTCTTCTTTTAGTCAGGATCGAGTAAGAGTCAAAAGGCTGTGGCGTAATCGTTCACGGGAGCGGCCCCCAAAACAGGGTTCGTTCGTTTGGGACCGTGGGTTTCTGGGCAGAGTGGGGGATAAGACACGGAAATGAAGAAAGGTGTGCGTCTGTGTGGTTTGCGTCGTCTCTCTCTGCCTCGTGGTGTTTTTGGTGGTCTTGTAGTTATTGCTGCGGATGGCAGGTGTCGTTCGTTCTTTTCTAGTTGCTGGGAGGGACCTGGACGGGATGATGAAGGTATCGTTTGTTGGGGAAAGTCCGTATCGTGAGGGAGGGCGCGCGCAAAAGAGCAGAGGGAATCAGGTTGCAATGGGGAGATGTGAATCGACGGGTCGGGTTGCTGGACGTAAATAGAATTTATTCGTATTCTTTGCTGCCGGAGGTGAGACAACGATTTTCTTTTCGTCGCGAGTTGAAGCTTGGGCGATAATGGCAGGAGAGGACGTCGTTGGTCAATTGCTGCGCAGCCGCAGATGCAATTGACAGGTGAGGTGCAGGTGAAAGTCTCTGGTACCGACTAAGGTGCGCAGTGTTGGTGTGGAATCCGAAGTGTGACGACGCTGTTGATTCAACCTGCAGGTGGTTGGGTGGTGTGTCTCTGGGATGCCCGAATATCGCAGCAATAGACGATGCGGGACGGTGGTGGGTGGATGTATTCGTATAGGTGAATAGGTGCGTGGTTGAATGGATGAATTAGGTAGATGGATGAATGAACGGACGGATGAATGAGCAGCGAGGGGATGCGCTTGCTTTTGAGACCGACCCTTGACGGTGCTGCGGTGCGCTTTCCTGAAATGTGTTGTAAAACAAGAGGCCGAAACCGGGTGGCCATAAATACTTATATAGGTGTGACGGTGCACAAAGCCCGGACAAGAAATACCCCAGGGAGAATTCTAGTGAGCAAAAGTCGGAAACGATGCAGCACCTGCAGTCAGCTCTGCCTCCAAGAGCAGCTCATCAGAAAATTGAGCGAGGCCAGATGGGAATAAAATTCTGGTGCCTGAGTCTGCGACCGTTGGATAAATAACTCTTACCAATAGCTCCCTGTGCCAGACCCCTTCCGCAATAGCGCCTCGGTCCGCAAAGCCAAGTCAGGCCAAGTCTGCGGTCTGGCCCATCTAATCTAATCAATCAGATAACACCATCCTCACCACTATTCCACTGCAAAGGTCGGGACCCCGGCACAACGGGTCCCCTCGCCAAGCCTTTTCCATGCTTTATGCTCGCAGGATCCTTCGCAAAAAATCCCTACGGCTCTCGTCTTCCCACCATCTTTCCCCTCATCCGACACCATGATGGGGTCGCTTTCCGACCTCTCGGTTCCTGGGTCAAGGAGCAGCCCGACTTCGGTTTCCTGCGCGGGTGTCCGGAGGGACAGCCTCATCTTATCAGATCATAGCCGGATGTTGATGGGCGCCGTGTGCGTGGGTCAAGTGAATCCTTCCGGCCGCTAAGGTCGTGATGGGATGATTAGCGAGAAGCAAAAGTGGCACGCTAGAAGGCGGCGCAGATGCACTCCTCTGGAGTCTTTAAGTAAGAGCCAACCCCCATCGCCGCTCGCGTTTTCGCCTTGCTCCGTAGTTATTTCATCTCTTCTGCACTTTTGTCTTGGAGTACCAATTATGGCAGTGATTTCGCAGCTTCGTGAGGTCCTCGGCCGCAAGCAGGCTCCGGTCGAAGATGCTCCCATGACAATCACCACGGCCCTGGATGTCGCCAACAACGACGACAGGGAACTGGGAGAGATGCCCCCGGACGACGAGAAACCGACCGAGGAGCAGAGAGTCAGCCAGGAGGTCCAGCACGGTGTCAAGTTGGCCCAGGCCTTGACCCTGACCTGGGGCAAGAATTCGCTGATTGCCATTTTTATCTTGTAAGACCCTCCTCACCCTCTCGGAGACCACGAAAACGATTTCTTCTGAAGTGCCAAGTATTTGACTGACACCCAAGCCTTCACCCGTCGTAGCATGTGGTTTCTGTACCTCACCAACGGATTCCAGAGTTCGGTGTTGTATAGCTTGACGCCGTATGCGGCCAGCGACTTTGAGTCGCACTCGCTTCTTCCCGTTATCGACATTGTGTCCAGCGCCATGACGGCTTCGGTGTATATCCCGCTGGCTAAGATTCTGGATCTCTGGGGTCGAGCTGAGGGGTTCTTGCTCATGGTTCTTTCTGCCACGCTGGGTATGATTATGTTGGCCGCCAGCCAGAACCTCGCTACGTATTGTGCTGCTACGGTAAGTTTGAAGTTTGCCGCGCTTGATTAACGCAACGTGATCCACGCAAATCCAGTTCCATTCCTAACTCTCGGGGGGCAATTTAGGTCTTTTGGCAAGTCGGCTGGTCTGGTCTCACCTACAGCATCGACGTAATCACGGCCGACTCGACCCATGTCAAGAACCGAGGGCTGGCGTTTGCGTTCACATCTTCGCCCTACATCATCACCGCGTTCGCCGGGCCCAAGGCCGCCGAGGGTTTCCTCAACAACGTTAGCTGGCGTTGGGGCTTTGGCTGCTTCTCCATTGTCCTACCCGTCGTCGCCGTGCCCATGTACAGCATCCTGAAATGGAACATCCATAAGGCCAAGAAGCGCGGAACTCTGGTGCGGGAGCCCAGCGGCCGTAGCTTTGCTCAGAATGTCTGGTGGGGTCTGATCGAGTTTGATGGTAAATATTCTCCCTTAAGAAGTTTCTTATACGCACTTGCCCAAGTCTTGAGGAATGCTGACCCTCGTTGTGATAGTTCTTGGAATCGTCCTCTTCGCCTGCGGTCTCGTCACCTTCCTGCTGCCCTTTTCTCTCGCGAGCACCGCTCCAGATGGCTGGAAGTCCGGCTACATCATCGCAATGATCGTCACCGGCTTTGTAGTGCTCGCCCTCTTCATCCTCAACGAGCTCCACCTCGCGCCCAAGCCTTTCCTCAAGTTCGAATTCTTCTCCGACAGAACAGTTATTGGCGTGTGCGTCCTCGACATTACGTACCAAGTCGCCTACTACTGCTGGAACAGCTACTTCACCTCCTTCCTGCAGGTCGTCAACGACCTGTCCGTGTCCAACGCGGGCTACGTGGGCAATACCTTTGATGTGGTTTCCGGCGTGCTCCTCTTCATCGTTGGCTTCTCCATCTCCAAGACGGGTCGCTTCCGCTGGCTTCTGATGGTCGGCGTACCGCTGTACACCTTTGGCCAGGGTCTCATGATTTATTTCCGCCAGCCCGGCCAGAGCGTCGGGTACCTCGTCATGTGCCAGATCTTCACGTCCATCGGCGGGAGCGTCTTTATCCTCTGCATGCAGGTCGCCATCCTCGCGGCCGTGGACCACCAGCACGTCGCCGCCGCCCTCGCGCTTCTGAGCGTCTGCGGCAACATTGGCGGCTCTGTGGGGAACACGATCTCTGCGGCGATCTGGACCAACACGTTTGAGAAGGCTCTGGAACGAAACCTTCCCGCGTCTGCGCTGGAGAGCCTGGCGGATATCTACGCGGATCTCGATACGCAGCTCAGCTATCCTGTCGGCAGCGATGAGCGACTTGCCATACAGAACGCGTATGGGTATGCCCAGACGCGGATGCTTGCTGCTGGGACCTCGGTGATGGTTTTTGGCTTTATTGCTATCTTCATGATCAAGAACTACAATTTGAAAGAGATGAAGCAAACAAAGGGGCTTGTGTTTTAAGAGTTGCGCGTACATGGGCTCCAGCAGACTGATGCGTTAGATCATGAAATGCAGATCACTTGATCGACTGGAATAGACTAGCGAAAATCGGATGTCATTGATGAGATGTTTGAAGCAAATTCAATGTACACGTTCAGTCGATATAAATGCTTGACAATTGTTGCAACCGTGAATCGACATTCGCAGCAGAAATGAGAGGCCGTGCCATTGTCATGCGCCGACGACTTGCATCGACAAGAAGAGGGGCGCAAAGGGGGTTCGCTTGAAGATGGGTATTGCTCTTGAAATGGGATTTCATGCACCGGGCATCGGCAGTGACGTTGTCAGTCAGCGGGAAACAAAACAAAGCTTAGATAACGGGTGGGCTCGGTGATGATGTCGACCAATCACCGCTCGTCAGCGGATCAAGCCCGGACCTTTCGGTGCTGCAGCAGCCAGTGAAACGTCAACGGGGACCCGCACGGCGGAGGTTTTCCCCACGTCTTTTAGCGGAAAGAGCACACGGGCAGGTGCACTGGTCCTTGGTGCTTTTTGCCTCTGTACCCGTACGGTCTGACGCTTTTTTTCCTTTGCCGCCGACGCGAGTCCACTTTCCGACCTACCTCGCCTTGAGCTACTTGACCCCATCTCCCCAGAAGCTTTTCGACATCAAAGATCTGGGGCTCCAACACTCCTCTTCAGCAGTACTTCTTGGCTTGATACCTGGTCTGAATCGCCAAGATGTCAGCGGACGACCAGCAGTTCCTGGACGTCGTAAGCATCACCCACCTCCACACCTCCAAGCTTGTGATCACGGAGCTCTACTGACACCGCCTTCCTCTTCCCACAGCTGTCCTCGCTGCCCAACAAGATTCGGGGCTACTCTGACGACCTCGCGAATCTTATCAACCCAACCGTCGACAAGGCTGCACAGGCTGTGAGAGAAACGCTCTCCTCCACAGAATGGCTACCCGACTCGGTGCGGCCGAAACCTCCCGTCCGCCACATTCCCATCGAGGTGATAGCTATGAGCCGGTACGAGAGGCTGCATGACTGGGTGAAGGAACACAAGCTGTTGACCGGTGCCATCGTCGCCGTCGTGGGAGTCGTGGCATACCGATCATACAGGAGTAGCAGATTCTGCAAGAAGACGCGCCGGGCGAAACGGGCGAGAAACGGTGGCCGCCTCGAGGTTGTCGTCATCGCCGGTTCACCGACTCTGCCCTTGACGAGGTCGCTTTCCCTGGATTTCGAGAGGAGAGGCTTCATTGTTTATATCGTTTGCAACGCCGAGGAGGACGAGAGCATGGTGCACAGCTTGGCAAGACCGGACATTCTGCCTCTGACGATTGACACGACGGATGTGAGTAAAACCGGCATGTAGTTTCAGGCCTTCACTAACGCATGTTATAGCCTCCCCGAGCTGGCGCAGCCATCGATAGTTTCGCACAGTACCTTCAATCACCACACGCCCCAGTACCGCGGACAAGGCCCAACCATCTGCAGCTGAAGTCCGTCATCCTTATCCCGTCGCTCAACTACCAAACGTCACCTATCGCCACTATCCCGCCCTCCAGCTTCGCAGACCTGTTCAACACCCACCTTCTCCACCCCATTCTCACCATTCAGGCCTTCCTGCCGCTCTTGACAACTCGCCTTAGCCCGCCCGGAGAGAAGTGGACGCCGCCAAAGGTTCTCGTCTTCACTCCGTCCATCATCTCCTCCATCAACCCCCCTTTCCACGCCCCCGAGGCAACGGTCTCCTCCGCCCTATCAGCCTTCACCGAGGTTTTGACAGCAGAACTGCGGCCTCTCGGCATCCCCGTGACCCATATGCAACTGGGCACATTCGACTTCACCGGCTTCCAACCTGCAAAGCATACTCATCCTTCCCAGAGAGGTCTCCTCGAAGGTGGCCCCGGCATCGATGCCGACGCCACGGAGACTCTCATGTGGCCCGATAATGCCCGCCATGCCTACGGACGCAATTTTGTCATGCAAAGTACCTCTGCGATCTCGGCCGGTCGCATCCGTGGCTTGAAGGGCAGCTCCCTACGTCACCTCCACAACGCTGTCTTTGACGTCATCGATGGCTCCATCACCAGCGGTACTGTCCGCGTCGGTCTTGGCGCTGGCGTCTACGGCTTCGTTGGCCGCTGGGTCCCTCGCGGTCTCGTCTCTTGGATGATGGGCATCCGCCGTGTTGATGAGCTGTCGGCGTGGCAGACAAGCTCTTATGACGGATCACTCGACGGCAGCGACAACGACGAAGGCCAAGACTTCGTCGCCGTACCCGAGGAGAAGTTGGACAGCAACGTGTGGAAGTCATCTTAGCAGGGCACATCTTTGGCCAAAGACTTGCAAGGCACGTCGGGATCTACGTTCAACGAAGTGGCTCAACCAATTCACGAAGCCATGGACAAGATGCTTAGCGAAGCATTGGAGATTTTGAGCAAGCCAGCTTTTGATCTTGACCGACAAATCTAGGCATCCAAATGGTGTAGGTTGGTGTGTTAGGACGAGCCATTCGGTTCTGTCAATGACAATAGCATGATGTGCTGGGTAGGACGCCACTCCAATTATTGTTATCAAAAGCGCATGATTGACGACGCCACTCGGTTCCGTAAAGGAAAGGTATCACCACTCGTTGGATTAGCGCATAGCCATGATAGTAATGCAGCGTTGTATTGTGGCTGAGCCTGCGGCTCTCTACACCTTCTCTCTGATAATTTGCAAGTCTCAAGGCTCCATGATCGTTTTATATGTCAGCTGTGCCAAGAATTCATTGAACTCCTCATGGCTCATTTCATGAACACTTGTTTGGTAATAGACGTTCCTCGAGTTACGATGCTTATAAGGACGTCCACTCAGGGCCCTTAGAGCACTCCTCGAAAGACCTGGTAATGAGCTTAGTAGCTTTAGAGCTTTTTATATCGGGTGCATCGTTGAAAAGGCATCGAGTTTTCCATGGCTCGTTTCATCATTACTTAGTGAATGATAGTCATACCTTGAGGCACCGGAGTAGTGCTTATAAGAACGTCCGTCCACTCCTGGTTCCAAGAGCACGCTCAGCAAACCTGGTGATGAGCTTATTAACCCGGGAGCCTCTGATGTCAAGCGCATGGTGCCTCTTCCCTTGGGGGTTCAAAAGTCGTTCCCGTGATCAGTGCCTTGGAAATGGTGAGGTCAGAAAGAAGTTAGGAAAGCCGTTTGTCGCGCTTAGTGTCCCCGCTCGTATTCGTCGGCGATGGATGGACGACGAGCGTGGGGGACGGACAAGGAGTATCGATATGAGGTAGGTTCTTTGGGACAAAGAGACACTGTCGTTGGGATCTCATGGAATTCCGAGATGAGTATTTACACCCGGCTGGAGCACGTGTTGGAAACTGAGGGAGTCGATGGCATTAATCACGGCTGCCTTGGGAATGTCTGAACAGAGGCGTGAGCTGATGAGGTATTTATACGGATCGAGGTCTATTAGATGTGAGGAGGAGCGGACTTGCACGCCGAGGGTTGAAAAGAGAACGGATAAGATGCGTTGTTGCGATGATGCGAATGTGGTATTTCTTTGTGTTTTTGTCATCATCTCTGGTTTTGACCACAGGGTCGGATGGATTCTTTCTTCTTGGAATAGGGCTTTCAGTTCTAGATGCGATGCCTAGGTGTCTTGTGAGACTTATGGGACTGTTTCCTAATCTCACATATGCAAATGCACGCATGCTATGTTTAAACTCAGCTCGACACTGACACCTCTCTACCATTGCAAAGACCATGGCGGGGATGACGATGGCGAAGATCAAGCAGAAGGAAACAACATTGCATCTCATATTCATCAGCACTTATTGTCTCACACATTTCCCACTTCTATAAGAACTACCCTATTGAGTGGCAGAATAGCGGGAGTTAGTGGGAAATGGGGTTTGGTTTGTCGAGGCTTCTGGGTAGATCGCGAGTCTCTTATCCACATACACAGGTGCTCCGAGTGACTAGTTTTAGACAACAGCATAGTTGATTCAAACTTGATCATGAAATTTGGTATCATTGAATATGTTGCAACCCAGCATCTGAGCAATGCTGCCACGCTCTGCCAGCTATTCTCTAGCCGTTCCCAGACCCTAGCATGCTGCCCTCGGATCCATACTCTCAGTCGGAGCAGCAGAGTCGTACGCCCGGACATGCTCACACCATGTCCTCCCCCAAAGCCTCTCTTAGTGACCACCACGTCCACGATATCTCTTATTCCCCCCACCGCGCCACCTGCCTCCACGACCACCATGTCTCCGATCTCCACCGTGTCCGCGATCGTCGTGCATATCCCGTTGCCTGTCGCGCTGGTGCTGCTGAAACATCTCGCCCTCCTCCCTCTCCCCATCCCTCTTCACCTCGCCCTCCTCGCCCTCGACCTTGGCGCTCGGCTTCTCCAGGTCGGTCCTCCACCTCGGGTGCGCGCCGTACTTGCAACCGGGACCCTCGGGGCAGAACCCGACCAGGTAGTACACGCACAGCTTCCTCCTGACGTGCTTCTTGCTGCAGCGGGGACCCAGCGGACAGAAGCCTTTATCGTAGTGCGGGCAGGGCGGCAGCTTGGACTGCGGGTCGATGTGGAGGTAGAGGCACTCCTCGCCGTTGGAGCAGTAGCCGTTACGCATGAAGAAGTTGCACTCGGGCATCTTGCGGAGGTTGTACTCGTGGAGGAACTCGCACGACTCGCCCTTTTTGCAGAGGCCGCGGAGCCAGTGCTTGCAGACGAGGGAAGGGCCGCCGGTGGGGTTCGAGGAGCTGGAGGAGGCGTGGCGGTCCGGGCAGGAGGCGCCGAGGGGGCAGTGGCCCGCGAGGAAGGGTTTGCATTGCGGGCGGTCGGAGGAGAGCTCGTGGCGGTAGGTCTGGCGGAGGAAGGGGGTGAAGGCGAAGGAGGTTGCCGTCGCGGCGTGGGTGAGGATGTGATTTGTTTCTGGTCGGGGCGCAACGGCTGTCATGTTTTGAATGCTGGCGCTCCGGAGAGCTGGGGGGAAGGTGGGCTTGTGTGTTGGTCGCTGTCGTAGCTTGCGGATAGTCGCGGTGAGGATATTGTTCGTCGAAGTCGCGTTGTGGTTGTGTGTGGTTTGCGGGTTGGATAAATCGCAAACGCTGAATGGCTGTCGCGTACGTTTATCGTGGTGCAGTTTCAGTGTAGTAGGCTTTTTCCCTTAATTAACCAAATGGCGAAAAACGGCAGGGTTGATAAGAAAAGAATGCGCTTCTCAGCTTGAATTGACATGCGCCTCATACCAGAGGAAGCTTGCCAGAAGCTTCAATCAATCGAGAAGACCCATTTAATTAGTCAGCACACACACACACACACACTGGTGGGGCTATCGATCCCAATTGGGTCCGACCTACGTCCGTACCATCCATGCAAACATCCCCCGCTGTCTCCCATCAACCCCATTGGGCTGGCTACCTACCATACCATCCATACCCAATGGGTTATTGGCTCAAGAAACTGATAATGCCCTCCATTCTGTAGGGCGCAGCTCATCAGGGACATATTAAAGATACCGATACCCTACCCTACCTGGCTCAGGCCTGTCGCCCCCCGTGGTCTACGTTCGACCTCGTCGCACCGATCTCAAGGACTTGTGTTGACCGTGAGTTACTTGTAGGACTGGACGAGTCCTCATTTGGTTGTGCTTTCAATTATTAAAGACTGTGCCACTACATCACTCTTGCTCTTAAAAATCAAGCAAGACCCCATAACAGTATCTAAATACACGGTGTCCATGCTTGCCACTTGGACCATTCAAGCGTCTTCTTCACCCGAGGAGCCTGCACCAACATCCTGTTCGGGAGCGTCTTGAGGCTTTTGCGCGTACCAGAAGTAAAAGTTGAGGTAGCGGTGCTTACTCCTATCATCGAGCTCCTTCTTAGCCGTTGCCTGCCATACCTGGCTCTCAACCTTTGAGATGCCATGGGCCTCAAAGGGTTTCCCGGCGAAAGCTGGGATAGCATCGGCAACGACCCCCTTCATGTACTGACCGATGAGCCGCATGGTCTTGTCTTTGGGCCAGGTGCCGACTGGGATCTTCTTTACGTCACAGTGGATATCCTTGAAGCCTGCAGCCTCCAGATGGGGCCGCAGGTCTCGCGCAATGTGAAACATAATACCGAGACCAGCAAAGGCTTCTACGGTAAGTTCATAGAATTCCTTGAGTTTGTCATCTTCAGGCATGGTGCCGTCGTCGCAGTTGACTTGGCCGTGGAGCTCTTGGAACTCGATCCAAGCACCAGGCTTCATATGTCTAGTATCTTGGTCAATGCGGCGTTAGAGAGAGTCCTTGATATTGGACTCACTGATATGCTTGTGTCAAGACACGGTCAAGCTTTCTCAGCGCAGGGGCCACAGAACGCAAGTGGACGTAATCAAAGTTGTCTCCATTGAGCCATGTGTCCTCTGCATCGTCCACAAGGAATTTGACATTTGGGGGAATCCACGTGGGCTGAATAGGAGACAGATCGATGCCAAGGACGTCAGCGGCAGGGAATTGGTCGGCGACTTCGAATATATGTCAGTATCCATGACTGGAGGTTCAAATGAGAAGGCCATGGCAGACCTTGAATTGCCCAAGTTCCTAAGTGACGTGTTAGTCGGAGTTCAGAGACCAGAGCGATCTCAGGTGCTTACCAGTGCCGGTTCCAATATCAATGATCTTTTGGGGGGTCTCGCCAATGGGTGCGTAAATTAACTTTCCATCCTATTTGATTTGTCGTCAGCTGTGGGAGGGGAGGCAGACGAGCGGCGAAATAAGGCTAACGGTCAGCTCGAGCAACATGGTATGCTTCATATCCTCTCGACTTTGCTCTGTCTCGTCGTTGGGCATCGGATAGCGCCCATGGCGATAGCTGTGATAGCGACGACCATTGTCGTACTCATGCGCATAAACACTGGAGCTGAGCGACGCAGAGTCGACCGAGGACGCATCCCAGTTGACAGGCTCAAATTCACTCTCGTCAGCTGGGCCATCGGCAGCCTCAATTGCAGCAGCGGGGTGCTGGGAGGCTAGATCGTTGTTGCTGGACATGGCTTCAGGTACGGATCCACGATTTCTTCTGAAGCTAGAGAAGCAGGGGAGTTAGCAAGGGGATCCCAGCCGCGAGTCAGAAGGCATCTCGAAATCTTACCACTAATGCACCGCGTAGAGCAACCAGTCCTCTATCTCACTGCGGTGACAAAAGGATGAATTTTTGCAGGATTTTCGCGTAGAGCAACCTCGATTTCGTTGTAGCAAGCACAAAGTTACGTGGTCAAAGTGCCAACACTCGTCAACATGACAGAAATTGAGACGTCGGAAGGGTGGGAGAGCCAGGAGTATCCTCAAGAATCTCATCTGTTCGGTTGGTTCCATTTCCCTCGGGCGTGCTCCATCTTATTGCGTGAGGAGACGGCAACATCAGGCAATGCTCCAACGGACGAAATAACTCAATTGGTTGCTGGCCGAGGTGCTCGAGACCAATTGAGAGCACAGATTGGAAGGGCAACAAGTCGATAGCAGGGGTCTATGCTCCGCTTTCGAAAAGCGGCACAGGGCAATGTTTGTCCTAAATTGACAGGCTGGGCTTATTGACCCGAGCCGATATCTACACAATAAGGTCACGACAAGGGAGAGTAGGTACGGATACTCAGTTGAACTCGGGAGCACAGCCATCTGGCGAGGTGCATTCGCGGCGTAGGACAGGAGCAACGTACCGGTTTTCTTACCCTGCAGGTCATCTTGAATGAGGCGACAGCTTTCCAGGCTCAAATTCTTCCGATAAGTGGCACGGTGACCTGGTGAAAATGTCTGAAGCGGTCCCTGTGGAACAGAACGCCGGCTTCTGGCCGGTCATGTTCTCGTAATGAGACATTGTTGATGATGGAAGGCTTTGCAATAGCGAGGCACTGAAAAATCGATTCTCACTGGGGGCGGGGGAGACGATGGCGATCGACATTGGAGGAAGGAATGTGATATTTATATCATCCGAGGACAAGCCACAGCTTGAGGGGATTGTCACTGGGAGGCCTTTGACTTTTAAGATTACCCCTCATGTTCTTCAGCAGCCGGCCCGGTGCGATTACGCAATAAGATGGGTGCAACCTCAGGAATTAGGTTTTTTCCTGCTTGAGAGGGGCCGGCAAAGTCCTGAGATGAATCAGATAGGGCAGTAGACGGCTTACCTTACTGAGGGTGGGCCGTTTTGGGAATATGTCTGTACATGGAAAGAAGCGAGGGCCTGCCAGAAGTGTACCTGAGGTAAGGTACCTTATGTGTATGGCTGAAGAAAGAGTGTGGAGGCCAAGCAAGAAGGAGGAGGAACAAAAACACTTCCAGGTTGGTCATGTAGGAAAGACCCACGTTCTTCGGCCATCCTTTCCTCCCAGGGTTCAAACAATCGATTCACCACAGACGGCTTAGCTCAAGCACCTTGGCCCAGGATGCAGAATGACATGCGCCTTCTTTGTCTTTTTTCCTTCTCTTCTTTCTTCTCTTGCATCTGACCCATCTCGGGCTCTTTTGTCCCAGCTGAAGGAGGGGCTTTACTGCCGATGGTCCCTTATTGCATCCATACAGCGTACCGAGTGCCGAGTATGGAGTTTCTTCTCATTTCTTACCCAATCACTCACTCGACTTGCTCCGACATCCAAGCATCTTCATTAGGTAGTCCGCAAGGAATGAAGGAAGGAACCTACCTTCCTGCCCAAGACGTCGAGACGAGATGCGCCCGGCCTGTGATACTTGCACCTTCCCAACTCTTCCCAACCTTCTTTCCTCCGAAGTCCAACCTCCTCCCACCTGCAGCTGCAGGATGTGGAAAGTCACACCTTGCAGGCAGGCGGAGGCAGGCAGGACCCTTGGCTTCTAAGTACCTTAAGGATAGTGGCATTTGGTACGTGGAATGGGAGCAAACGACCCCGCACGGGCCGATGAAATGTTTGCTCCAACGAAGCCACAAATCCAACGACATGGTTTTGATTTGTTTCTCTTTCTTGCTTCGGCCCTCTCTCCGTCTCCCGTGCCTCTCATCAAACCCGATTCCTGATGGCTTAGCTGCTCTTCAGCCTACTTCTCCCAGCCTATTTCTCCCGTCTCCATCTCCTCCTCCTTTCACCCTTAGGCACCAGCCGCTATAGCGCTTTTCTGCCATGTTTTCATCTGCCATGCCGCTAAATTTAGAGGCGTGCGCGCACGCCTTGCCCTCGTCCGGACGGAGCCAAAACCGTCTTGGCGCCTTTCCAATCACGAATCTCTGACAGGCTTTGCTCCGATACGGAGGTGACAGGACGCATAATACGATGCCTTCTCTGGACCCTAACTAGAGTTTGCCGGGGTTCCTCCAACTTCTGAACCATGACACCCAATGGTTGAAGCCGACTACTGCGATTGACTTACATACGGGGTCTGCCCGCATATATTCGCACGTATAGACACCAACGACAGGGTGCTGTGTGGGCACGCGGGATGCTTATAGCTGGATCACGGAGCCACATCACGGATCATCGCTTGAGACCTCGATACTCACTTGATCGACCTGCCATTGTGAGCATGGACACCCTCCATGCCTTCTACTTCCGTCTCTGTCTCTCTCTCGTGGGCCCATACGACCAGGCCGGCGAAGCAACGAGACATGCCCAGTGCTCCGGACGCACATCGAAGACAAGACGTCCGAGTCCGCTTCGGCGTCGACTTATTATTGGCCCCCTGTTGCGCCAACAATGAGCAAACAAGACAACAATGCGGCCTCGCACATCCGTCACACCATGCGACTGTCACCTATTCGTCGATACCCAACTCGGCCACCCTTCCCGCAATGACCTCATTTATCCAAATCGTCGGATTTCCCAATAATTAGGGCCGCTTCCAATGTTCCGTCATGTGCTGCCAGCGTGGCATGCAGTCTTTCTGCACCTGTCCTCCACCTCAACCCATCGACATTGTCGGCTGTTTCCATCGTTTGATGGGGCACATCACGCAGCCAAGCAGCCGCTACATGTCCCCTGGACGACCCCTCCCCTGCCCACCAACTCTCGCAACCATGCTACTGGCTGAATCGCCGACTGAGACGGCCGTCTTTCGAGACACGATTTCAGTTTGTCAGTTGTACTCAAACCTCGACGCAGACGCTCTCTGCCCAGCCCGGCTTGCTCTGCGCTCAACTTCACCGCCTGAAGTTGATTCTCCTTGCGTGTCCGTGTATGATTCACTGACCAGCCCCCGGCCTGCCGGGCGCAGGAGCTGGGATCTATCCACTTCCAAACAACAGACACCGCCGTACCGCCCGAAGGCTTCAGTGCATATCGATTCACCAGTTGATCCACTCTTTGCACGTCAGTATGATGGCCACTGCTCATGATGGCCCTACTCAATCCAAGGCGAATTCGGCCCTTGCTCAACCGGCGACGGGCAGTAACCAGCCCTTAGAGATCGGGAGCGAGTACACAAGACAAGTCCTCGGAAACGTCGGTGGGAGCGTGGCACAGCATGATACATGACCCATCGCAGGGAAGCAGGTTGTTTTAGAGTTTTGGTACACCACAGCAGAAATACCGCCTCGCTGTCTCGCCGCACGTCTTCTCGTCTTAGCCCGGCGACGCCTCGTGGATTCTCCAACCATACTTTCTTTTTTTTCCAAGTCGGTTTCCCTACTTAGATGCCATAGTAGTCCTTCCCAAGGACGAGATTGATCCTACAGCTCGAAGCCACATCCGGGGATTGGGGTGCTTTCCCAGCCTCGGCATCCTAGCTTAAAGCTTCTCACTTCTAGGCGAAAATCCCCCCAGGTTACCAGAAATGACTGAGGGACGGCCACCGGTTTCCAACGTCGCTTCGTGGCTGATGGTGGCGCTTTTCAGAGCTGGTCGGAAATAACAAGCATGTCTCGAACCTGGCTCCAAGTCACCTACTAGTTTGATGCTGAAATTAGTCTCATTGTGAGTGTACATTCAATTCGCCTTTTTCCGTGGTTCGGCAACCCGATCCGGCAATGGCAAAATCAACGTCCGTGTGCCAGAGTTCATCGAGCCTCACATGCAACGAGGCTGGATAGCCAGTCGTGGGACATGCGAAATCCTCCTGGACCGCAATTTGCCGACCAAAGTCTGATTGCTAGAGAAACAAGCACTATATGTGCTTAACCCATCGTTGCAGCGGGCTGCGAGACTAAGGCTCTCCTTCGCTACCACGCTGTCGCCATGCCATGGGCACAACGGCAATGTTCGCGTTGGCGACCGAGAGTAACCATGGCAGGAATGCGGCTGTTCACCACTGTGCCCGCGTCTAAACAACAACACACCAAGGCACGGACATGGGCGTAGAGGACTTTTGGGGCGCTGGCTCCATACATAGTAGGTACATCAAAGCTAAGACCTGCATGCACGGCCGGGCGGGCGTGGAGAATCCAGCTGGAAGAAGCAGAAGAAGTGGACGAACAAAGATGAGGAAGAAGTGGAAGAACAGCCAAAGTAGCGGTGCGATGTGCAGGGATCATTCCTGTTCCCTGCAACCCTGATCGTCAACTGCCGCCAAGGGTCGGTGGTCGTGGCCGATGGCCGGCTCCAAACAGTGGGAACAGACTCGCGCTGGGCTAAGCTGGGCTAACTCACGGACAGAGAAGGGAGGGAGAGGGAAAGAGTCAGGACGAGCGACCTAATCAAAGCAACAGCGCCAGCAGCCGGGCGTGGCCGCCCTCCCATGATGCCTTGCAATTTGGCTTTGGCAGCCATCTTCTCATCCTTCTCCGCCTCTTCGTCTCTGGTACATGGACGCTTCTCACTCCTCCAGATCTCTCATATATGACCTGACAAAAAGTCTCAACACCATCCATCCCCCCTGCAAGCGCAAATGTATCCAAGTACTCCCCTCGCACCCCCCCTAATGATCCATCCTTCACCCCTAACCCAATTATGTCATGCATCATGGCTTCAAAGTATCCTGGACCCTCTTGTAATTTTGATACCCGTCCCTTCGTCTCCACCGCCTCGGACAAGGCCTTATACTACCTTGCCCCGTCCCGCGTTCGCTCACCGTCGCATTTGGCTTGTCACTCCCGTGCTGTGGTGTCTAGCTAAATATATAGACACTTCTCCATGCTGTTTGGAGCTACAGAGGTTCGCGCTTGCTGCCTGACCGAACATCTCATTGCTCAAACATGCAGCTTTGGGTTCAAGTCCGTTTCTTCATATACTTTCCTTACTACCTTTCCCTTTTCACATTGACTGTCAGAGTTGCTCTTCTTTCCGACCTTTCGAATCCTGTGTCTCTTCAACGGCCCTATGGCAACTAGAATCAAGATGAGTTCTTCATCATCTTCGCGCAAGTCGCGCAGAACGACTAGCATCTCCAATGTCATGTATACCAACGCCGTCTACTTCCCCAACGAAAGGATATACCAGGGCGACACGCCGGGGGCCATGAATTATGGCTGTATCAACCATGTGTATTACGCCTTTGCAAATATCTCGCCAGACGGAGGTGTTTTTGTGAGTCTCTTTCCTCCGCTTTTCGAATAGCTTGACTGACCGGACATTGATAAGCTGAGCGACGAGTGGGCCGATGCCCGCGCACCAGTCGATGGCGTACAGGGTGGCCTAGGGTCCCTCATGCACCTCAAGCAGAAGCATCCGCACCTGCAAGTTATTCTGTCCATCGGGGGTGGCAATTCCAGCGCCGTGTTCCCCGTGATAGCTGCGAATACATTGTACAGAGACAACTTTGCCCGGTCTGCGAGAGGCCTGGTCGACGCTTCAGGGTTGGATGGCATTGATAGTGAGTCTGCTCGGATTTGTCTACCTTTGCATTAGGGGGTAGCTAGCTCACATCGTTGATCAGTTATGTGGGAGTATCCTTCTGATTCCCAGCAAGGCCACCATTTCCTCGCTCTGCTGGCAGCCGTTCGCCTTCATATGCCCGAAAGCCATTATCTCCTCACTGCTGCGCTACCCGCCAGCCGAGCTATCTTGCAATACATCGATCTGCAACGAACAGCCGATTACGTCGACTACCTTAATCTTATGGCGTACGACTTTGCCGGCACATGGACACACAGAAGCGGCCACCACGCGCAATTGTATGCGATGAGCAAGGACGAACTTTCGGGCGCATCGACTGTGCAGTATCTGGTTTCGCAAGGCTTTCCCTCGCAAAAGGTTCTTCTCGGCATTCCCCTTTACGGTCGTAGCTTCCTTCACGCCACTGGGCCAGGACAGAAGTTCAAAGGAGGTGGCGGGAGCAATGGGACTTTCGAGTACAATCAGCTTCCCCGTCGCGGAACGAAGGAAGTCATTGACAAGAAGTCTATCGGAGCTCAATGCGTCGGAGGGGATGGCGGCTTCGTAACGTACGACAACCCCGACACGGTGAAGATGAAGGCTGCATTTTGCAAACAGAAGAGCTTGGGAGTAAGTTTTGTCTTTCTGGTACTATCGACTGATACATCTGCTGATGACTTGGATAGGGATTGTTCTACTGGAGCGGACCAGCAGACGCAAAGGAGAGCTCGCGAAGTCTGATAGCCACCGGATTCAGAGCTCTGCATAGTTCCTGACGGGTCATCTTCCTCACAGCGCTCCACCTAGGTTGCGCCCAAGACATTTAGCAACATGTTACCGACACGTGTCGGCAAACCTCGGCCTCACGGGCCGAAAGCCAGTAACAAACAGACGATAACTGCATTTGCACGGAGTAAATGGATCGACAGCATCTGGCGGGGGGCGCCATGGCGTTATTTTTTTTTTTTTTTTTTTTTTTTTTTTTTTTTTTTTTTTTTTTGCTTTTTTCTTCACTGACTTTGTTTTTTTTTTTTAAATGTTTCTATGTTTTTTTCTTGTTTTTTTTTTCAATTTGGCGACTTGCATCACGGACTTGGTTTTCGATGTTCGACATTTACTCGGATTTTTACGAATGATTCCCCCTTGGAACTTTGATCGACGCATCAACGGCGGCGGCAGCATGACTGGAATTTGGGGGCGGGGAAAGGACACTAAAAATTCGGGGCGGCTTATGATATCCCACGCGTGGACCAGGGGGTCGATGTAGCTGACTTTGCATGGCATCATACGGCTTCTCTTGATTTTTCTACCCTCGAGACGGTTTGCATCATGATTCACGTTGTAGAAGAGGAAGACGAGGAGGGGTGGCATTGGGTGGGGTATCTGGTGAATGGACATGTTGTATTTCTCGGTTGGCGTCTAGGCATGGAACGCCGTTGACTCGCGTGGCGGCTCTGTTTCTTACGATGAGGGTCGGAGGGTCGGAGGCCCGGAGCGAGCTTCAATGGAGCACGGAACTTTTCTGGTTTATAATTTTTGCCCCTCCTTTTTACCATCGTGAGATTTTTTTGTGTGTGGCGGGCGGTGGGTTGCAGTGGGCGGTCTGTTGGATGGGCCTCGGATGGATCCAGAGGGTCGAGTGGGTGTGGGTATTCTTCTCTGCGGGCACCTGCGTGGGTGTGCGAGTGAGCAGCCCACGCCGATCGCGCGGGGCAGAATCACTTCTTGCTGTACTGCTTTGATGCTCTGATGCTCCAGACCGAAAGCGGGAAAGTTGCTCCAAGTGGAAAGAAACACTTGGATGGGATCCATAGATGGATGGAGAGAGAGGGAGAGAGAGAGAGAGACAGAGAGAAAGATAGGGAGAAGCGTACCGGTATCACCGTACTTAGTGGAGGGGTTGGAGGAGGAGGAGGAAGAGGAAGAGGAGGGGCAGGGGTGAGGAGGAGGAAGCAGGGAGCAGGGCAGACTGAGAGAGCCGGGGTGGGGAAAGCCGCTGGATCGGAGCCCACTCCGAGATACGGGAGGCGGAAACGATTCGGTACCGTCTGGACTGCGACCGGGTGAGAGTGGGTGTACATGGGCCAATCAAGGGTTTTGTCGTCGATCAATCCGGGATGTTTACGGGGACCGTGTGAGTGTCAAGGACGAGACGGGGAATAACACCTGTGATAGTGGGGCATTGATTCTGGAGTTTAAGCGTGAGGTTTGTGTGTGTGTGTTTGCTGTGTGTGAGGAAATGGTACAGATATACGTGCTGCTTTTGAAGGGTGGGAGGGGGGAATTTTGATCTCATTGGAGGTGAGGTGGAGTGGGAGGAAGGGGGGCATGCACGAGGACCGATTCGGAATGTCTCGATTCTCCCGTGATCCCCTCCTCTTCTTGTTTACGAGCGTCGAGCCAAGGTCTTTTTCTTCTTTTTTTCTTTTGGAGATATATTAGTGTGTTGCTTTTTTTTTGACAAGTAGGTGTGTTTGGGAGGGGCCCTTGCTATGTTTAGCTCTTTTGTATTCCATATTCATCTACACAGTTCCGAAGATGGGGGGCATGTTGATAAGCAAGGGTGGACTGAATGAGGTGGAAGAGAGAGAGAGAGAGAGTGTGTGTGTGTGCTGGGGATCTTCGGTACCGGTATTCCATGACCACGACTTCGTGTGGGGTTTTCACACACCCGGCCTCGAGGTTCGCACATATGAATGGGTATTTTGGTTGGTCGACATGGGGGGGGGGAGTTTGATTACTTATTCAGCCATGTTGGTTTGCACGAGTTTTGGTCACTGTCTTGGATGGGAAATTCAATCGTATTATTCTGCACTTCTTGGGACGATATGTAGGAGAGAGTCATGGTCCTGCATATGAGGCGTGCATTAATTGTCTTTCATTCGACAGAGGCGAGAGTAAGAGAGAGAGAGCGAGCGCCCTGCTGTAGGGGATGTTGTTGGGATGTGTGCGTGCATGTGTGTGTGTGTGTGTGTGTGTGTGTATGTGTGTCTTGTGCTGGTGATGTTATCTGCAATTCCCATTCGGCATCACCAAATCGGGATGGTGGCTTATTCTATCCCATTTGCCCGGTTGTACGGATACTGTCGATGAAGTATGTGTTGTACCATGTTGTAGTCGCGAGCAAAGAGTTGGGCTACAATGCGGTAGGAGGGGGAAAAAAGTCCCATCCACTTTTTTTTCCTCAGAGGTGACATTTGCGAATGCTATGCTGTTCCAACGCAAGTCATGCAACAGCTGAACTTCCGACCCGAGACCACTGCATGGTGATGGTACAAAGGCTGCGGGTTGCTGGATCGGGATGGTGTGTAATGGCTAGACAGGGGGGTAGGAATGGATCACTTTCAGGTTCGACCTTTGGGCGCACAGCAGGTCTGGAATGGGATTCTTGGAAACGAAGAGGGGTGGTGGGTGGTAGAGATGACGGCAGAAAGTGGGTGTGCTGCACACGTGGGTTCACATCACGGGAAAAGGTACGGAGCGTGGTGAACCAGACAGCCCACGGCCGATGACGATGTTTCTTACCTGGTAAATTCATGGTCCCCGGTTGGCATGGGTGTTGGTGAAGAGGGGGGTTAGGTGAAGAGGGGGATTAGGTGAGATGAGGTGAGATTCCTTGATGAGAATGAATGTTGCGGTGAAGTTTTTGCGGTCTGGTCCAAAGCTCATGGTTGGCGGTGTGGTGTATTAGGACGGAGCTGGAACCGCTGGTACATTTTTTTGGGTGTCGATGTGTGCTAATTAGTGTCCCGCGTGGGAAACTTGTTCAAGGCTGGGCTTTTTCTTGTTAGTCACGGCTTCCGAGCCTTTGGTGGTTGCTTCTAGCCTTTTGGGCCGGTTCCAGGCGCAATCGTCTTACGTGCTAGTTCGCCCATTGGGGTCGTCTTAGGCCCAGGGGATTGAGGAGTTGTGACGACGACGGTGTGTCTGAGGCCCAATATAGCAATCGGGCTCTGACGCGAGCCGCCGCCCGGGGGACTTGAGCGAAGAAACGCCTCATCTTTTCCTTGCCTGTACTGTCCAGGATAGCTTCCTTCAGCTCCTGACGCTCGCCTTCTTTTCGAGGCTGCCTGGCTTTTCCATAGCCTCGACGCAATCCCCGCCCTGGATGAATCAAGAATAAGGTACCTACCTAAAAATGCCAGCCTAGCACGAGAGCAGGAAGCCGATGCGGCGCACTGACTCGAGAGAGGGCGGGTCAAGGTAGATGGCCTCGATTGTGTTTTGCTTTTCTCCACGTGGGCTAAAGGCGGGCCGCATTGGTCTGGCAGCGGTGCAGAATTTCTGGTTTCTTCTTCTTCCCGAGATTGGACGGCGTCGTGTTGGAGAAATGGACGGCGCGCTTTTTGGGTTTGGTAGTATCGTGGGAGGAGTGGAGGGCGTCCGTCATGGCTGCCCGGCAGGCAAAGTGCGGTGTGTTGAAGAAAGCGGGAAATCTTTTGGACATCGGGCGTTGGCCGCCCCGGCCGATTGCGGGTTGGCGGGGAATGGGTTGACGGGGGGATCTACGGTGCTTCTCGGGGGTTACGAGGGGTATGAGAGGCCCTAGAGAGAATGGGAGGGGTGGAAGGAGGGGCGGATTTGCCCAGATTTACATGACTCGGTTATCGGGGTTTGAGCCTTGACAGAATGATGTGCTTTTTTGCTGAAGAATTCCTCGGGACGACCAAGCCGGAATGCTTAAAACGACGTATGCGTGACGGGGACGTGGCAGGTGATATGGCAGGTGACAATAATGGGGCGATATAGGACAGGGGGATTGCTGACTTGCGGGACAATGGGAGGGTTAGAGCAACAAGCCCAATGTCAGACTGTAGGAGCTAGCTGCCTGCAACGGGCTGTGCCATGTTTGTTTCCATTTTCGCGGCGGAATGCGGGCGAGCCTCAAGTGTAGTGACAGCTCTGGGAACCGAGGTATGCGTGCTGACTGTGTAATCTGTTTCCAGGCTTCCGCTCCCCTCCGGTATGACAACGACAAGAGGGTCGGATCGGGAAGATCGGGGGTCACGGGGGCGGCGGGGATGTTGGTTTATGCCGAGCAGAGCCGGGCGTGGGGGCCATACCTGTGAATGTCGGGAGGCTGGGGCTCCTCGGATTCGGAAGATACGTTTGCCGCAAAGACCGAGATGGTGTCGGAGTGATACGGCGTGCATGTGAACGTCACGCCCTGACAGAGTTCTGACAAGTGAGACAAATGTGTTCGTCACCGGTCGTTCCAGGCCGGTGCCATGGCCGGCCGCATGAGCTGGTGCTCCCAAAGATTCTGCCTAGCTGACGACTCTAGCCAGGCGACAAAGCTGACGTTGAATGGGTGGTGTACGACTGTCATCCGTCGTCTGATGTTAGCCGTCGTGGTTGGTCAGTTATCAGATCGAGACATCCTTGAAGTGGTGGGCAGAAACTTTGACTATGGGAACAGGCGTTGGTCCGGTGTTTTGAGGTCTGTGGCTTTAGTTGGGATATCCAAGCGATACGACAAATGACGAGCTGAGATCTAGTGAACGTGATCTTCAACCAAGTTGTGTGGCAAGAGAAGGGGGCTGCGCTTCATCGTCTTCGATGTTGACTATCCATGCAAATCGCGAATGATACGATAACGAGCGCTCGCGAGTGGCTGGAAGGTTTCAATGTGTTGGCCGAATGGCTCATCGGCACCATGGCTCCGAGGATCTCGAACGATGACGAGAGCTCCAGGGTATGGGCCACCCCGGTCTATCAAGGTTGTGGCGTTGCTTCCAACAATTGTTTTCTTGGTCGACAGGGTCCTGTATGCCCTTTGTCACATTGACATAAAAGTACATAACACGGCTGGGTATAGGTTGCAGGTGGTCTCCAAAGGGTCCGTGGAAACAATCGCTTCTGAGTTTTCGACTAACCCGACGGCGCGAATCGTCTTTTGAAAGTAATTTCTTCAGTCGAACTTGCCGATAAGTGATTCGACCATAATGACGACACGTCCATGATAACGGGACTTGGATTCGGAACCAAAAAAATGTGGATTGGTTTCGTTGCAGATGTGATGAGCTTGGTTCGATGGGAATAAGATGTTAGACTGCCGCCTAGGTCAAGCCATCGCAATGAAGCGCTTAAAGATAATTCCATCTACCAATTCGCGAAATGCCACATTGCAGACAGCCTCTGCAACGATGTTTGACTCGCGAATCTGCTGCGATGCTGAAGAGTGAATACGTGGGCTGTGCTACTGGCTTTCATCGCATGCCTGAGCTTATAGGCAGTGAATGCGGCTCGAGACCCATCGTGCTTGGAACAGAAAGAGATGCCGATGCGATAATATTGATCGAGAGCGTTGCACTCCATTAATTTGCCTAGAATGGCAAGTGTTGCACGCCCAATGCCAAACAGACGGCGCACGCGAAGCAATCCCGAAAAACCCTTTTAGATAGGCAGTAGGTCGAAGGCTGGCGTGTGAGTAACGGTGTAGCGCAAAAGAGAAGTTGCTGCAGCCGAGATCTTAAGCCCCGATGACCGACTGCCCCGATGCAATTGCACAATGTCAGACATCATGCAAGGGGGAGAAGCGATGCATGTTGATCGGAACGTCCTCTTAAGGTTTGGTTGAAGAAAGAAGAAATCCGACCTTTCCCCAGACTTTTTTGAGGTGGGACGATGCAAGAAAAAAGGGACGGCATGGCGCCTGCTTCCAGAGCTTGAGGAGCTTCTCGGACCGCATTCCGATTGGCCGCGGCAGATCCCGTCGTAGATCCCCAGCGTCCCGTCTTAACACGTGACGACATCTCGACTCGGAGCTCCCAAACACGCAGGCCAACTCTTCAGGGAATCTTACACATGCAGCAAGATGTCCCGTCGAAACCCGTCAGAACACGATTTCTCATTGCAAACCAAGTCCACACGGTCTTTCAGTATGAACGGGACATCAATTGGCGGGAAAACATCCCTCGATGCCGGTACCAATTCCACTCCCACTCGGCGCAGCTCGCAACTGACCCTGAGGCAGCCGACTACGATCCCATCGACCACCTAAATCACCTCTTTCCGCACCCGTCAACCGTAACCTCAATAAGCCACGTTTCCGATACACTGCAAACCCACAAGAATGATCTTGCCGTCGAAATTTCCGACCTCGAGGTCGCCCAGGCCTACGGACCCGATTCGAGCCTCGAGCGCATGCAGTCTGCCCAAGCCGAGCTCGCCCAGCTCTTCCGTAAGATCGAGACTGTACGATCGCGAGCGATCCAGACCGAGCAGAACATCACTTCGATGACGGCCGATATCAAACGACTTGACGGCACGAAACGGAACCTCACCCTGAGCATGACGGCTCTCAAGCGGCTTCAGATGTTGACGACGGCATACGAACAGCTGAGAGGCTTGGCCAAGACGAGACAATACAGGGACTGTGCGAGCCTATTGCAAGCTGTGCTGCAACTTATGAAACACTTCAACAGCTACAGGAGTATTGAACAGATCGCCACGCTGAGCAGGGGTGTCTCAGAATTGCAGCGGGAATTGCTGGAACAGGTCTGCGAAGACTTTGAGATCGCATTTGCAAAGGGAGAGGTCACGCAGCGCAGGGGAACACTGGTGGAGGCCTGTCTGGTCATGGACGCCTTAGGCGACATGGCCAGGACGCGATTGATGAACTGGTACGTCAACACAGAACTGCGCGAGTATCGCCAGGTGTTCAGGGGCAACGACGAGGCCGGGAACCTGGACAACATCGGCCGCAGGTATGCGTGGTTCAAACGCATGCTCAAAACCCACGAGGACGAGCACGCCGCCATCTTCCCTCCCCACTGGCGTGCGAACGAGCTACTGGCCATGGCTTTCTGCGACGGCACTCGAGACGACTTCAAGGGTATTCTCGAGAGAAGTATGCGTAAGACGGATGGGCAAAAGATTGACGTCAACCTTCTCCTGAGCTGTTTACAGGAAACTTTGGACTTTGAGCACGGTCTTGAGAGGCGCTTTGCCAACGAACCGCGCGCCAGCATCGACACACTGAGCTCATCCGATGACAGAGCATCAAATTTCCACGGTTCTATATCGACTGCCTTTGAGCCGTACCTGAGTTTGTGGGTGGAGTCGCAAGACAAGCAACTTGCTGCAATGATACCAAAATACCGGAACCAACCTCTGCTGCCGGAAGACGATGAATTTTCCACGCAAGCCGTCATTTCCTCAGCTATTGAGCTTTTCCACTTTTACAAACTCACACTATCGCAATGCGCCAAATTGTCTACGAGCGACAGGTTGTTGGACCTTTCCAAAACGCTGGCAAAATACCTTGACGAATATGCACAGCAAGTCCTTTTGCATATCCTGCAAAGGGCTGGACCTCAAGGTCCGCCTGTTCAAGATGTCATTTTGGTGTTGAACACGGCAGATTTCTGGTCTACAAATACTACCCAGTTGGAGGAAAATATCAAAAAACGCATCGACAATGAGCTTGTTGGAAAAGTCGACCTGTCATCACAGGCTGACGCCTTCCTTGGTGTGGCCAGCGCTGCTGTGCTGACACTCGTACGCAATGTCGAGATCGCCTGCGAGGGATCTTGGCGTGAGATGCGCAACACAGGCTGGAGCACCATGGAGACTGTGGGCGATCAAAGCTCATACGTTGGCGAGCTTCTTTCTTCTGTGAATGGCAAAGCCGAGGAGATCCTAGGCCTTGTGGTCAAACAGCAGTACGCTAGAGCATTTTGCGATAACCTAGTGGACCATCTCGTGAACGCCTACATTAGCAACATTGTACAATGCCGTCCGGTTTCCGAGGTCGGCGCTGAACAGGTACGAATAAATTGCACACAATCCCTAATTGCAGAGGCTGATCAATCATTCCAGATGTTGCTTGACAAGTACGTTTTGACCAAAGCATTCGAGAACCTCTTGTCGTATCACAACAAGTCATCGTCAACACCGCACACAGCACCGGCGGGCTATGTAAAGCGAGTGAACCAGACAATGAACCGTATAGACCCTCTCCTCAAGACATTACAAGTCCGCCCTTCGCCGCCAGAGGGCTTGGTCCAAGCATACCTGATCCACATCGCCGATCGCTCCGACACCAACTTTAGAAAGATTCTCGACCTAAAGGGCGTCCGCAAGGCCGATCAGGGCCACCTTGTGGAATTATTCGGCATCCACCGCGAGGGCAACCTCAGCGACAAGCTCGTCCAGCAATCTCCGCTGCTGACGCCGTTGATGGCGACCACGGGGCTCAGCAGTTCCGGCCTCGGGGCCATCAACGCGAGCACCGCTCTTACGAGCGCCAGCAGCGCTATGCCCGGGCTACCGAGCAAGTTTGACGCAACCTCGTTGGGCGAGAAGCTTCTGAGCGCGGCGAGGGACCTGGGACAGGGAACCGGTCCGGGGGGCATCGCGGGTACGGAGAAGGCGACCATGAACGAGAACCTCAAGAACTTTGGCAAGTTCTTCCGGAGGGACCTTGGAGGGTTTGGCGCGAGGTTTGGAAAGAGAGATGAAAGTGCTGATGGACACCGGTGATTACGGACTACCTTGGTCTGCAGCTGGAAGAGCAAGCCAGCGGGCCGCAACGACGGATGAACAGAGCAAATTGATTCCCCCCTCGGGCAATACGTTGTGAAGTTTTCGTGATGTTATTCTTCGCTAGAGTTTTGCAGAATCCGGCCTCGAGTCTCGCAATCATTTGCCAAAACCTTTTCTCACAGGCAGACCTCATCTTTTCCTTCCACTGCTCGGCCCAATTGAAAGACAACAGCAAGGTAGCCGGCCCGTATACGACTTGAGGTAGCTTTGGAATGGATACGCAGGCGCCGCATCGAGCAAACAATCCTTTCATTTACTATGTCTTTCACAATATGCCAGGATTATATTAAGCGGTCTTTGTAATCGCTGCACTATGGCAATAGCACTACTCAAACGACTATGAATTAGCTCCACTACCACAGAGGCACGGGATGGAGTTGCTGCTGGCTGATTGTGTAGATCGGCAGAGCCTAGGAGTTTCCATTTGGTCTTGAAATGTTGCGTGGCGCTATTTCCTAGGCTTATCCTGCTAAGGAATGAATTCAGTTTGGCTCTTTAGTAACTTTTGTATCTGCAGGGATTTCTAGGTACAGTTTCTTTTCATTCTCTTGGCTTCCGCAGCTTACACGCTCGTACAGATTTTACCCCATACCATCATCTACAAATTCATTAACACCTTAAAAATTTGAAACCACCGGTGTGTTGGTCTGAATCTTATGCAGTCTCCTAAGACCATGTAAGCTCCCACGAAGACGACCATGCTCCAGCAGAGGTGAGAGACTGCAGGCCCGTTACGTGGAGGACGCGGGAAGCCGAGTCGAAGGACCAGTTCTCTCCATCCAAAGCTTTCTCGTTCAGAAGTACAACAGAAACGTCATTCTGAACTCCCAGAATTGTGACGTTTCCAAGAGGGTTCGAGTCTTTGAACTCGCCAGAGGGAGTGGCCTTTAGTGACCGATCGGAAGATGAGAGCTGTAAGCATGTTAGCGTCAGGTCAATTTTCGTGTTGACGTTGGACATCATACCTCTACGGTGAGCGTAGCCTCCTGCTCCAAGCTCTCTCCATCGTCTACATAGAGACTGCCCGTAGCAGTACCATTACCGTCAAGCGCTACCAGCAGACCCCACGGGTTCGCGCGGCTCTCGCTCGTCGTCAAGGCCGGCTCCTGCGTCGGGATGACGTACCCGCCGCGGAGGTAGACCGGGATGTGGCCCAGAGGCGCGTCAATCGTCACGTTCTGTCCGGGAGAGACGCCGGTGACGGCGGACTGGTTGTACCAGTCGTACCAGACGGTGCCCTTGCCGACGCCCGGGAAGACGCCGTCGACGGTGCTGGCGCCTTGCTCGAGGCACGGGGTGACCAGGACCGCCGGGCCGAGCAGGAACTGCCTGTCCGCGCCCGCGAGCCAGGGCTCGTCGGCAAACTCCCACGCCAGCGCGCGCATGACGGTGTCGCCGAGCGTGTGGGCTTTGTAAAAGGCCGTGTACAGGTAGGGCAGCAGGGCGTAGCGGATGGCCATGGCGGACCGCGAGGCGTCGGCGACGGCGGCCCAGCGGTAGGGCTCCTGCGGGATGGAGGAGAGGACGTTGTGGTTGCGGTAAAAGGGGAAGAAGGCGCTGAGCTGCATCCAGCGGGCGCAGAGCTCCATGTCCGTGTTGCCTTCGAAGCCGCACGTGTCGACGCCGAACATGGGGACGCCAAAGATGCTGAAGGACAGGGCCTGCGGGATGGAGAAGAACATGTAGGCCCAGAGGGAGGTGTTGTCGCCGCCCCAGTGGCCGGCCCATTTGCCGGAGCCGGCAAAGGTGGAGCGGCCGATGATGAAGGGGCGTTTGCCGGGGAAGACGGAGAGGAGGGCGTTGTAGGTTGCGTTGAGGATCTGGTGGCCAAAGAGATTGTGGAAGTCGTATTCCTGGGTGCCGCCGTGGTGGGTTGCGTTGGGGGAGACGGCGTGGACGGCGAGGTCGCCTTGGATGTTGTTGATTACGTAGGGCGGATAGTTGACGTTGCGGACGCCGGGTGTTGGCTTGGTGCGCAGGTATGCAGTCGTCGACGTCGTCGACGTAGTTGCTGAGGCTGACGAAGACGAGAGCGTAGCTGCGGGAGTGGATTGCGCGGCTGCCAGGGACGCGGAAACGGCGGAGACGGCAGCGGCTTCGGTGGCGTTGGTCTTGTTGAAGCCTTCGGGGTACTGGAGGACTTCGTTGCCGGGTTCGCCGGGGAGCTGGAAAGGGGGATGAACGGGGTTGAGCGTGAGGTTTCCGCTGCCGCAGCTGCCGACGCAGAAGGAGGAGACCTCGGACATGTCGATCCAAATGCCGTCGAAGGCGACCTTTTGGAACCAGCTCACCATCTCGGTGGTCCACCACTCAAACGTCTTGCTCCGGCCAAAGACGGCACCGACCCAGTCGGGGAAGACCGTGTATCCGGGCCAGACCGCGCCGATGTACAGAGATCCGTCTGGGTTGAGCATGAAAGCGTCGGCTTCGACTCCGCGGTCGTATGTTGGGTAGGCGTCGCTGGCGTTCTTCGGGTTGGGAACGTAGATGGCTGAGTCGACAATGGGAACAAAGTGTTGGCCGTTCTTGTGCAAGTTGCCGAGGAAGCGCGCGGCGTCCTCGTAGCCCCAGGAGTTTTGGTCATCTTCGAAATCACGGTATTGGTTCATGTAGTCAATATCAGCTGGAAAATTGTCAGTTCTGAGTTGTGTGTGGCTTTGAAATATGGATTGACTCACCCCAGAGAGTTTCCAGGGGGATCTTAAACTCGGCAAATTCATCGGCAATCTCCTGCAAGTTGTCCCAGCCGGTATAGCCCCATCTGCATTGATGGAAACCAAAAGTCCAGTATTGCTGCATGGCGGGCAACCCGACAGTGGTCTTTTGGTAGGATTTCATCACCGCGTCAGCAGTCGGTCCAGCGTAGAAGTAGAGGTCAATGGTGCCGCCGAGGCCTCTCCAGGTGATGTTGGACTCTCGGAGCAGGATCTCCTGGGCGTGCGCATTGCGAAGGAAAACCCCGTGGGTGTATGACTTGTAGTCAGCGCTCATGTCCGTAGCGTTGGCGACGTAGACAGCCTCCTTGGTATCGGCGTGGACTTGGTAATAGCGGGTATCGAGATATACCGGATGAGAGCCATAAATGTTCCGGTCAATTGGGTCGCCAGCATCAGCCGCGTAGATTGTACCTGTTTCCTTGAGCCTATACACACAATTCGGTGAAACAGAGCGTTTACTCACGGGTGAGATTGTTATTCAACTTGAAGCCGTGAATGACTTCGCCAAGTCCATACAGGTTGTAGTTCTCGGGAAGCGGCGAAGCAAACTCGAAGAATTGGTCTTCAAACACCAGCTTCGTTCCCGTGGTCGTGAATAACACATCTCCAGTGCTCTTTCTGGACACATTGAACCCGAAGGTTGGCTCGTTTGCCCACTTGAACTCCAAATCACTGTCCGACCCATCAGAGCTCGCCTTTCCGTCTGCAGCGGGTTTCGGGATGAACTCTTCCGGAAGAATGAACCAGGTGTTGTTCTCGGCGCCGAGGTATCGCGGCAGCACCTGTACGTGGAGACGGTCCGTCGCCAGGTAGTCGACGACGAGTGTCAAAGCCTCGACGTCGTTCCCGTACACGTTGCAGGCTGAACCAGCGAGATCGAGGTTGGCAGTGAATCCGTGAGATGTCGTCTGGACGTTTGAAGCAGTGTATCCCGGGCAGACGCTCTGTGGATCCTTGGCCTCCGGATCCTCAATAGTAGGAATGAGATATGCTCCCTCGTCTGCCGACGCGGGGACGGTGAATTGAGAGTGGCTGCTGCTGATCGTGGTCGAGGCCAAGTACTGTCTTGCAAGCGGCCGTCCGAACTCTGCGACCCTCGCCATCGCGCAGAGCGCCATGATGGCGACTGCCGACAGGAGGAAGGGCACGCGGGCGAACATGCTGCGCTGTGTTTCTCTTTTCTCTACTTTCTCGCTAGGGAACTTCTTTGATCGGCGGGAGTAGAACATCCAAAGACACTGAGAGAAGACGATGAAAGCCGCAATCCAACAGATTGAGGTCGTCGAGAGCAATGCTCTGGCAACTGTTCTTATATCCCTCCATCCTGCCCTGTCTATCCAGTTGTTGGGAGTCATTTTCACTCGTAGGATGGGTCGTGTAGCGTTGCAGTCGTAGTCAATTGATTACCAACGAATACTTGCCTCAATTGGTCTCACAGGAAGATAATAAATCGAATCATCATCGTGACCTGCGGTCGTCGGCCAGACTGCGGTGTAGCTTAAGCTTCCCCGCACAGACTAATGCGGAGGGGGGGAGGTGAGTGCCGGGGGCAAGAGATGGGGAGAGATGACGGATAGCCCCCCAGGTGGATCGGTTCTCTGGGATAAGATGACCAGCTGCGGTAGACCGTAGGGCTCAGGTTTCTGCGAACTAAACCGCGAGATGTTTGATGCGGGATGTGAGAGCGAGCTAACGAGATGGAATGTGGAGGATGTGGTGACGAAATGGCAACATAGGTTCGGGAAAAGTGCGGAGTCTTGCGGAGTTTACGCAGACGGCGCGGCTCTAATATCGTCCCATGGTGTTGTCGATCGCCGAAGAGGCGCCCGACCGTGTGTAAGTGAATTACTTACCGCAACCTCATATTTGGATCTGAAGTTGTTGTTTCTGCTGGTGATTTGATAAAATAGTCGCTGAAACTGTTCTTGAAGAGCTCCACCGCTTTGCAGCAAGCATGGGGGTTCTAGCTGGCTATAGCAGGGAGTCCTCTCGTGGGAAGCGAGCAGAGGCTGTCGGATTGACCGGCTTGTGGGTTTCTCCTCTAGGAACTCGTAGTCTCTTGAATACCTTACATTCACTAATAATTGACTAAACATTGACTCCGAGAACTGACGGCAACCTTGTGTTACTGCTTGAATTGAGGTTTCGGCCTGGCAGAAGGCGTTGTTCTTCTACCTGCAAAGACCATGAGGCTGCGGCCTGGGTGCTGCCTTGCAAAGCAGCGTTTTCTTTGCTAGAAGATGCATCGCCAGATCGTGACATCAAGGTTGCCACTCAATGGCATAGAGATTTTAAGGTTGGATACGAACACCGCCATGAGGTCGAAATAGCTGGTCAGCTCTTGGAAGAGGCACCATCGCTACCATGAAAAGCAAAACCATGACCCCTCGTACATGTACGGCCCCAATATCATGTATATGTATAGAGCTATCGAAGAAATACTTGAGCAGCAGACAACAAGCTTATTCTCTTCCGATTCTTCGGGCCAGATGCTCCAGGATAAGCATCAGAGAGTCGTGAGATTCGGTAAGACAGAGACCAAGAACGTCAGCACTTGATTCACATACTCGGTAAAGCAGAAATGGACAATTCAATCAAAATGAATACACCGGGAATTACCATGGGACTCAACGAGTTTCAGAGGCGGAATGCGTTAAATGAACCCAAGCACTACATGTTCCTGGCCTGCCCGCCCAGAACGAAATTCAAACGCAACTCTGTCGCCAATGACTTGCCAGCATTATGCAGCCCGCTGACCCCGACTTCTTCCTCTGCTATTGGATAAACGAAGACCAGCTTTCCCCTGGCGATCGCCCAACGACATGGCACAACTGCCCAAAGTTGTTGATGGAATGTAGACGCAAATTCAATTCGAAAGTTCAGATACCACAGTCAAGTCAGTGTCTGCCAGCTCTTCCATTTGCTGTCAATACTCACCCGTGGCGGGCTTTACAGCGAACTTGGTTCAAGAGCACATATGATGTCAGCGAAAGCCAAAGTTACACAATAGGTGGTTAACGTAGTCGTTCGCGATGACCCCAATCCTAACATGAGTATGTGTTCAGTGGGGTCGAGGTCGACTCGACTGGTCAAATTCGGCTGTTGTTTGAGGAGCACCGTCTGTATTCGGGGACAGAATAATCAGGCTTCCGGGAACCGACGGATGCTATGGTAATAGAGGGATCAAGTTGGGTTTGATGAGGATGGATAATAGTGTGTGTGGTTTTCTCGGTCCACCGGTCTTGAGAGCAGGGCCTAAACACGCAGGGCCGGCGGGTGGATTGACCGACTCATACATAGAATAATCTGGCAGTTTTAATGAAACGAATATGAACTTAGTAGTTTCACGCTGACTGACGCCTAGTCTCCGTTCAAAATAGGAGGCGCTGATCAGACAGTGGGATGTGAGAAGGAGGATCTCAATCCCGGTTATAGAAAGGAATCTTCAATATGTCTAATCCGCAATCCGGCTGGTGGCAGCTGCCGTACCAGAAGATCTCTGCCGGCCATCCAGTCACCATTGCTGGAAGCAACTGTCCATCAATCGGTTTACATTCATGGGTTCTTTTTCTTCGGCCAAATTTGGGTACCATTGGCGATCACACCACTTCATCTCCTGGAATCCGATAATCAGGATATGTTTTTGCCCCTCAAGTGCGGGGAAAACGGATTGCGCAGTCACGGCAGTGTGAAGGTTCGCTACATACGAGCAAGTAATTTGGTCTCGCTGTTACCGATGCTTTACCTTATGAACACAAATTGAACTAAGCATATATGTATGATTGCGTATGACTTTCCTTTGCCTGTCACCCTGGCGAGAATAAACCGGGATGCATCTTACGGATGCGTTGCGGCACGATGAGCTGTGTCTCACCGAATATCAGTCCACTTTAAGAGCATTGCGTCGAGACGGCATAGAAAAGTGTTGGATCCTCCGGGAACTGAATTGATTCTGAGAAGACATATACTTTCTGAAAGCTGAAAGGACAGAAGACTTACGGTCATGGCAGACTCAGACTTTTTCTCCAAACGACGTATCCTCCTATGCTCGACCGTCGGCGGCTTCACTCACGCCGCTCCGATCCTCGAGCTCGGCGCCGTCCTCGCGGCTCGCGGCCATGAAGTACACTTTGGAACCAACTCCGGCCAGGAACACTGGGCCTCAGACTACCCTTCCATCACCCGCGTCCACAGCTTCGGCGCGGCCCTGCCAGACGCCGACGCTGAAGCGCACTACGCACGCATGATACGGTGGCGGCCCAGCGACGGCGTCGGGCCCATCATGCAATCCAAGTACCTGTTCGACTCCTACTGGCCCGACACGTGGTTCCATTTGCGCGAAATCATGCTTGACCCGGATGTCAGGCCCGAAATGATCATTGCGGACTTCTTCGTCGAGGCGGCGGCCAAGGACATGATGATTGAGTTTGGCGTTCCTATCACCGTCATGTGGCCTCAGATGCCCTATCTCCTAGCCCCCGTGAGCTATATACCCGGCCAGCCGGGCTTCCAGGTCGACTTCACACCCACCTCGGAGAACGCTTCGATTTGGTCACGCATCCGGAATGAGATGGTCTTGTTCTGGGCCCTGCCGCACATTACTGCATGGTCCCGTTGGACGCGGGACATGCGGAAACGACATGGCGTCAAGCACTCAGTTCCACTGGCGTCCAAACCAAATCACCTTGTTTTCGTCAACTCGTTTTTTGGCCTCGAGCCTGCAAAGGACTTGCCTCCCCTTATGCAAGTAGTCGGACCGATCCTTGGGGATGAGTACCCTCAACTGGACGCAAATTACAAGGCGTTCTTGGATTCTCACGACAAGACTGTATATGTCGCTCTAGGTACCCATATTGCACTTCCAGAAGCAGAGCTGATGAAGCTGCTCGACGGTCTCGTTATAGCTTTAGATGCTGGACACATCAACGGTGTCATATGGTCTATCGGAAAGTCAGCGAGACAAAATTTTGATAGGTCGAGGCATATCGAACGACCTGAAGGTGGCAGGATGTCAGTCGGCGACGTCCTCGACGAGAAGCACAGCGACTTTCTGGCCCCATCTTTCGCTCCTCAGCGAGCAATCCTCGAACATGCCAATACCAAGCTCTATCTCACTCACGGGGGCGGTTCCAGCGCAAATGAGACCCTATTCCACGGAACTCCACCCCTTATTCTAGGTTTCTTTTTCGACCAGCTCGCCAACAGTGCCCGCCTCGTCGAGGCGGGAGTCGGTCTAGCCATGGACAAGTTCGACTTCACTTCCCAGGAGATATCAGACAAGATCGGCCGTATCATCTCTGATGTCGACGGGTCATTCGGTAGGAATGTCGAGCGTATGAAGAGGATAGCACGCGTGGCATCGCGACGCAAAGAACTCGCCGGCGACCTGATCGAACAAGTCATCCATGATGACGAGCTGCGCTCGGCAGATGGGAGGGCACTCCGACCAATGCACCTCCAGACGGCAGACATGAGGATGCCACTGTGGAAGGCCAAGAACTGGGACCTGTGGATCGTTTCGGTCTCTGCATTGGCGGCCGGGGGCACAGCCTGCTTCCTAGGCGCAAAGTACGCCCGGCAGCTGAATTTAGGCATCAAATTTGTTCGGGGTATCGTGTACAACGCGACTTGAGACAGAGACTTGGCCCGGCAGCCTCCTTCGGAGCATGGAATACTAGATGAACAAACTGCAGATGCATAGAAAACACAACTCTCCATGTACTAATCGATACTGTCGATGCGATTCGAGCTATTCACAAGCTTTTTCGTGATGATGACTTCCATTTGCACAGAAGAGCACGGGAGAAGTGTAAGTCATCTGTAATGAATTTTGCTTATCTTCTTTGGGAATCTACGCCACAAGGATGTCTGCATATTGATAGATCGGCTCTGCTCCTGGCGTTGTCTTACGTGGATCTGTAAATTTTCCAGGTCTTGCTGAACCTCCGGTCTTGGGCGGGAGCGGAGGTCGCAGCCACGAACAGATCCAGCTTTTTAAGGTCGAACCCATGAATTTGAAAATTACTTGGGATGGGAAACTGAGAATCTTATTAAGACCAACATTTCTTTATTACTAAAAAAAGCCAATATCGACTCTGACAAAGTGGCTTGAAGAAGAGCTTGTCATCGTCTCATTTTCATCAAAGCAAACAAGCACTTACTAAACTTAGGCAGTCGACGTCGCGATGGGGATTTCAAATGAGCTGATCACAGTACGGCTAGGAAACCCGGATTTCAAGACTCTTGTATCAGCATGTCTTGTCTTCATGCTAGCCTACGGGGCTTTGAGCATTTTCAAGGCACTTTGGCACGGCTTCACAGGCCCTTTGGCCAAGATACCCGGGCCATGGCTCAATAGAGTCACAGCTTTGCCCTGGATGGCGGCTGTCGTCAGAGGCAAGGCCTTCGAGCAGGGGATCAACTATAACCGCAAATACGGTGACATTGTCCGAGTAGGTGGGTTTTATATGCTTTCCGAACGAAAGAATAATCTTCTTACATCTCATCGAAAAAGCCCCCGATCTCGTACTCGTCTCCGACGAAGAGTCCATCCACCAGATTCTGGTAGGCATGGATCTCCGAAAGAGCGTACTGTACGAAAAGTTCAGCCAAAACGAAGACGGCGTGACCCTCTTCACCATGAGGGATCGGGCGCAGTACCGCACTCGTCGAAGGCTGTTTTCGCACGGGTTCTCCATCAGCTACCTCAAGGGCCTCGAGCCGCTGAAGCTGAGCTGCATCGAGGCGCTTGAGGAGTTCATCGACCACCAGTGCGCTCGGGATGGAGGCGAAACTATCATCGATGCTTGGAATCTGATGGGCCGTCTCGCGTCGGACATCATGAGCGCGACCGCTTTTGGGGGCTCATTTGAGCTGGTGAAGAACGGGGAGCACCCCATTCGCAAGAAGTTCTCCGAGAGCTTCAAGAGAGGCACCATAGTAAGGTTTTAGCCAGAGAGTTGGTATGAAGACGTGATACTGACATTGAGAAAGTATCAACTTCTCCCTTTCTTGAAGTATATTCCCTTCCTACCGAAGTTTCGGGATCCCGAGCTCGCCCAACTGGTCAACGAGATCATTGAAAAGAGGCAGGCCTCTACCGACAAGTTGGCCAAGCCGGACCTGCTCCAGCTCCTCCTCGACACGCACGAAAAGAACCCAGAGACCCTGTCGCGCATCGAAGTGTTTGCAGAGATGCTCGTCTTCTGGTTGGCGGGCAGTGAGACCACGGCTAGCACGCTCACTTTTGCGATGATGTTCCTGCTCAACGACCCAGCTTCCTACCAGAGACTCGTCGACGAGATCCGCGGGAAGTTTCCCATGCCAGATTCACCGGTTTCGGATGACGAGACGACGGATTTGCCGTTCATGCACGCTGTTCTCAAAGAGACGATGAGACTTGCTCCTCCGGCTACCGGCGGTAGGATTACGAGTAGAGCATTCTGACTGTGGCGATTCACTAACCTTCCATTAGGGCTCCAGAGGCAAACTGACGAAGATGTGATTCTGTCTGATCACTTGATACCGGCTGGGGTAAGGCCCTTTACTGCGAGCCTCAGAGGCCGGCTCTGTCTTCTCATGGCTTAACTAACAACGACCAGACCAGAGTGACTGCAAACACCACCGTATTGCATTGGGATGAGAAGCACTGGCCCGACGCAGAGAAGTTCGTCCCCGAGAGATGGCTGTCTGACTACAAGGGCACGGCCGCCAGCGAGAAAACGGCATATTACCCCTTTTCTGCAGGATCGAGGAATTGTATTGGAAAACAGTAAGTCTTCTGACGGTTTTTAGGTATGAATCGATATTGAGAAAGTGAACAGATTCGCGTGGACGGAGCTGCGGCTCACGCTTGTATCATTGCTTCGGCGATATGACCTGTCTCTTATTCCGGACCAGTCTCACGAACTTGTTCATTTCACGGTCCTACATCTGAAAGCGGGAAAGTATATGATTGGAATCAGACCAAGAGCTTAGCATGCTGAGTGGGAATTCAGAGAACATTGAGATATTATAAAACGAACACCCTGCAAGAGATTGACGTTGCACCTTTTGATTGATTTGGTCTCCGCGCTGGGTAGGCCTCAAGCCTTTCACTGGTCGGAGACGGCGAGTCTTCTCATCATGCCAACAAGCGCAAAATCCTGAAGCGATTCAACTCCAATCTCTAGTTTTGGCGCGCTCATGGCATGAGCAAAGGCGACGTCCACCATAGTCTCCTAGATGTTCGTTACGCATGCTACAGCTACTACATCTCCCGGGAGCTCTGTTGATGGTCCATGTCAAAGAGACTTTGAAGAAGAAAAAGGGTTGCGTATCGCAGACATTCATGCCGGGCTCACGGTCTGAGGCGAGCTCGTCAGTGAGTCGTGACCATGGCAGATTCATAGTCGGCGAGGAGTATCGACGGATCTGGAGGGCCCCATCCAAGGTACAGGGGCATGTTCCTGCTGGAAAGCTGGGCGGGACTTACGTAACAGCCTGCACTTCAGCGGATTACCTAATTTTCTTAGAGCTTTGAACCCCTACCTTCCGACAGGGAATAATTTTTCCTTTCCTCATCCCGCTCCCACAATTTCTGTCGGCCTTCACTCCCTCCTCTTCTCTTTTTCTTCACCATGGCAGCAGTCAGAGACAGTTTCCTCGACTTGGAAAAACATCGTCTGCAACTCGAAGACTCCATTGCTAAGCTGCAGAAGGCTTTGCAACACTGGCGAAAATGGGACGCTGAGTACGAGTCCTTGAAAGAGGAGATCGAGTCGGTTCCCCAGCCTGCCAGTCGAGAGGCTCTCGCGCGGATTCGCAGAGACTTCGAGGGCGAGGTCGTCGACAAGAAGGAGATCAATGACCTGTTTGGCAGGATCGATCTGAAGCCTGCCGACCAGATTGTCAACTTGCTTTCGCGTCGCATCGACTATGTTTCCAAGAACATCGCGACTCTTGAGAAGCAGCTTGAGTCAGCGGAACAGAAGCACGCTGCCGCCAGCGTTGTCAGCAATCCTGATGTGCGGGACGAGGATGGCTTGCCTATAACAGAGATCATCGAGGAGCTCGACGAAGAGGGAAATGTTGTATCCAGTCGGCTGCAGCAGCCTGGCGACTCTAGCGCTCAGATCAGGGAGATCCTGGAGAAGGCAGGCGTCAAGGACATCCCGGCCGGCAAGTCATCACAGACGGTGAAGACACAGGGCATCGTGGAAGATCTTACCGACGAGCCTTCCCCTAAGGCATCCGAGTCAAAAGCGCCAGCACAGGACCCCGCGCCGTCTGCAGAGGAGTCGCTCCTAGAGGCAGAGGTTGACGACGCTGTCTCAGTCAAGAAGTCCGTTTCCTTCGCGGAAGACACAAAGCCTCCGACAGAGCAACAGGTGTCAAGGAACGCTCAAAGGGTCGAAGAGATCATGCAGACCGCCAGGAGACAGGAAGAGATCAGCCGTGAAGCGCCCGTCATCCCCGAAGACGAGTCCGAGGAAGACGCTTTCCTCCGCCGAGAGATGCTCAAGTACGGTATGGAAGAGGTTGGCGCAGTGGTGGCTGAACTCAACCTCGAAGATGGCTCTGGCGATGACGAGGATGACTGGGAGTACGAGTACTCTGATCTTGATGACGATGAAGAAGACAAGTTTGGTCGGTCTACTTCCAGCGTCCTGGACGACGGGTACCATGAGCGGATGCTGGAGCTGGAGAAACGACTCGGAGTCAAGTCTCGCTTCACCGAGAAGTTGGAAGTAGACGGCCAAGACTCGGACGAAGACCAGCAAGGCATCGGCCGTATCATCGTGAACCAAGGTGATAAGGTCAAGTCCGTTGAAGCTGCCAAGACTTCGCCTACGACGTCCATCTTGAGGACCTCTTCTCCACCGGACGCGGACGAAAGCAAGAAGAGTGTTCGCTTCGCACAGAGCCTGGACGTCGCTCCAGACACTGTTGCCGAAACTGCCGCCGCCCAGCCAATTGTGCCGCAACCACCGCAAGAGCCCTTCGTGGAACCTCTCAGCGACATCGTCGAGCGCACTGGTCCTGCCAAACAACCGGAGGTCAAGTCCACCCGCAAGGCGTCTCGCTTCAAGAAGCAGAATGCAGCGCCAACTGTCGTTGATGACGGCTTCGTTCCAATGGGCCCACGCGATGTGCCATCACGCTTCATCGACCAAGACAGGCCCACAGCCCCGACGGGACCTGAGGGGAAGACACTGGCAGATACGGTCGTCGAGAAGGAGAGCAAGCCTCAGGACGAGAACGCATTTGATGAGGACTTTATCGACCAGGATCTTGCCGACGAGTATCACCGACAACGGCGAAACTTCATCCAGAAGCAGGGCGGCTTCCTCCAAGAGGACACGTCCGTGGTCCGGCCTCTCGACGAAGCTGATGGTGGTCAGCGGATCAGTAAATTCAAAGCTGCCCGCCTCTCTAAACATTGACCTGGCCGGACCCAGAGCAATAGGTATGTCCCAGACTGTTCTCTCACCTCGACTCTTCCCCAAAATGATGACCAAGACAATATTTTATACAGTTATCCCTATCTCAATCACAATGTGTGGATACGGTTCTAATTTCTGATTTCCTTGTTTCTGCTGCTCAAAATCTGACGATCCTGTGTAAGAAGTCTGGCTAATATCACGCTTCAGTTACCACGGGATACGCTAGCTTAACCATCCATCCATATCTACTGCGATGTCCCAGCCTTCACTTGCCGTGATACATCATGCTAGGTAAGACGATTATTTATTTTACTTTCCTCCCCCCACCCCTCGAACTGATGACCAAGACAATTTTTTATACAGTTATCCCTATCTCAATTTCAAATATGTGGATACGGTTCTAATTTCTGATCTCGACGCAACTGCCATTTTCTTGTTTGCACTTCACTGTCGAGATGTCACGGCTAACGACTGAATTGTTGCAGTTCCCGAGTCAAGTGATCGCACTGGTTGGATTGCTTGCAATCCCTCATTCCTGCCCAGATCTGATCCAGCAACGCCACCCATTCGGACGTGGAGATGTGGATAGAGCGGATAGAAAATGGATTGATAAAGACCTCATGTTGGGCCTCCTGCGCGGTCAGCGATTCTGTAGTTCACGGATCCTGTCGTGTCTTGCTTCTCACACTTTGCTATTGCCAACTAATCCTTACAGTGCTGGTTCGTTGTGATGCCGGAGGCAAATTTTTCACTCCTCTCTGACTCGATCGCATCGATGGGGGACATGGTTCATGTTGGCACAACGGACCGCTTATCAATCTGACAATTGATGGGTTGCAGCATTCAATCTGCTTCACCATTACTAGCGGATCCAAGAGCAATGTCTACGCATGGGCTCTCTGATGCCATCACCTTTTGGCTTTTGCCATTGCCGTGGTTTCGGCTCTTCGTTTCACCCCTGACATAGATAGTCGTTGAATTAGACGATGTTAAATATGCTTCATTAAAAAGATGGCGATTAATCACAAAGTTAAAACTCCTGCCTATGGTGACCTATCGTGAAAGTTTTCATTTTTTGGTTTCTTAATTATTCTTATCAGGTGTGCTACCGCCAAAAGAAGAAAAATCTAGCTAATCTTGGCATTGCTAAAGTCCATCTCTGGGTGCTCGGCCTGGAACTTTTTCAAAATGTCAAACTTCTTCTGCTCGTCCGAGGTGGGCAGGCCTTGCTCCTTTTGGCGCTGGTCCCACATCATCTTCTCAACCATGCCGCGGGTCTCGCCGTCGAGGTCGGACAGCTTGCTCGTATCGGGCGTGATCTTGGACACGTCAATCTTGGGCGCCGTCGTCACGACGTGCGCCCACCACTCCATCTTGTTGACCTTGTCGAGGTGGATCTCCACCGTCTTGGTGCCGTCGGGTGCTGAGGCGAGGGTCCAGGTCGAGTCGTCGACGAGGATCGCGTGGGAAAGGTCGCCCTGGATTTTTGATGCTTCTGTCAGGAAATTTGATTTCTTGCTTTCTCCCAAGAGTTTCTGCGTATTCAAGAGCGGGCCGGCAGAGTGTGTAGGGAAGGGGGGGAGGGGAGGGGTCGTGACTGACGCTAACGATGGGCTCCTGGCCCTTGACGCCGGCCGAGATCTTGGTCTTCTTGATGTCGATGACGAGATCCCTGCTCTTGTAGTTGCCGGGGACGCTAAAGGTGATGTCGACGTCGCCGATGGTCTGCTGCCACTTGTAAGGCAGCGCATTCTGCTCCTCCGTTTCCTTGGCGCGGGCGGCGGCCTCCTCGGCGGGCGTGAGCTCTGTTCGAAGGCATTTGTCAGCATGTATTCGCAATCAATGGCTTCTTTACGAGCCTAGTAGAGCCCGGAATGAATATGAGCTGGAATGGGTAGAAAGCGCACCGGGCTTGTCGTTGTCGGCCATCTTGTCGCAGTTTCTGGTGGTGTTGGGGTTCGAAGGCAGTGGAAGGCAAGCGCAGAAGGCTGACGGAATATTTGGAGGGGTAGCTGCGAGACCCCTGCCGCCTCCCTCACACCCCTGCTGTCTATCTGGAAGCTCCAACCAATCACCTCGGCTTAGGAAATCCTGCCATCAGCCTTGCACGTCAACCTATCTTTCAGCTTTATCGCGATTGCAGACAACCATCAGCGTCACTTGCCCGAGTCAACTTCCTCTTTCTCGCGACGCTGTGTCTTTCTCTTCTCGGTCGTAGCAAGCAAGCCCCTTGTCTGACCAGCTTCCTGGTTCCGATGCCACCTTGAGACAAACACTCCCACTACGCGGTCTCTCTTTCCTCGAAACCCTCCCCCCGAACATCACCACCGCTCCCTCCAAAAAAATGGCAACCCGCCGCGCTTCCTCCTCCGCGACAGCGGCCCCGGCCCCGTCTTCCACAAACGACATCTGCCCCGTCTGCAAAACCATGCGCTACCTCAACAAAGACCTCGAATTCCTCATCAACCCAGAATGCTACCACCCAATGTGCGCAAACTGCGTCGCCCGCATCTTCTCCGACGGCCCCAACCAGTGCCCCTACGCGGGATGCCACAAGACCCTCCGCAAAAAGGGCTTCAAATCAGCCTACTTTGGCGACCTGACCGTCGAGCGCGAAGTCGACATCCGCCGGCGCGTCGCCGCCGTCCTCAACAAGGTGGAAGACGATTTCGAGACGCTTGCCGACTACAACGAGTACCTCGAGTGGGTAGAAACCCTCACCTTTGACCTCATCTCGGGCACCGATGTCGAAAAGAAAGCCGCCGAGGCGCGGTTGATGGAGTGGGAGCAGGCCCACCGCGCCGAGATTGAGCGGAACCGCCGGCTGGCCAAGGAATCCGAGGCAGATCGCGTCGCACGCTTCGAGGCCGAAAAGGAAGAGGCCCGCTTGCGCCGCGATCAGGCGATGCAGGAAGACGCGGCGGAGAAGAGAAAGGAGCAGCGCATGCGCGAGGACATGCTCAACGGCCTCGCGAGCAGCGACGCCGGCGAGGCCAAGCAGACGCTCAACCGCGTGCTCCTTAAGAAGCGCGGGCAGAGCCGCCTCCAGTCCGCCGTCGGGGCCCTCTCCGATGCCACCGGTGCCGCGGCCACGGGCCTGTCGATTCGCGGCCTCAAGCAGCAGAAGAAGCGCGTGCTCGAGGACAACAAGCCGTACGACCCCTTTGGCGGGCTCAAGCTCGATATGGAGAGGTACAAGATGGGGCCCTCGGAGGAGTACCGCAACCAGTGGGTCGACGAGGCGAGGAAGAAGGACGACATCGTGGTGGGCGGGTACAGCGCCGACGAGTACCTCGGTAGGGCCATGTTCGAAGCATTTTCCGGGTTGGCCGTGTTCATTGAGGATGAAAAGGGGCCGGAAAAGGTGGCCACCGCCGAGGCGGCGCTGGTTGCGAGCACGGGCCAGACGACGCAAAAGATGGATGTGGACGACGGCTTGTAGAAAGACATTTCCATCTTTCCTGTTACCTTGCTTACTTTACTGGCTTCAGAGCAGACTGGGATGCATAGCGATGGCGTTTGGGGTTCTGCAGACAATACTTGCGGTATATGATGAAGACCTAGAGCTGTTCGAGGGAAATAATACCCATACTCGATACCAACCAAGCATTTGACCACGTGAAGTATACCTGTATGCAAGAATTACATCTAAGTTATGCTCACTAAATAATACATCTTTTCGGACTCTGACAGCGACGGCCGCCGGCCTCCACCGGTCCCACCATCCCACTGCAGAGCTTTTTGTTTTGTGTGATAACCCTGTTGCCGTCTACCTACGCAGCGTTCAATTGTACAAAGCAGAAAAGGACCCTTGTAAACGCCACGCTTTGATTTGAGATTTGAAGAAATAGTGGTCCCGGTTGGAATGGGCTGGTGTATTTGGAACAGCTGGTCAAAAGCTTTTTGGAGAGCGCTTCTATTATGTTTGCCAGGGGTTTTGCTGGATGGGCCGGGGGAAGACAGGCATCGTCTCGAGATTATCCAGCCCACCACCCATTGGCTGTTGATTATGTTGCCAGCCTAGGCCGGTCTGATGGTTGACGAAGGAACCCTGGCGGAAGGGATTTGTGGTGCCTGTTGGCTGCGGCACGATGGCTCCAGAACTAGTAGCAGGGCGTTGCTGCTGTAGTTGAGAACCGGTGAAGTTCTTGGCGAATGGATTGGTACCAGTCATCATTGGTTGCAACGGAGCGATCGTGGGAAGTTGCTGTGTCTGTTGCTGCGGCTGAGACAGGAAAGGTGAATTACTCGGAGCTGGTGAAAATGGTTGCTGGGCTTGGGGTGAGGATCTCGCAAAGGGGTTTGTAGACTGCCTCTGCATGTTGGGGCTCGCTGGGTTCGAAAATGCGGTATTCGTGGACATGCCCGTTTGCTGAGCCATCAACATGGACGCCCGGAAAGGATTAGTGATTTGCTGACCGGCCTGAGGACTCAGCATGCCTGTGTTGCCTGTTGGGAAGCTTGCCACCGAGTCTTGCGGTATTGAGCCAAGTGTGCCCGGCTGAAAGTTGGGCTGGGGTGTGAACCCGCCGAACCCAGCTCCGGTAAAGCTAGGTTGCAGCGGCTGCGGTGGTTGCTGCTGCTGCTGCTGTTGTTGCTGAGGCTGGCCAAACGGATTTGTGCTCTGAGGCTGGTACGGATTAGAAACGAAGCCTGTTTGTTGCGGCACAAATCCGGTCTGTTGAGGCCCGAAGCCATTCTGCTGGAAACCAGTAGGTTGCGGTTGGAAGGCACTGTTGTTGGCGAAGCCGGTCTGCATGGGCATCTGTTGCTGTTGCTGGTGCTGCTGTGCGTTCGCAGCCATCGTTGTCTGGTTCTGTTCGATGGATTCGAAAAAGTCTATCAGATCGGGGGCAGGACCCTTGGCAGTCTCGGTTTTTGGTTGCGACAAGCCATTCGTGCTCGGGAAGGGGGTGTTTGCCGCCGGCTTAGAGTCGAATGCGCTGGACGTCGGTTTCGAGGTCCCAACCTTATTCTTCTTGCCCTGCTGCTCAGCAATGTATTGTCTTCGATTGACTTCAAAGTCTGGATCACCCAAATATTCCTCCAGCTGGCGGCCCAAATTGACCGGCGCGTGCTTCAGCTTAGGAACCTCAACTCTCGTTTGATGCTCGTATTGGCGTGCGACACTGAGGTATTGCACCACAAAATCCGTCTGCTTCGTAAAGGTGCGGTAGATCGCCATCGCTCTCTCAGCATCGACCTTGGACATCTCAAAAAAGGTGCCTTTTCATATTAGCCACAAGCACATCCTGAGGTGTTGGGTCGGCTCACCGAGAATGTTAATCATTCCTTGGTTCAATGCCTGGAAGAGAGCCAGCACATCGAGCACGAGTAGTCTGAAGACGGTGACTGTGATTTCGTTTTCGATTTCACCCTCGAGAACCTGTATAATATCAGTAGCTGTCACTCTCCCAGAAACCCCGCAAGACAAAGTCGAAGACTTACATCGCATTTCAAAAGGGCCGTAATCTGACTCTGAAGAATCTCTGTCTCTCGCAGGAGGCCCTTGTCGACCGACAGCTTCTCCAGCCTGGATTCCTTAGTTCGCACCCAATCACACTTCGTTTCTCGGTATGCTTTAGATCTCGCGGCGAGGTAGTTGGCGTAGTGCCGGATGTTGCGACCTTGTGTCTGGGCTGTAGGATGTTTTTAGAAAGCCAGTCCAACAAACCTCGATCTGTGCCTAATCGTTAGGGTGTTTGACTAACCATCGGTGAAGCTGCTGATAGCAAGCGTGTTCGGGTGCCTGGACAGATAGGCAAGTGTGACATCGGGCGAGCCTTCACGGATCATCAGATGGACGGTGATCAAGCTCTTGAAAACGACGGTCCATGTCGAGTCTCGTAAACGGAACTGCAAGGCGCGAAAGACCTCCCCCACGCCCGCTTCGCCAGCATGTGTCGCAACAAGGATGTGTTCGATGTATTTTGTCTTGGGCGGCGCAGCCTGGGAGATGGAGTTAGCACCGTGACTGGGGGCAACACGCTGAGCTGCCGGCGTGGCTCAAGCCTCTCTTTAACCTACCTTTATCTTCGTGGCCCCCTTGACAGATTTTTCGAAGGAGCTCGACATTTTGTCACTGTGTTCAAGCAATTCGCTCAGGTCAAGATTCCGTGATAATCAGGGTCGTGAAGGTTGGCGACAGAGCAGGCTAGTCGTGGTTGGCGGATCGGACGAAAGTCGCACGAAAGTGGAAGGCGGCGATCGAAGAGTCCGGCCGTCACGGGCCTCGATCAAATATCTTGATGGAGACGATCCTTTCAACGGTGTTCCAACAAGAAGAAGCCGCGAGCTCGTCAAGAGACGGTTTCGGGTCGTTGGCAACAGCGAGGAAGGGTGTCGGTGATGGGGGTGCGACAGCGTTTGGTTGCAGCCCAGGTAAACCCTCAACTGGGCGAAATTGGGCCCCGGTAAGCTTCAATGCAAGAGGGATGATTCGGATCCGGAGTATGGACCTAGGGCCATGACAGGGTGTTCGGAGGGCCTGTGTTGGGGGTTCGGATTAAGAATACAGGATTGGATATCGGTTATCGTGAAATAAGCCTGATTTGGCTTCGTTGGGTAGGCCGGGAAATGAAGGGCGGACAACGCCAGTATTGACAATGGCTACGTTGGTCGGGAAGTGAAGTGGTGGGATGGCATGGGAGTGGAGGTCGAGGCGGACGGGCCACGGTCTTGATTTGGAGAGGTCGGCTGGTCGGGCTTGGGCTGGGCTGAGCCTACGTAAGGCGGCCTGTTGTGGTGGTTGTGGAGGACAGGAGGAGGTGGAGGGAGAACCGGACTGGAGAGAGAGAGGAGGTGCCGCCGCTGGCTGTGCTGGCCGTGCTGGCTGTTGGCTTAACGTGCGCTTGTTCGGGTGGGAGTGGCCGGCGTTGTCTCCAGCAGGTTATGTCTGACAGCCCGAGGTGCTGGTGCCCCAGTCCTGCCCTGCTGACTGGCCCAGCGGGAGCCAAGTGCAGGTGGAGAGTACGTACTTCCCGGTCAGGCCGGTCGCAGCGGTATGTGCATAGGTAGGTACTGTGGTAGGAAACCTGGAACCTTGCGCTGCGGGCTGATGATGGCGATGATGCGAGTAACTCGGCAGCCGTCGCCGTGGAAGCATTCCAGTAAAGTGAGGTGGCCCTGGCCCTGGCGTTGACGGGTGCGACTGCGACTGCGACATGACCGCTAAAGAGATTCTCCAAGGGGGTCCTCTCCTCAGTCTCCTGCATAATTATCACTCACTCAATCCCATCAGTCTTGCATTAGTAGCATGTTGATTCAGATTAGCGTCTAATTCGCGCGTGTGAGGTGGGCCGCAGAACGTGACCCCGAACACCTCCTTAGGAACTTTACGGATACCTTGCAAGTTACACTTCAACCTCCGCCGGCGTCGAAGCGATGCAGCTTTGTGCGTGTAAGCCTTTGAGGTGCATGTCGCCAGTGTCGCCAGTGTCCCGTCTCCATGCTCCATGCTCCCAGCTCCATGCTCCATGACACGGACGAACACTGGCAGCTCCGGTGAGCCGGGATCTTCCAACGACCTGTCGAGGTGTGTGTGGGGGGAGCAGATGGCGAGCCTGGAGAAGCAAGCATGGTTGATTCTCTGCCATTGCTGGCCATAGATCAGTCTGATGGCCTCGCTGATCTGATCTTCATGACAGCTTCATCATTCAGCCTACCTACACTGGCCGTGTCGCATCATAGTAATTCCCAATTGATTTACGTCGAACGCTGTTGATTCATTTGCAACCCCCCTCCTCGTGCTCGACACAACTGTAACACTTGTCCCGCGAACGGCACCATAGCTAATTGAAACACTCGGGGAAACATGGGGGTCGCTGAATCATCAAACGGAGGCATCTCCATCACATGTAGAGCAGCAGCTGCAGGTTCTCGGACCCCTTCTTTTCTGCGCCCATCATCGGGTCTAATTGATTCAATGAAGTCTAGGAATGGCTGGCAAGCCGCTCAGGGCGCCATCCCCGTCAATGTGTAGGCAATGACGGGGTCAAAAAAGTCTACAGTACACAGATCGATTCCATCCTCCCTCGGCTGTGTCCTCGATAGCGATTCGCCTTCGTCCATTCTTATACCGCTCCGGCAGAACTCAAAAGCTTCACGGACACGGGAGAGCATCCTGTGTTTTCGCCAGCAACCAACCGCGATCTCTGGCTGTAGCCGTGTCAGGAAAGACGTATCGACGTATCCGACAACTGACTGCGCCCTCAAGGAAATGTATGTTGCGCCAACTCAGAGAACCCCTCGGCCTCACTCGACGCCTTGAGGTTCCCGGTTGGCGGCGTGCCAAGCCCACAGAATTCTTCCATTTCGTGAAAAATCAGATTCGCCTTTCATCGCGTCCGATACTAGTAACAAGGTCGTGTCGAACGCCTATGTCATGGCCCCCTCCGCCCTCGACACCTTTGCCCTGAAGCCACCAGAAGGGGAGAGCTTGGATGCTTCAGACGGAGGCAGCAGCATCATCTTATCCACGTGGCTATCATCACCTGTAAGATCGTCCAATTAGCTTTCTCTTCGTTTTGCATGTGCGCGGATTGCGCTTGGGGTGGCTCGAGGGGGAAGGACCAAACGTACACTTTTTTGAAATGGAGAAATCATAAAGAGGAAAGGAAGGAAAATTTTAGGAGCTCACTGCAAGAATTTTATATGGACGCGAGGATCTGCCCCGCGCTAATCACTTTTTGGTGGAGACCTTCTGCCTCAGGTGCCAGCAAGCGCCAGCTTAGGACCCCAGAAAGGTGCCATGCAGCAGCAGCAGCAGCCCACCACCGTCGCAATTCTTGCGGTTTGGCTCCGACATCGTTCCACCGTCTTGCTGCATTGAACTATGGACCTAAGCTGTGATAGCTTCAAATGTCACAAAATCACACCTGATCTCATCCACCCATAATCCCTCTCCACTACGCCATTGTGCCCTGTCGAAGCTGCAAATCTAGCGCCACACGTTTAATATTTGACCCAAGCTTTCTGCGTAGTCGACTGTGCAATTCAGCTTAGCCAGACCTTCCCAATGCTTCGCCAATGCTGTCGCAGTAGAGCATTGGCTGCCCTGCGTCCGCGCACAGTACAGCCGCAACCCGTCGGTCAATTTTTCTCTCTGCTGCGCAACTCAACATGCGGTCCTACCAATTGTTCAGGTCAACAGGCCCGTCACTTGTCAACGACAAAAACCCAGCGTGCTCAGGATGAGTCGAAACACACACAGTTGTCGGAGGAATTCAAGGAGTGCTGTGAGCAAGTTCAAGAATAGCGAGATACCATTGAAGCTTCTGCTGACTTGCAACAAATAGTTGCACTCCCCGAAATGTCCTCCCCCGAGACATGGAGTAAACCGGGCTCCTCGATCGTCGTGAGCGGACACATCGGCCGAACAAGAAAGGTCGGCAAGAACTTGGCCTTTGCCCACTTGGAGCGCAACGGAGAACGAATTGGCCAAATTTGTGCCAAGGGTGACAATGCGGCTATCCTGGGAAAGATTCGTCCCTTCAGTGCTGTTTTGGTCAAGGGTGTTACGACGCATGCATCGGGTGCATCGGGTGCGACTCGGTTCGAGATAGATATGGACTCGATACAATACCTCAACCCTTTCCCCAAGGACATTATCATCGGTCCTGATACCGTCTTTCCGCCAGAGCAGCGACATCTGCAGCTGCGCTTCCACAAAGAGCTGAAGGAGAGACTGCGCTTCCGTGCCCAGCTCAAGTCGTCAATGGGACAGGCGATGGTAGACAGGGAATTCATGGATGTCGAGACGCCCATCCTCTTCAAGTCCACTTCAGAAGGCGCAAGAGAATTCATTGTGCCGACACGGCGACCCAGATACGCCTATGCGCTACCGCAGAGTCCGCAGCAGTACAAGCAGGTCCTGATGGCCTCTGGCATGGGAGGCTACTACCAGTTTGCGCGATGCTTCCGCGATGAAGATCATCGCGCAGACCGTCAACCCGAGTTCACTCAGGTATGTGGCTCGTATTGCCGATGAGTTCAGACAGCTAACATTATCTTAGTTGGACATGGAAAAATCCTTCGCTACAGGCAAGACCATCATGGAGGACGTCGAATATGTGGTCGGGCGTGCCTGGGATGCTGTAAGAGAGCAGTATGTCATGGAAGTGGGAGAAGACTCATTCGCGCCGGTCAGGAAAGCATCACTCGAGGTACGCGATTCTTCGTCGTTGCGAATGCGATGGAGTAGAACTAAGAGCTGACACAAAATAGGACTGGAAGCAAAGTGTCCAGGACAGTGCGAAAGACGACGCGAAAGCACCTCACTACCAAGAATACCCAGTCATCTCTACACCGTTCCTGAGAATGAAGTACACCGACTGTATGGACCTATACGGGTCTGACAAGCCGGATCTGCGCATTCCCAACAGAGTAAGTTGCTCACCATGGAAATGCTCTAGTAACCGCTAACAGTGCCCAGATAAGTCGTGTTGACGAGAACCTGAACAAGGACTTTGTCAGCATGATCACCGACCTCGACGCGCCCATTGTCGAAGTTTGGAAAATCAGCCCACACGAAGACGCTGACAGGCGGGAGGTGTGGAAGTTTGTGACGGAGTTCATGGAGAACCTTCCCAAGAGCCTGTCACAAAACCCAGACGGTGCTCCCACAGCCTTGATGTTCGACAGCAGTAAGCCGCTCAACGGATTCTCTGCCTTGGGTCCCGAAGGCCTGGATAGCATACTAGGGGCGCTCCCTGAGGATGCTGGCTTTTCCTCGCTTGAGAATGGAGACATTGTCATGTTCCAAGCGCGCAAGAACCAACCCCAGCAAGGAGGCTCGACGAAACTCGGCGAAGCGAGAATCGCCTTGTACCACGCCGCCGTCGAAGCTGGCCTCCTAGACCGGGACGACAGCTTCAAATTCCTCTGGGTAACCGACTTTCCCATGTTCACCCCGGAAGAGGAGGGCGACGTCGGGCAAGGCGGGGCATCGGGCTTCTCGGCCACCCACCACCCCTTCACGTCGCCTCATTCCGAGGAGGACTTTGAGCTCCTCTTCAAGGACCCGCTCAAGGCCAAGGCCGACCACTACGACCTCGTTCTCAACGGCGTGGAGCTCGGCGGGGGTAGCCGCCGTATCCACATTGCAGAGATCCAGGAGTTCATCTTCCGCGACATACTCAAGATGAGCCAGGACAAGATCAAGGAGTTTTCGCACCTGCTCAAGGCGCTACGTGCGGGATGTCCGCCGCACGCTGGCTTTGCCATCGGCTTTGATCGTTTTGTTGCCGTCCTGAGCGGCTCGTCCTCTGTCAGGGACGTCATTGCGTTCCCGAAGAACAATAACGGCGTGGACGAGTTCGCTGGAGGACCGGGCAAGATGACGAAGGAGCAGCTCCTGACGTACAACCTGCAGTTCCGGAAAAAGGAATAAGCAGGGTGAGTTGCTGAACTCCCCTTTCGATCGATAACTGTACTATTTCAACTGTCACATACTGTAAAATTATATGTAAACTACTTGTATATCACAATATGAATAAATACTGCCTAAAGTGCAGTGTTTAAACATGACGGAGCGCACTTGCCATCATCACAGCAGGACTATTCAGGTTTGACAGCGGGAAACAACGTATTATATCTCCGTCAGATAGGTTGCATGACGTGAGCGCTCCTAGTAATACAAGTAAAGAACCTCCCAAGGGCATTGTCTTCCGCTATTCCTCCTTCCCCCGTCTCACACCTCCTCCCAGCACAGAAATCCACGCCAAAGCACTTAGGATCGCTTCCACTGTCCAGCATCTTCAGCACCCTTGCCGACCGAGTTCAGTGCGCCCGAGAGGCCTTGGCCGAGATTGGCAATGCCGTCGCCGACGGGGCGGCCCGCGGAGCCGGCAGCGCTGGTGATTGTGTCGCCCACACCCTGGGTCGCGGCGCCGGTGACGTTGCCGACGGTCCTGGTGACGCCGCCGACGGTGTTGCCGAGGGCCGAGGTGACAAATTTGGCGGCGCCAGTGGCGCCTGCATTCTGATCACTGTTTCCGACGGGCATTTTGGGGAAGACGTGCTTGTATTGTTGTGAGGCTGGTGCGAGTTTGTTTAGAAGTGGGACGTCTTTGACTATTGTGGGGTTGTTGTTCTTGTTGAACATGCGAGGTGTTTTTTTTTTGATTGGAATTTTTTTGTTCAACACTGAAAGCGCATACAGTGAGGTCGATCGAGGTGGCTGAAGCCTTCTTATGGACCGCTTGGTGGGTGCTTGGTGCTTGTCGTGAGGATGGGACGAGGTGAGCCTTCCAGAGCCTGTGACGTCAGAGCTGCAGGTTGCGGAAGGAGCTCAGGGATCCCCCCTTGCCCGAAGAAGCGGATCGCACCTATCAAAGCTTCTATTGACCACAATTTCGTCGTCAGATTTGACATCACAGCACCACGTCTCAAACAGGGAGGGGGTGCGACCGTCCGGGCTGACGACATATTCTAGCCCGTTGGAGAAGGAAGCCCTTGGATGCGCCATCTACCGGTCCATTCTATTGGAACCATATGACTTGTCGCTGACGGATGGGACAATTGGTTTATGAGATGGGTGTTTTGGAGTTTTGGTGATCGGCCATGCAGGGACTTCAATGTCTTGTTGTGTGTCTGATGGAATTATGATTGTGGCAGAGATTTGGGATTCGAGGCGTGTATCTAGTCATGGGCGCCTTTGAGAAGATGGTTGGCCTGGGAGAATGTGATTTTCTCTCTCTCTTCCACTGTGCGTGGCTCTGAGCCTGAGGTGAGGCTGCCTCCTTGGATGCGCATGTGAATATGGTTCTCTGCCATGCTCCTGTCCGATCTCGTCCCTCTAGCCCAATTATTGTTGCGCGTGAGCCATGTGCCCATGCTACGCCGCCTGAGAGGTGCGATGCAGATCTAGGTGTGTTTAAGGAGGCCCCCGCCGCATTATGTTCCTCCTCCTGTCGTAGAGATGATGTTTATTCGGACTGGTTGCGTTGGCTCTTGAACGAAGATGAAGATGGTGAGGCTTCAAGTTTGCAGTATTATCAACGAAAACGGTAGACCAAGGTGTTTGAATTATGTTGGTGCCTCTTTCTTGCCATCCTCTTCTGCATTCGCCGAGTTCTTTCGCCCTGTTCGCCCCATGTCATTGCCGCCTCTATTTTGTTTGTTTGAATCGTTTCTGACGCGATCGCGGATAGCATCGTGGAATGTTGCTTGGCCGAGATGGAGACGCCAGTAGAAACGTTGCACTGCTATCATCGTATTTCCGTAGGACCAAAGTCGCACAACGAGCCTAGAACGAGCCGAGTTTACTCCCAAGACTGCCCATTCGCTGCTCTTCTCTGAGGGCACGTCCGTTCTAGAAGGTTGAGGGTCTTCGTTAGGCTAGCATGAGAACCCGCGGCGCCACGATCTGCTCACGTCGACGCCGTTGGAGAGGGTCCTGGCGCGACACAAGGCTAAATTTGAGACCCGTCGCATTTCTAGTAACTAGTTGGCTTGGGTCCTGCTGTTGGCGTCTTGTCTCAGATCGCAGAGCCGCTAGCTTGGGTGCCAACGGAATGTCGAAGGTGGCTTCGACCACTATGTATTCTTTCATGTTTGACGCTCTTCCTGGGCGACTGCTTGCGAGAAAGGCGGAATATTCATGGTCGACTGGTTACGCGAGTACAGTACGTCTGTCTTGAGGATTCGATACGATTCCGCGTGCCTTACTGCATTTGCGCCGTGACGAAATCTTTTCAATTAAGGTCTTTTACCTCATATCCCAGATCAAAGGGCTTCCTATCGGGTCAGTCTGTCTCGTCTTATATTCCAGGAGATATGCTTGGTCGACGACGACGACGAGTGGCCAATGAGCGGTGCATTAGAATGTGCATCAAGTCACTTTGGATGCTAATGGGGAAATCCTCCAACGAAGAGTACATGAACGACGAGTAACTCCAAGAAATAGAAGACTTTCACAAAACTCCATACCTGAAGGTTTTGGAAGCTCGGATTGCACCTTGGGAGGAAATCAAAGAGGAAATAAGTAGCTTCTATGTATATGCCCGGCCTATGGCTCCTTACTACGGCGCGGGCCGCTCTCCTATCTTGGTCAACAGCAAGGATCCGCCTCTTCAAACTCGACTGATTGGAACATACAAGTCTAGCTTCGCTTTCTTGATTTTCCTGGGGCTATTACTACCAATTTCCAAGGACAGATTTGAGATCGAGACTATTATCGCCGAGAAGAGGCTGGTTGAAAGGCCAACAAATCGGTTTCTGCGTACAGACATGCCATCCTCCCCTCTAATCAAGGGTCTTCTTCTCTGGCCGAACAGTTAAACCAGCCTGAACGTCCCATGATTGCCGACTCAGTCATTACTCCTGCGGCTCAGAGGTGTTTGTTCATGTTCATCTGTCAGGCGCAGTCCTCTAGATACAAGAGGCAAGGAAAGATGTTGAAGAGGTAGACATTCTTCAGTGCTTTAAACCAGCAACCCAAAACATCGCGTCTTTGGCTGGATCGTACCCCTCGATAACACTTTTACCACTAGACAAACGCGATCACTTTCAACTATGAACGAACAACCTAGCTTCCAAAAACCACATCACTTCGATCTTTTTTTCTACACCCTTTCTTCTCCTTGGCAAAATCATGTGTCCTACTCCCGCAATCCGCGTCTCGTCACCGTGGCCTCTCTGCCCACGCAACCAGTGCTGGGGCTTCGCCAACCTTGTAGGTGATGATCTCAAAACTTTGTCCCCAAGCCGACCGCCCTTGACGGTGGGCACTCTCGCAGTGCCGATACACAAAATCAGGAGAGTTAGTTTTTCTGTACAAAGGTATGGAGAAGGGCAATGATGGACTGGTATGACTACGATTTGGGATGGATTACGATTGAGCCCACGAGCTGCGAAGAAGGGTGATACCGCAGTGGCTTTCAGAGGCGGCCTGAACGTGGCTCTGCCTGTTATTAGAAGGAAATGGTATAGAGTGCTGGTACGTAGGAAGCGTGATGTGAGAGATAGGCATTTGCTAATGATACTCAGTAAGAGCGGGATCGATCTTGCGATGGACTTGACTTTATGAAAACAATACTATTTATCATCATGTACTCTTAGTCAAACTGATTGCAGGTAAATCCCAGCTCGAAGGGCCCGGATTTTGATCTCAGTTGGCGGTGACCTCAAGAAGATCTCTAACGCCTGGCAGAAGAGCAGAGTTGTAGGCGGGAGATAAGTATTATAGATTCCTTTATATCGATATGTGTTTTAGAGCCGAATGCGATGCAAAATTTGAGATATCCTGCTAAAGACTCTCAGTATTTCTTGTGGAGAAGCGAATCACGAACCCGTCCTGGAGACGAGATGGACTCAGACGAACCAGACTCCACTCCGGATGAAAGCAGATGATGCAGGAACCCCAAAGTATGCCAATAGACTTCGTCTCTGGGCCATAATTTTCCTGTTAGATCTGGCAGTGGGGTCGTTGTTTCTGTAGAAAGGAACTTGGAGATGGCCTTCTCCTTCGCACCAGATGCTGCAATGAGCGACGTTCCGAACCGGTTGTGATGTCTACGTTCAGGTTTATTTCGTTGGCTGCTGAGTGAAACGGCGGTGGCTTGTACCGGCGTGCGCTTTTGTCGTAGCTAGTAGCTCAAGACAGGCCAACGGCTGTCAATATATGTACCGAGTCAAAGAAGCGCGACCTCGCCTGCCAAAAGCTGTCCTATTCTGGAGTACAACAGCGACTATATTGTTGCCACCGGTTCGTTGTCACTACCTTATCGAGGGTGAAAAGCTAGTAGACGAGCGTTGGGGGAACGAGACGCAGGACCAACCTTCCAGTTACTTTGTTATCTTGGAAATCCACACTCAACTTTAAAAACTTTCTTGTTTTTGGTGAGCGAGATACCCCAAGTATACGTGCTGCAGAACTTACTGTATGCCACTCTGAAAGCCAAGGCATAATCGTGGGGCATGCGCGACCCGGTTCAAATGCGTCGTCAAGGTCCCTCGTAACCGTACAAAAACCTGGAGAGCTGTACGAGCATTCGGGGCATTGATACCGGCCTGGTAAGCTACTGCGGAGATGGACAATCTAGTTGCGGCTCGCGCTTATTATGCATTGGTATCCACGAGGCAGACGGAATGCCGTCATAGGCTGTGTTAAAGCAATTGAGTTGGTGGTCTGAAACGAGGCATCGAGATGCTTGAGCTTGGGGCATATAGCGGTGCCTATTCCATCGTACAGTCTTGGTCACCATCCATGCTCATCCACATCAGCATAAATCGTTTTTTATGTACTCTTCTCACTGCGTGAGAAACTCCTCCTCTGCAAGATCTTCAAAAATCCATCACCATGTTTTACGATAATCTCACCTCCAGCGGCAATATCACCAGGTTTGTGGTGGTGAAAAATGCCTCCACATCACTCCTCTCACCATGGCGGGCCTTTGACAGAGTCTTTACGTCGATCATGGGCTACCCGGCCAGCGAGTTCGATTTCGTACATGGCCGCACGCCCTTCTCAACTTTCAGCGAGACCACGAGTATGGTGGTGCTCTACCTCCTAGTCGTCTTTGGTGGACGTGAGGTAATGCGCAACCGCAAACCACTAGAGTTGAATACCCTCTTCAAGATTCACAACTTGTTCCTGTCTCTTCTGAGCGGTGCTTTGCTAGCTCTGTTCGTCGAGCAGATCGCACCGAGCTTGTGGCAGAAGGGCATCTACGAGAACATCTGCGGACCTTCGGGCTGGACACAACCGCTTGTTGTTCTGTACTATGTGAGTGTCAAGCCAGCTAGCCATTCAACTCATAAGAATCCAAGCTTATCCTTCGTCATAGATCAACTACCTCACAAAGTACTACGAGCTCATCGACACCGTCTTCTTGATGCTCAAGAAGAAGCCCCTCACTTTCCTACACTGCTATCACCACCCTGCCACCGCGCTCCTCTGCTTCAGTCAAATGGTCGGAGCTACCCCGCTGTCCTGGGTACCCATCACGCTCAACCTGACGGTGCATGTAGTCATGTACTGGTATTACTTCCAGACTGCACGAGGCGTCAAGGTATGGTGGAAACAGTGGATCACCGTCTTGCAGATCACCCAGTTCGTACTCGACCTTGGTAAGTCAACCGGCCGAGGCCGAACCGCTCACTCAACGCGGGGAAGCGAAACATGTCCGTCATCGGACCAGTACTGATTCGCATCGGCAGGTTTCGTCTACTTTGGCTTCTACGATGTCTTTGCGGACACGTACTTCAAGGAACTCCTCCCCCACGTTGGTCGATGCGGCGGCGAGTTCTTCGCAGCCGTCACGGGCGGCGCCATTCTGACGTCGTACCTGGTGCTCTTCATCATGTTTTACATTTCAACTTACAAGAAAGGCGGCCGCAGCAAGGCGGTGCAAAAGTCCAAGCCGGTTGTCCTCGATGATAAGCATGCCTTGGCGGCAGCGGCGGCGGCAACAGTGACCTTGGGAGCTAAGAACGCCACGGTTGAGCTCGAAACCTGAGAGAACTCGCTTTGTTGGTAAAAAAAAGCATGAACCCATAGAATACCATAGACACGCAAGCATTGTTGGTCGGGTGGTCCTTGATGCGCCCGGGTGCTCGGACCAGATGGGCAAGGGAATACCTGGTTGGCGGTGACGTTGACGGCATTGGCGGCCAAGGAAGCATTGGGTTGGTAAAGCGGAGTCTTTTGGTTGGGTCGAAAGCAAGGCGGGAGTTTACTCTGGATTGCGGAACAAATGACAGGAGTTTATTGGAAAAGTGTGCCCGTCTCTGACTGTATGCAAAAGTGAAATGCCATGTTTGAAGAGGAAGAGGGTGGGGGGGGGGAAACATCCGAAGTCCTGCCAGAATGAGGCGGGTCGGTGGAATTCGAATTACGGACTTGGTGGATCCAATCCCTGTACGTACAAGTTGCCCAATTGGGACTGCATGGGGACGTCCGGGGAATCCTGGTCCGTCCGATCGCACTAGTCTCAATTCGATCTAGTTGCTAATTACATCCTCGGGTTGCTTTCCAGGTTCTGTTTGGGGAACGCCCTCTCTCCTCCTTTCACTTTCATCATACACCTTTCAAGATATTCAAATCTTTCAGAGTTTTGCTTCGCAGCTTTGCAGAATAACCGACAGTCCTCTCTAGGACTTGATTGAAAGTAAAACACCCAACATGGTTGATCAATCGCGTCCTGCATCCGGGTTCATCATTATGCCACGCAATAATTCCACAGCCGTGGAATTGAACACCAGTCGATCTTGTGGCTGGACGCGTGCCTATGGGAATGAATTGAGACAACGCAAGCTATGACATGTTACAAATTCTTAAATAATCTTCAAACATATCAAGCATGTGCTATACTTGCGACTGGTTCGTTCGATAAGGCCTCTGGCCAACTCCCGGCAGCGGGTGGGTGGTTCGCTCAAAGATCCAAAGCAACGAGGCGACGGAGTGCGGGCAAGCTCCCTCCCCCCCCTCCCTTGTTTCGTCTCCAAACTTCTTTCAACCTCCCACACCAACATCGTGATCAATACTCTAGTGCCAATGCGAATTCAGGCAAGCGCCGCAACGTCGGTGACGTTTTCGTGTCACATCTGGCATTTGAGATCAGCCCTTCTCGCATCTATGTCCTTGAGATATGCTACCCATCGTGGTGTGATCTATCGTCAAATCGGATTGCAAGACGGTATAGTGGCATAGGCAGCAGAAACGCTCAGCTGGCCCGAAGATAAAATGATGTCTGACATTTACAGCGCGCGAAGAAGTATTCTGGTGTGCCTGGGCAAAGGGGACTGCAAGAACGTGGCCCACAACCAAAAAAAAGAACTGCGTCTATCGAATCGATAGGTTTCTATTCCAGTGCTTGCATGCTCTACTCATTATTGGCGAGGACAGTGCTTCTCCATGTTTCAGATTCCTTCTCGATCCATTGTTTTGAATCCTAACACACAAAAGATGCCGGCCCCCAACTTCCGGCTAGTCTCTATTCTACGGCGCCGGCGCCGGATGTCACCCGCTCCCGCCACGCCTCTCCTCACCATGCCCTAGCGCCCCATCTACAATTGCCTCGTTCTTTGTTTAGTTCTTTGCCGCGACCCCGAAGTATCAGCGGGGGTCCCCACCATTCAATGAGACCGAAGATGCGGTCATCAAAATGGAATGTTGGCAATCAGCACCTAGCACTAGGCTTCGCTAGAAATAAATGTGGCACTGGTCGGTATATCGCCCGTTAGCCGGATCTCATGCTGCTTACCGTTGCACAACCGACCATTTCTCCAGGCTCCGACTTGCTGCGGTCGCCCTGGCTAAAGACGCCGTGAACTACCTAGCAGAAGTCATATCTGCTAGCCGACCCCGTCACCTTTGGGGTCTCACGTTACACCATTGGCGGAAACCCTTGGCGGCGATCACATTCACCGCGAGGCTGTCACGATCGTGGAAAGATGGCACTTTCTGTACAGCTGAGGACGTTCTGGCATTGTTCCTGGACGCCACCGGCGATTAAAGCAAGTTACGGTCTGCGGTTGTCAAGCTAACGATGGGCTAGACCCGAGCTTGTGAGCGTTCCTTTGGGACTTGCCTTGAAGCCGAGGGGAGCAGCCTGTAGATATCAAGGATTCATCTACCATGTGCTGCCGCATCTCCTGCTTGAAGGTTGCAATTCCACCAACGAACTATACAGACGATTAAGCCACTTGATTGCTTGACTCCAAAACTTCTTGCAGGATGGCAGAAGGCAACGAGCTAAAGAAATCTTCTGATCGGCAAGATACCGCAGGCGACAGCGGCGCGACCCAGACAACCAGGATTTCACTCGGATCCAGACCATCCTCAGAGTTCCTCGGCGAGGAGCGCTCGCGCATCTCGATCATCCAATCTTACGCAGTCCCTTTGCCGGGCCTCGACGACAACCTGGTGTCGTCTTATTCAGAGGAGGATGACAATGACGGGGAGGATATTCTCCCCCAGTCGCTGACGGACGACTGGGAGGAGAAAACCGGTCTTTCACAGGATCGTCCCTCTACCGCCGAAACTGTGATGAAGCAGAGAGATTCCCTGGCGGCCGAGGAAACTCGCAAGATAGGCAACGCACCTTCAATAGCGTCTCAAATGTCCCGCCACGGCCACAACCCCCACGATTCCATCAGATCCTCAATCACCTTCACCAACGGGCCGCGGCCGCCACCAATCTCCCGGCGGGTATCTTCCCTACGACAACCCGGCGCCGTATATGTATTCCCACGAGGAGATCCGATCTCCCCCACGGTAACCCAGCGTGCTTTCCCTCTCGCCATGAAGAGGGTCCCATCATACACCGTCTCAGATTCCCACACCCTTCCTAGGATGGATGATGAAGAGAAGGACGACGGGTTTCCTCAGCCGCACTCCGAAACCGCCTCAATCATCTCGTCAATCTTTGCCCCACCACTCCGGCACCTGGCGAGCCATCCCTCTCTCCACGGGTCCGTATCGAGCGGTACGCCGCCAACCAGGGGCCGGCAGCAGCAGGGCCCCACACCCATCACGGAGCAGAGACATCCCGGCAAGGCCGATGCCCGGATCAGTCGCTTCACAAAACCACTGGAGCTGGACACGAACGAGGATGATGGCAAGGATGATTTGCGCCACGTAAGACATACTGACAAGGCGAGGGATGAGAAGCACAGCACCGTGTCGCAGTCGTCGGATGAAGAGGGTGAAGGGGAGCAATGGGTGCAAGGGTGGCCACTTACGTTCCTGGCGATTGGGCTCTGTCTCGTGGTGTTCTTGATCTCGGCCGATCGTACCATTCTCACAACTGTAAGTCGGCAGCATTCATAACCATTCTCAAGCTGACAGAATCAGGCCATCCCACACATTACAACAGAATTCCAATCCACGGCAGACATTGGCTGGTACGGCTCGGCCCATCTCCTCACGACCTGCGCCTTCCAGCCCGTTTTTGGCAGAGTCTTTATGCTCTTCTCCGTAAAGTGGTCATACGTGCTGGCTACTTCCATGTTCCTGGTCGGATCGCTCGTCTGCGGCCTCGCTCCGGACTCTATCACCCTCATCGTGGGCCGTGCCGTGGCTGGCTTCGGCAGCGCCGGAATTCTCACCGGCAGCTTTGTCGTCGTAGCCACAGCAGTTCCTTTGCGGGTGCGTCCGATGTACACGGCGATCGTCGGATTGATGTGAGTGACTCTTTTCAAAGATGAAGCTCAACACTTGTTGATGCTAACACATGCAGGTTCGGCCTTGGCGCAACGGTCGGTCCTCTGCTCGGAGGTGTCTTTACTGACCTCGTTGTAAGTGATTCTGACCACCCCGGACTATACATGGCTAATCCGTTTCCAGACTTGGCGATGGTGTTTCTACATGAACCTCCCCATCGGTGGCTTCGCTCTCATCGTCTTCCTTTTCTTCTTTCACCCTCAGCGGCACCCGCGAGGCAAACAAACCTTCTTTGACAGGATCCTGGACCTCGACATGGTAGGCAACGTGCTCCTGCTCGGAGCCTGCATAATGCTCTTCCTGGCCCTCGAATACACCGCCCAGGGCGAGGCTTGGTCGACCGCCAGGATCATTGGCCTTATCTCCGGAGCCGGCGTGACGGCCGTCATCTTCGCGGCATGGCAGTGGTGGAAGCAGGACGGCGCATTGATCCCGCCCGCCATCATCACCCAGAGGACGGTGGCAGCCTCCTGCGTCGCAGCCTTTGCCACGTACGGAGCGCTTCTCATCCACGCATACTTCCTCCCCATCTGGTTCCAGGCGATCCGCGGGGAGAGCGCCATCTCCTCAGGCGTGGACATGATCCCCTACGTAGCCGCCATCGCCCTCTTCTCCCTCCTCGCGGGCGTCTTCGTCTCTGTCGTGGGCTACTTCGCGGCCCCAGCCATCATTGGCGGCGTGATCGCGACAGCCGGGTGCGGACTGCTGCGGCTGCTGTCGCCCGACACGCCGACTGCGCACTGGGTCGGGTTCGAGATCCTCGTCGCGGCGGGCTTCGGGATGGCCATACAGCAAGGCTTCACCGCGGTGCAAGCCGTCCTGCCGCCCGACGAGGTCCCCATCGGCACCGCGGCGGTTGTGGCGTCGCAGTCCCTCGGCGGCGCCATCTTTATCTCTGTGGGGAACGCGCTGTTCCAGAACCATCTGCTGCAGGCTTCGGCGGAAAACGCGGTGCCGGCCGTGGATATCCGGGTGGTGCTCGGGGCCGGGGTGGCGGCGTTCCGCACGGCCGTGCCGGCCGGCGCGCTCCCGATGATGCTTACTCTGTACAATGAAGCTCTGCGAGTGGCTTTCACTGCTGCGATTCCGTTGGCAGGCGTATCGGCCATTGCGGCTTGTTTCTTGGAATGGAAGTCGGTGAGGGGGATGAAAGCTGCGTGATGGCCAGGGCGACGAGTAGAAGAGTTGATGATAAATAGCTAGCGAGATGGTTGTCTGCGCGTTTCAACAAGCTTATCTCTATGCTTTTTTGAGCCATTCCCCATACCCTCTCCGTACTGTGAAAATTACACCTTTGGTGTACCGGCGGGCACGATGCTGCTCAACCAGTACCTAAAGTCGGACATTGGCGACGTCGCGACGGGGACAGTAACTGCGACGGCGGGGCAGAGCACCGGGACGGGCCGCAGCGCGGCAACGTGCTCCGCAACAGCAGCGTCAAGAAGCAGCAGGTGTCGACTGGAGCTGCGCCGGGCATCGGGGCGGGCATCGGGGCGCCGCTGGCACTGGCGATTGGAGCTCTGATCGTTATGCTGTTGCGTGAGGAGAAGAAGACGAGGGTGGCGTTGTCGAGCCAGATGGTCATCGGGACGGGGATGGGGATGGGTACGTCGGAGTGGACGGCGTATGTGCCGGTTGAGATTCACGGCCAGCCGGTACCGAATGAGTTGTCCAACAACCATGACAGGAGACATGGGCTTTCTGGACATGGACGCTAGAGGATGGCCAAAGGTTGGTGGTGCGCATGAGGAAAGATGGGTTCCGCGGACTTTGCCAGGGGAAGGTCAGCTACAAGGTGGTTCTATGAGATGTCTCTGCCACTCTGTAGAAACGTCGCTCAAAGGGAAATCAACGGTATGCGGAAAGACATTCTACTTGATCAAGACCTGGAATACAAGGCTCATTTTGTAGAGCCTTGAAGTCAGGGTCACTCGAAGGTTCTGATCCCAGGGAGCAAGCCCCACAACATCAGAGGTTGATGTGGCGATCCAACAGACGCGGTTTTGTAAATATCTCACCGTTGCCACACTTGAATTCATGATCATGGTTGTCATGTTTGTGTCGCTTGTTTGGCTGGATTGATGGCACCCACCGTTCGTCGGACTGAAACGGCCATGGCATTGAAAACGAAAATTTAGAGCCCCCGAGCTGTCGAACATCTGTACGATCCTCGCACTAATACTATGCTCGTCCCAATCCAGCAATTTCCAGACCACTGGCTTTGGCAACTCACCACCACCAATGAGCCCTTCCCGTCAGCTAGCCTTCACTTAAAAACCACCACAATGGCCCGTAAGTTCCGACACACCCCCTTGGCGCAAGATATTCCGGTGGACGCGCCAACAAGGCGAAGCATATGCAGGCGCTTCGGCGGCTACCAAGCGTTTCTACTCCCAAGGCCAGCCAACCACTGCCCACCCACCATCACCACCATCACCACCATCGGCGTTGTTTCGAACGGGACCCTTGATAGGTTGTTTTCTGCCGTCTTGATGGTTAGAACTGGTTAGAACTGGTTAGCACTTGAGGCATTCTTCATACGCTTGGCCCCCCCACCACCTCATAACGCGCCTCTAGGGCTGAAGCTAATCGCATAGCCGAGCGTGGCGTCACAGGGTCGCGTCGCGCCATGCGTTCCTTCTCATCAGGCAGACGGTATTCCGTCTCAGGGGAGAGCCAAGCCAGCCGTTCCAGAACCAAAAATAAGCTCATTGGCGCATGGATCTCTCAACTCAATAAGGCATCGTGCAAAGGAAACAACCTCCCCCATGTGGCGCCTACAGGTAAGCTCGGTTGCTGTTTAAGGTCCTGCGAGGTGAGCTCTCATTAAGTACCCGTCAGCCTACTTCCAACGTTTCTTCTGTTTCCCTTTTTGGTCATGATTCCCTCCTCTCTTTCTATCTTGTGATTCATTGAGCGCGTACGCGTTGTTTCCTTCGCTGTATTTTTTTTTTGGTCCTGCGCCAGTGATATCAGAGCAACCTGGGAGAGATTTGAGACAATCAACAGGGATGGCCGATCAGATCCAGCACCGGCTCCACACGGAGGGGCCGCAAGAACAACCGGGCCTCGAGGCGGCACAGAGCCGGTACTCCACCGCACCGATCCCGTACGACCCTTCCGAGTTCCAAACCCCGTTGGAAAAGTCAACGTGGACGACAATGACCCAGGCCTACCACCCAGCGTACGCCCATGCGGGAGGAACGCCGCCGCCGCCGCCGCAGCCAGAGACACTACAACGACGACGCGTTCTCGGTTTGACGGTGCCTATCTTTTGGGGTCTGGTGATTGCGCTGGTTGTCATTCTTGCTGGGGGAATCGCTGGCGGTGTCGCGGGAGGGTTGGCGGCTCAAAAGGCCGATAGTTTGGCAGTGTCAGAGTAAGTCTACCTTGCGCCCCAAAAACACTCATAATGCAAAAGATGGGAGTAACAACAAACTAAACTTCATATCGCCCCAGCAATGATTCATCGTCAACGGCCTCAGCAACGGCAGGCTCTCAATCAGCGTCTACAATCACAGGCGCGCAATCTTCCGCACTGACAGCAACATCATCATCATCGACCTCCCGCTCGATCCCCACAGGCATCCGCGCGGCGCCCACGGACGGCGGCTGCCCATACATCAACACGACCACTTACACGCCCACCGACGGCAGCGGGAACGCCATGAAAGTCAGCTCCGGATCCGGCTCCGGGTCCGCCCAGCTCTTCCGCCAACTCTGCGAGGTCAACTACCCGTCGGGAGCCGCCTACGGCAACCCGGCGCTCTACGACATTATGAAGGTGTACGTCTCGACATTCGAGGAGTGCATGGCCCTCTGCGCGGCGTATAACCAGGCGTACGGTAGTAACCTCGCCAACGGCGACGTCAAGAGCGGAGGGTACTGCAGGTCCGTCGCTATGATCAAGCTTCCCGGGGAGTATTGCTACCTCAAGAACGGTACCGGCAAAATGGATACGCAGGGGCACCCCAAGGATTTTGTTAGTGCTGTGGTCATTTCTGGGCTACCGGATGCGTAGGGGGTTGAATAAGTGACGATTTTGGACCTGGGGGAAGGTATGTCCATGTAAAATAGTCTTCGAAGAGGCATAATATCGATAGTGGGCCGGTATATGATGTGACCGACTTATATAATCACCACCAGTCACTTCAAAATGGGCTCTCTACCCAGGACTGATAATGTACGTTAATTCGAGCATTTGCAAGATTAATTTGTCCAAGTATTTTTGGAGGTACAGGAGAGACAGAGAGTGCCTTTCAACCCAATTGACTAGTATCTCTGTAGGCAGGATCTGGAGGCAGATGCCTCGAAGACTGTGTCTCGCAAAGCCTTGGTGCTCTCTATACTGCGTCCCTTTTCATAACATCACTTCTTCAAAGACGAGGCACGCGGAAAACCCGCATTATATCAATACATCAATTCGGGGAGCTTCATGACATCGTTGCTGCTAATCTGAGACCTTCTCCATCTCTCTAACACTATGATTGTAAACTGGATCCCCATCTAATACCCCAACACTATGGGCAGAACACACCTGCTAGCAGACTACTTCTTGCCAGAACTGCCAGAGCTACCGCCGCCGTAGCCGGAAGAGGTCCTGTCACCGCTGGGGGAGGTGTAGGTCGAGCCGCCGGCACCATTGTTGTGGTAGGTGCTGCCGTTGGGGTTGGAGTAGTAGTAGGATCCGTCACTTTTTGATGGAACTGGTCAGCTTCGTCCCACAAGATTCCACGAGATGAAGTAAGAAGTCTGTTCTGGATACTGAGGAACGGCAGAGCCCCCTTGGACAGCTGTCGTTGTCCGCATGATGGAGGGAGCAGCTGGTGGTGGTAGTGGTGCACTTACGTGTTGGAGTAGTGGTAAGAATTGGTGTTGGAAGCGCTGCTGCCGTAGTCACGAGCGCAGTAGTGATTGCCCTGCGTTTGCCAGTCGGTAACATCAGCCATGGTGTCTTGGTCTGAAGCTCTGCGGCTTCGGGAGGGGGGGACTAATGATTACCTCGCTGTTGGTGCCAGAGCTCTTGTACGAATAACCTTGTCCGCTCATCTTGACTGTGTGCTTGTTCAGGTGGGTTTGGAAGCTGGTTGATTGGGTTGGGTTTTGAGGATGTGTGTGTTGTCAAATGTTGAGTTGTTACGGAGGTTGTGAAGGGGGAGAAGGGAGAAAGGCGAGGACGTTTGAAGGCGGGAAGGAGATTAAATAGGTTGACCAGCAAGGTTGCTCACCCCTTCACCCCGCTCTGCGAACGGATTGTTGGCGGGACTAAGATCATCAGGAAGCTACCTTACCTACCTTACTCACCTTTGCAACTTCCTTTGGTTTGCAGGGCCAGGAAGCTCTCCTGTTCCTTCCCGTGGGGGTCCCCATGTCAGGCTCCAAAGTCAAGTTAGGCAGGGGTCACTGTATAAATTTCGTGATCGCATCATTCCTTCCCCCATGCTACCCCCTTTGTATGCACGACTGATCACAATCAAGTTTCCTGCGGTTGAGAGCAGCAAAAATATTTTGGGGGAAGGGTAGCATGATGCTGGTATATTGCTTTTTTGATCTTTGATAAGATAAGCTGCCAGTCCCTCCCCCGCTGGCCGACAAGCTGCCACTATCGGGACATAATCTGGGATTATCCTGGTAGATTGACGTTGAGCAATTGGCGGACCTCGGACCAAAAGGGGGGGTAACTCATCTCAGCTGCGAGACGCTCGGAATTGATAACTGAAATATAGAAACGACACCTTTAAAGCCTTGAAAGCATAGTCGTGTGCTCCGACTGGCGAGTCTTGTAACACTCGGCTGCCCCTCAAAGGTGCTGTCGTCGACTGCATGGGGTTTGAGTGGCAGTCGAGTGGGATGAGACTCCTCTCACGGCTAGCTAGCCGCCACATGACAGGGATCAGCTTACATTGAAAAAGCAAACGACATTTCAATCACCTTGTCAATTGAACTCACGTCCTCTCGGTCCCAAATTGAAACCAATTTCACATGCCTTCGCGTCCTACTACAGGTACCCCAAGTGCGCGCAAAATCAAATCAAGAGTGTCCATCCCATTAGATTAAAATCAAAAAGCTCGGCGTCCCAATCGCAATGCAATCACATAACTACTCCATCGTTTCGCATTACAAGTTCGATCTTTATTTCATTCCAACACTTTGCATCAGCAGTCAGCGTCAAGGTCTAATGTAAACCAATACGCTACTTCTCCAATGTCACCCTAGTCTCGCGGAGAAAGTTGGCCAAACTTACTTTTTGCCGTACCCGGAGCACGTTCGGTATCCGCTAGCCGAGGTGTTGCTGTCGTTTTGATACTTGTCGCCTTTCAGAGTCGAGTAGTGAAATGACCCGTTCCTGTTCGTAGTAGATGTCTGTTAACCTCACTCTTCAAAGGCTCCAATCCCCAAAACGGCGATTTGGGCAAGATTGGGACCAAAATTGACACGAAAGAATGAGAACCCACGTGTTGGTATACTGGTATGAGTTGGGGTTTGAAGAGCTGCTGCTGCCGTAGTCGCGGGCACAGTAGTGGTTACCCTTTTCCCCCGCAATGAGTAAAATGCTACTTCACGAGAACCTCGCATGTTTAGGTTTTCGATTTACCTGGCTGTTGGACCCAGAGCTGTTGTAGGAGTACCCCTTGCTGCTTGGCATATTGCCGATCTGAGGCGACGGGTTCTTTCACTTAATTTTCCGAGTGCTTTGGGATGATGGGCGAAGATAAAAGGAGAATCAGTTCATTGAAAGGACGAGGGGTAAAGACATGAGAAAGGCATCAAGCTGTTTTACCCAGCTGTCACGAGGTGGAGATGGGGGAGAAGGTGAACTTAAGTATAAAAGCAAAACTCTCATGCTCTCTTTCTCTCTCGTCCAAGGCACATGTACAAAATGGGCTGATCATGGGCGATGCGTGGTTTGAAACACCGCGCTACTCTCTTACCCCGCCCCACGAGCAGCCTTTTTTGGGCTTCCCATTTTCAACTTACGATTCGGTCCATTGACACGTTTGGATGGAAGGGTAGGTATGGGGAACGGACGATGCGGCAAAGCCAACCGAGTGGATGGAAAGGGATGGCTTTGGGCAAGCGTCAAGCCGTCAAGCCGCATGCCCTCGTGGGCCGAGCGAGGCGACACGCGTGCGCTGGCTCTGCATCTTGGGGCTCGGGCTTCTGGGGCATTCGGTATCGGCACCAGTATTTTAAGCTTCATGTGGGGTGGGCTTCGAGCTTTTGGGGGGACTCTGCTTCTGGACGACCGAGCAGGCTCTTTGGGATGAGAATGAGTCCGGGATCTGGAGAGGGGTTGGTGGGATGGGAGGAGAAAAGGGAGCCAACGTGATTCTGCAGCGTAGAAGCTTCCCAAAAGTTGGGACGACACGACATGTCGACTTTTTTCGATTTTGGATCAGGGAAGCAGCGGCTCTTTTGAATTAAATGTGCCACTCTTCTCCCTCCGCTGACGTCGAAATACCAAAGAAAGCAAACGAGCTGCTGCAAATGCGGACCGCAGATCCGGGAAAGCCCGGCCCTAAGTAGGGACCGACGGACGCCGTCAGGGGCAAATATCTCCGAGACCTGCTTCGGTCGACTCGGATCTGACTCCGAGCGGTGAGAAAAAACCACAATTCTTTTGGTTTCTTTGTTTATACGCTTGAATGCAAAGTCTATTTATTTATTTATTTTGGTTCCCGCACATCTATTCTAGAAGGCTCTCTATATCATTAAGCGGTTCCCCCCCAAACAAAAAGCCTACCCGGCTTTTGGTTCAGAGGTGGTGATCTAGTCAGTTGGAGGGGTCCTTGGAGTCGCCGTCCTCGAGCTCGGCAAGATACTTCTCGGCGTCCAGGGCAGCCATGCAGCCGGTTCCGGCGCTGGTAATAGCCTGCCTGTACCTCTTGTCCTGAACATCACCGGCGGCGAAGACGCCCTCAATGTTGGTCAGCGGCGTGCCGGGCTTGGTGACGACGTAGCCCTCCTCGTCGGTCTCGAGCTGGCCCTTGACGAGCGTCGTCGCGGGCTCGTGGCCAATGGCGTAAAAGAGTCCGTTGGCCTCGAGCGTCTCCTCGGCGCCCGTGGCGGTGTCCTTGACGACGAGGTGGCTCATCAGGCCGTTGTCGCCGCCCTTGATCTCCTTACCGGCCGAGTTCCACCGCACCGTCACCTTCTCGTGGGCCAGCAGGCGCTTGGCCATGATCTGGGAGGCGCGGAGGACGTCGCGGCGGACGAGGACGGTGACGTGGCTGGCGTACTTTGTGAGGAAGAGGGCCTCCTCCGCGGCGGAGTCGCCGCCGCCGATGACGACGAGGTGCTTGTTGCGGAAGATGGGGACGGCACCGTCACAGACGGCGCAGGCGGAGACGCCGTTCTGCCAGTACTTTTCCTCGCCGGGGAGGTTGAGGCGCTTGGCGGAGGCGCCGGTGGCGAGGATGATGGCGTCGGCGGTGTGGGTCTCCTCGGGTTCGAACTCGGTCGAGTACTTGAAGGGGCGGGATGAGAGGTCGAGGTTGGCGACGGTGTCGCTGATGATTTCGGTGCCGAAGCGCTCGGACTGGGCCTTCATGTTGTCCATGAGCTCACCGCCCATGATGCCCTTGGGGAAACCGGGGAAGTTCTCGACGTCGGTGGTGGTGGTGAGCTGGCCGCCGGCGGCAATGCCGTTGGCCATGAAGCCCTCGTAAAGAACAGCTGAAGGGAAGCGGCGTCAGGGGACGTTCCTGATAGCAGGGGAAGGGGGGAGTGGGCGAGGGGAAGTACTTACGCTTCAGCTCAGCGCGCGCCAGGTAGACGGCGGCGGTGTGGGCAGCAGGCCCAGAGCCAATGACTGTGATACGAGGTCAGTAAGGGCGCATTGCAAGAGTTGAAGCCTTCGTGGCTCGATCATTGTACAAGGCAGGTCCGTCGATGCTGGTCACGCAGGAGGCACCTCCGGAACGGAGAGTCGTGACGTACTGACAACCTTGCTGTGCATTTTGCGGGCGCTCGTCTTGAGTTCGATAGGATTTGTAGTGTTCTTCTTCAAGGAGGTGGTGGCTGCGGCAAAGGACAGACCGGTCGCGCTCGAGCGAAGAATTGTTCGTCTAAAGGTTGAAGAGAACAGTTTGGCGGTGATATGCGCGTTCAGGAACACGCACTATCCTCTCCAACAATGGCGGGGTATCAGAAAAAGAGAGATATATGTACAGTCAGAGAGAGGGGGGGTAAGGGTAGGCCGGGGGGCGTGTGAAGAGAGGGGTGGAGGGGCAAAACGAATGGAAGGGGAGGATGGTGACGGGCTTTGCTTCCAATCAAGGCTTGGAAACTCGTGGACCGCTATTGTGACGGCAGACCGGGGATGGTGGTACAAGTGGCAGCAGCTATCGAAAGTGGGCGGCAGAGTTTCTGCAGCAGAGTAGCGGCGGCGGTGGTGCCCGGGCAGGTTGTGATTTCTAATGATGATGGCCGGGATCTTGGACGGCGTTGCGTTGCTCTGGGGCCTTCGGTGGTGGATTCCAGAATTCCAGAAATTTTTATCGGGCTTGCCGCACGATTCAGGGTGCATTTGGTAGCGTCTGTCACAAAAAGCCCGCTAAGCCAAACCGCATGTGGTCTGGATGCGTGATCGGAGAGCCGTCTCTCTGTAGATTACTTAAGCGCCGGGTCGACGTGTGTACCGGAAATGCCCCCACTTGCCGAGGCTCTTCCGAGTGACGCAACTCGGCTCCGAGCCAATCCTCTGTGGCAGGTGTACCTAGGTAACCGTCTCATTATAGGCAGGTTGCCGGTGTCGGGAGTTTGTAACCTACAAGGGTTCTCATGCTGTTTGGAATCTTATCAATCGCATCAGTGTGTATTTGGAATTATTGACGTCAATGAAGCTCCCGCCTGGTAAGATTATGGTCTAGAATTGAGCCAAGGCCGTCATGGTCGGCGATTTCTCAAGAATTTTTACATCAAAGTACCTTATTCAGATATGCTGCGCACGCGATCAAGAGGATGAGTCAATGCCTAGTTGCCCCCAAGACCGCTTATCCAGCTGATTTGCTTTCCCATTCTCGTCACACACGAGTTATCATCACATTTCATTCTGATTTGAGTGTTGATCTCGTGGATCACAGTGGGCTGCATCTTCTGGTTACCAACCAGCATCGTGCACGGCATACTGCAAGACTTATGACGATAAAACGTCTCCCCTTTCTAAAGCCTCCCCAGAACCTTTGAAGTGCTGCCAAACTGCCACTCTGGAACCTTCCAAAGCGCTTATTCGTTGAATCTGACGATCCAACTGCCTCTCCTGCGTCTTCACTCGAGTCTCATCCCGACGCGGCTGGTGACGCAGATAGGACGCTCGCGACATGATTCCATCTCCTCCTAAAACCTACCTAAAGTGCCGCATCAAAAGGGAAATCGGCAGCGGCAGGGTAACACAGCTCGAACTCATCTTGGAGTATGGGATGGAGGGTGGCTGTGGTGAAGATACGTCGTAGGCCAATAATTACAAGACTATATCTAGAAAAGAAGACAGGGGAAAAGTACAGCAGCAGTGGACCCCGTCGGCTACTATTAGGTCCTCCTACTAAGTCATTCGACAATGAATTCACTACTGACAACGACGGATTCCTGTAGAGGTTAATGCCTTGGAGTTTTTCGTATAGCATTCTCGTTAAAACACGTATAACAAAAACAAATTTGCCCTTTGATATAGTCTCGTGGTGATGGCCCGGCGTGAAGCCAGTCCAGGGAAACCAAGTTTCAGCTGAAGCTCGAGTTGTACTGACTACTTCTGCGTCAACTTTTATATAGTACCTCGCGGCACCATTTGCTGCCTCACAGTTAACCAAGTCGTCGGCTTGAGTTCATGAGTTCATTATTGTTACACATTACGTCAAAAAAGGAGCTCCTATCAGTCGTTCCTGAAGCTAGCGTCGTCTCTATCGTGACACTTCTTCTCATGTCTTCATCAAACGTCCCCCTCCCCGCTGTCACATCAAAGAGCACATCTCCCTCCCGAAAAACCCACGCATTGGCGAGCCGTAAACGTCTGCCCCCCTCTCAATACCTCTCCCTCTCCTGTCTCCTCATCTCCTCACGGAAAGCATTCCCACCTTGGGTTCCGTGGTCCGGGAACGCAGCCGAGACAGGGCTACCCGCCAAGCTACCAAGCGCCTCGCTGTCCCTCCTAGCATGGCCGAGGCCGAGGCCGCCCCCGCCGGTGCTGATACCGCCGCCGGTATGCTGGTTCGGCAGCGGCTCGTCGCGGTACACGTACCCGTCGGGACTAATCTCGCGCTGCCTCAGCTGAATCCCACGATCCTTGCGTCCGCCGTGGAACACGCTCTGCCGGACCTTGGCACCCAGCCGCTGCGCACGCGACTTGCCGACGCCGTACCCGTGACGCGACCGGCTCATGATGTTGCCCAGTCCAATCTTGCGCGTCCTGCGGTTCCAGAGACACCCGCCAATGACACAAATGATGATGAAGCCAAAGACGGTGGGGAGCACAATGTACAGCTCGGCGCCCTTTGGCATTTTCGCGCCTTCCGGATGCCAGGTCGGGCGCTTGGCGATGAGGACTTGGGGGCCCTTGATATCGGTTTGCGCGGCGCCGTCAATGGTGTAGGACATGAGGAGCTCGATTGTGGCGTTGTCCTGGCCGCTGGGGATGAGGCTGGAGCTGACTGTCCAGGCGTAGTAGCCGTACGAGGCTGGGTTCGTTGTGTCGGTGTCGGCATTGAAGACGACGTCGCCTACTTTGGTGCCGTTGACGGATTTGCCCTGGATCTTGACGTTGACGTTGGTCTTGTTGCCCTTGATGAGGACGGTGGGATCCCAGGTGACTAGAGGACGCGAACGGTCAGTCATCTAATATGATGTGGACAGCATCGCCCTTGCGGGAGAACATGATAACAAAAGGGTCCTTTTCCTTACCATAGTAGGTCCCGTCAGTGAAGAGCGTGCTACCCTTATTAGGATCGCAAAAGGGCGAAAAGTCCCCCTTGGTGTTGCTGCAGGGGGCGAAAGCTCCCGCGCCGCTCTTGCTGTCGGCGGTGGCCACTGGCGGGGTCCCTGTGCTGGTCGTGACCTTGACGAGGCGCCAGTCGGTCAGAGTAAACACGCTACCCGTCAAGGCATTGGGAGCAGCGGAGACGTAGGTCGCAGTGCCGGAGATTGTCGTCGAGATGGGGGTGACGGTCGTGGGGACGCCCTTGTTGTTGACGCTGATCCACGCGGCGGTGGGAGCGATGACATCGGCGCGGGCGACGAGGGTGGGCGTGGGTGCGGGGACGGCGGCGACGCCTTGGAAGAGGAGCGTGAGGGCGGTGGCAGCCGCCGGGGCGAGGTTGAAGGTGCGCATGTTGAAGGATGAGACACGCATAGAGGAGAAGAGAAAGAGAGGTGGGCCGAGATCTGGTGAAAGCTTCAGGAGCTTTGGGAACGAGGGAGTGATCCAATTTCGGGTTTCAAGCAAATGAGCGTGTGGAACCTCCTCAGAACTTAAGAAACGAGGGTGATGTCTTCTCGTCGGTGGAACAAACGAAGAAGATCAATTGAAAACTCAATGTCTGGTCCAAATGAGCGAGAGTGACGACTCAGAGAGTGAGAGAGTGTGGTTTGGAGGAGACGACGGAGGAGGAGTCGAGGTGACAGGAAGGGTGGTCCAATGTTAATCATAATTGGGACGAACGGGGGGGGAATTTAGAAAAAGTTGTTGATCCCCCAGGTCGCGCGGAGGCATCCTTCGAGCTTCTCAGTGGACGGTCGACTGTCGACAGGGGAATGGACCCCACTGCCGAGATTGGCTCCCCAAACCTAAGTCCAGAGTTCAGGGGGAAGCAGGCTTGATTCGTGCTGTTTGGGGCCTGAGCTTACGGAGTAGCTCTGCCGGTTTGCCGCGATGCAGGAACCTACCTAAATGGTTAGAAACATTCATTCTTATAAGTAACCTCACTGGTTGTGATTGGACAATGCACCTGGCATGCGGCGAACTGTCTTACACCAAATTTCGAAGACCTAAACACCAACCACAATAGGCAACTGTCACAATTTCAACACCTTCTCATGATGTCGAAGAACAACATACAGGGCCGACATAGAGAATCAACAATGAAATGAAACGAGACGCTTCCGATATGATCAGCGCTAGAATATCAACGCTTCCTCCCATTAATTAGTCCTCCTGCAGCTTCGTGTCTCGTTTCTCGTTATTCGTGGCATTATGTCGATAGGAATGTGGTTCCGTGGAGTGCCCCAAGAACACATATTAATGCGGCCTCATCATCGGACCGTTGTAGTCCCTCTGCCTCCTAACAGGCGCCTGAGCAGTGGGAGATGGCAGCTGAATAGCAATGGCACCCTCGTACTCCTTCTCCTTCTGACCTTGCTGCTCCGCCCGCCTCTCCCGTCCCCGAACAGGCCCCACCCCCTCATCAGGTCTCCCGTCCGTAATAACGACCGGTATCTTGTTCTGATGAGGCCGGCCGACCTCCAACGGGTCCCGGAACCCCTGCGTCGGCGCGATTCTCTTCTTAAGCCCCATCTTGATCCTCTGCGCCTCAATCTTTTCCTCATCCGTCCTCGTGTCAGCAGTCCTGCTGGCACCCGCCTTTGCATCCCTCTCCGCCTTGAGCTTGTGGCCGGGGCACTGCGCGTTGGGACACAGGCCCGGCCCAATCTCGTGCTTCACCTCGCCGTCGAGGAAGGGACAGTTTTTGGCTTTCGGGGTCGAGGAGAGAGGGGTGGTGAAGGTCCACTTGATCTGGCGGAAGCTCCAGATCCAGGCCATGCAGAGGTGGTAGTGCATGTGCCTGTGGAAGCCGCAACTGTCGCAGAGGGCGATGGTTTCGGTACACATTTCTTTTGGGGGCCGAGGTTGGTGTTTTTGTGATGGCTGGGGGTTGTGCTGGCGAATATGATTGATGCCTTGACGATGAATATCGATGGTATGGCGAAGGATTGGAAATCCAATCGGGAATTTGCTGGCTCGATGGAGTATTAGAGAATGAGGGAGCTTCCAGCCGAAGCTTTCAATGGTAGGAAATCAGGATCATCGAGGCGTTGCCGTCAGATGGCAGCAGTCGCTTGCGAGACGTTGAAAATCGTCGAGACGTACCTTCCATGGGGGAAGCAGCAGTAGAGAGACACCTTAGGAAAGACCGCTCCTGAGCTGAAAGATGGAAGAAGAACAGAGATACGGAAGGCGCCTACGTCTTCAACATCTTCGTCCCTTCTCTCTCTGGAAATCATGCCAAAGTCAGATCACTGAAGACGGCCGGCCAGTCACCACCTTCGCCAAACCCCTCAGCACCCTAGCTCCTTCATTGTGAAGAGGGAGGACATCATCATCCATCTTTCCATGATGCAAGAAGAAAATATCTTTTAAATTCCAACGAAACAAAGCCGAGCCAACTCCGCATAGAGGCCGCCCATGTTAGAACAAAATACCCGTTTCACCCTTTTAGTAAAGATGCTTTTACACTTTTGTTTAAACCCCCACTCTCTCCCCCTCTCTTCCGTGTGACAAGCCAACCCCAAGGCTGTTTCTCCATGCTTAGTCCCTATCCCTCTTGGATTTCTTCGCCTTTTTGGACTTCTTCTCCCCGAGGGCCTCGTCGTAAATCTCGGCTGCCGTGGGGCCAGCCTTGCGCTTCGACTTGCCCGTCTTCACGCTCACTACGCCGGATTTACCGTCCTTGATGGCCTGCTCTGCTTCGGCCCAGGCGGGGGCGTCACCGTCAACCTCATATCTGGGATTAGGGTTAGTACAATGCTCTGAAAGCTACGGCATCTCTGCACATGAATACACTTACTGATCAAGGGGTAGGGAGTCAATGAGCTCGCGCTGCTTCCTACGAAGCTTGGCCAGAGCCTCATCGCCTCCCTCCTCAAGCTCGTCCTCGAGAGAGGTCTCTAGGGGAGCGAACCTCTTATCGACAACCTCATCGTCATGGACACCAGAGGCGTTCTCCCGGCTGACGCCAATGGTGGTAGCGGCAGGCAACTCGGCCTCGACGGCGGCGTTGACCAAGGATCCAAAATGCGACGTAATCTTGCGCAGGATCTTGATGAACATGGCCAGGAGCTGCGACGACGGCAGCGTCAGCTCCGTGGAGATGACGTCCATGTCTTTCCTCTGCAGGCCAATGGCGAGCAGAATGGCCTGCTGCACACCCGTCAACTTGACGTCGCCCTTGAGCTTGCCGGTGAAGTATAGCGTGGCGAGCGTGGGCACGAGGTCGAGGATGACGTGGTAGTCCAGCATGTTGTTCGCGTATGACTCGAGACGCTTCAGGTCAAACGGTGTCAGGAACCTGTCCAGCTCCGCCTTGGTCAGGGCGGTGGGCTCGGTGCCGTCGAGCTTGGCACCGATGGCCGCGGACTCGTCGATGCTGAGCGCGACCACCGACTGGAACTCCCTGAACTGGTACGACAGTAGCGACTGGAACCGGCGCTGGAAGTCTCTCGAGAAGGCGCCGAGCCACGACTGATCGGCGGCGGTGTTCTCCAGGGGTCGGATCATGACGCACGTGTGCTCGCCCGTCAGGTCGTTGGCCGTCTGCCGCAGGTAAACGGGCGCGAAGGAGGCGCGCTTCCAGAATTTGTGCAGCGGCTGCGTCAAGCCGTAGCTGACGCCAACGTAGTCCAGGGCGGCGGGCCTGATCTCGGAGAATCTGGCGAAGAGCGGCGGCAACTTCTTGATGTCTCTGATGTGGACGTCGTCCGCCAGCAAAGAGGTATTTGCCAGCTCCGCGTCCGTCACTCTGGGCAGGGTCTCTTCCATGGCGAGATCGGCGTCTTCGGACAGGTTGGTGAACTTTTGCTCGTAAAAGTCGGTAAGGAGCTGCAGAGCCTTAGTGCCGTATCCCATGGAGACGTACTCCGGGTTCGTCGCTATCCTCACGACGCGAGCGCCGGAGAGGGAGGCGAACTCGTCGTCCTGGAACTGCTGGCTCACGAGCCAAGGGATCAGGTCGCCAGAAGGACGCTGTCCTCTGCTCAATTGGTTGATGACACTTTGTCTGCTGATCTTGCCTTCCAGTGCGACCTGGATGACGCACAAGGGTTCGGGCAGCTTGCCGTCTGATGTCGGGGCGATGAGGACGTAGAGCTCGTGGGAGGGCGCGTCACTCATTAGTTGAAGATCATCGGGAGAGTTCTTGTAGTGACTGGCGACGTAGAGTGCGACCATTTGCTGAAGGAACTTCTCGGGGATGGGATGGAAGGAGAAGAGCGTGTCTCGGTTGACCTTGAGCAGCTCGCACTGCGAAGGATCGGGGCAGCCCTGGGCGCTGGCCTTGGCCTTGGGAAGGGTGGCATCCAGGCAGAGAAGCTTGTTCAGCCACTTCTCAACGGAATCGCCTTGGGCGTATCTGATGGGCTCAGACAAGGTAATTTCGCGAAGGGAACGGCTGGATTGGCTCGAGCCCTGATCCTTGGCGGCCTTGCCCGTCGTCCGGTCTGCAACCTCTGTATCGTCGCCAGTCTTGGCCCCGGGTCTCGACTGCTCCCTCAGCTGCTTGATCAGCTTCAGCGACAGCGAACGACCGGTACCCTCGTAACCGTTGATCGTGGAAGCCATGAAGACCAGGTAAGGGCCCATGAGCTTGCGCACCAGCGGTAAGGGAATGGCGGCGGCCTCATCGATGACGACCAGCTCTGCCTGGCCCAGGACGTGGGCATCCTGGGGTCTGATGTACTGAATCGTCTGGCGATGCGCCCGGTGAATGTTGACTCTGACGATGGCCTTGTTGAAGTCGGGGTTCGTGGACTGGATGATGGAGTAGTCGGCGTGATCAGCGTACCCGAGCGCGTCGAAGCCCTTGAAGACGAACTCGAACAGCGTCTTCAAGTTCTCGGGGGACGGGGAGGTGATGAAGATGTTGCTGTACCCGTGCGCCACGGCAGCCGCCACAGCCACACCCATGGCCGCCGACTTTCCACGACCTCTGGCGGCCGTCAGGGTCACCGTACTCCGTAGGGTCTTCTCAGCGATTGCATCCACGAACGTCAGCAGCGCCTTGGCCTGGTCGACCGTCTTGGCGAGGGTAACCAGGGAGCCAACTGGTTGGGTATCTTGTAGGGACTCCTTCATGTCCTCCAGCTCTTGCTGCGCCTCGGTCTTGTCGAGATCCTTGTCGGTGGGGGGAAGCTTCTTGACGTTCTTGCCGCCGGAGATGGGCAGCACGTTCATCTCGTCGTCGATGACAAGGCATGAATCGCAGCTGCCGAGCGAGAGAATGAAGCGCTCGTTGAAGCGGGCGACGACGTCGTCATGCGCCTCGGTGCGGTAGCGGGAGTGGATGTCCATGGACATTGTGTACAGCTGCTTCAAAGAGGACATGCCCTTGAGCAGGAGAACCACCAGGCCGCCACCTTCGACCGTCTCGATCGTCCTCGCAAGGATGTTTGGTGTCATGGCCTCAAAGTCTTGAAGAATGCACATGCCGAAGGTGTTTCCGAGGACCTTTTCCGTCTCCTTGTAGTAGACGTATCGGATGTTGTGGAGGGAAACGAAGAGCTCGAAGGGGTCCGACTCGTTTGCTTCGCGGGTGCCGCGCTTGATTTCCTTCTTAATCTTGTTCTCGCGCTTCTTTCGGTGACTGTAGAAAGTTTCCCGCAGTTAGCTCTCGACTTCTGTTGTCTAAGTGAGCCTGCTCTAGACCGTCGACGTACCTGGTGAAGCCCAAGAGCTTGTTCTTGTACGCCCACAAGACGGACTTGTTCTGCTTGATGTTTCTCTGCGACATCAAGTAGTGGAGGTTGACAATGACATCCTTGGAGTGGTCACCGACAACCACGAAGAAGCTTCGCTTCTTCTCTTGCAAGCCATTGTAAATGAGACTCGGGATCCGCTGGTCTCTGCAAAGAAAAAAAGGGAAAAAAAGTCAGCAATTTGAATAACGAGCAATTATTGATCCTGCAAGAAGAACTCACACTGCCTTGCGCGACATCTTGAACAGAGCTCGCAGGGGACGAGAGGGAAGGGAAGATTGGCAGAAGCGGGCTTGCTGAAGTCGGGTAGGCGCAAACCAGCAATGCTCTCAGACTCGAGGAAATCCCAAAAAATTGGCGGAGAGAACATTTTCTGCCGGGCGGTGGACCCGAAGGCGGGTGCACCTTGGTGGGGTGCAGCGACTTTTTTTCGTTATGGCCACACCATGGCTCACTCGCCGGCCACGCCCCCCTCGGACGATCTACAAAAAACATCTGGTGGCGATCACTCGGGAAGGATAGGATCACGTAGGTTTTCAAGGGGAATCTCAAAGCCTTGGAATATTTCCTTCTCATGGAACTAGTAATACACTCTTGTGTTGTACATGATTTTTCTCTTCCTCTTTGTCTCTCTTTCTCTTTCTGTCCCTCTTCTTACCCTTGCGTCGCCGGTTCTTGTGCGTCTCTCTCTCTCTCTCAGTATCGCGGCACGGTTATGAGTGATGGCTCTGGATGCAAACAGTTGGATGATTGCTATCTGATGCAAAGCTGTTCCCCTCTCTTCTCTATATGAAGCCTGAGAAATGAATGCAACGCGAAAAGAGATGAAATACCATCAGCGATACCCCAGCCGAGAACACCAATTATGAGAAGAAAACCGCATCCTTCCCAGATATGCTCGGGTGGGAGAAAGGGGGTGGGGGGAAAAAAAAGGTGAGAAAATAAGAGACCGACGGGCTTGCTTGTTATATACAACCAACACCACCCCTTCCGAGCTTAGATTCTGTCCAGCTTGCGGCGCAGGTTGCGCGTGCGCTTCATCAACTTCTTGTACTTCTTCTTCTTCATCTTGAGCTTGCGTTGACGCTTGACGCTGATGGCCTGCATGGTATCGTGGCCTTGCGCCTCGTCAAACTTCATCTGGCGCAGGGCCATGCGCTCGAGGAACGAGCGGGGCGCGTCGCCCTCCTGCATGATTTTGGGGCTGTGAGCGAGCACCTGGACCTGGCCGTCGGCGTCGGTCGTCTCCTCGATGGTGAACATGGCCTTGTAGACGCGGTGGTGGGGGGTCTCGTCGAACAGGTCCTCCACGGCGGACTCGGCGGCGGCGGCGTGGGTTGCGTGGGCATCGGTCTCGCCCATGGCCTCGGGGGCCGGGGGAGGGCGGAAGGGGACGAACTGGCCGGCCATGGAGTTGAGCTGGACGTAGACGCTCGACTCGCTGCCGTCGGGGTTCTTGAAGTCGATCTTCTGGACGGGCTCGCCTGACGCGTCCGTCTCCTGGTGGCCGATAGTCATCTTGGCCATGGCGCCCTCGAGGTCGTCGGTCGTCCGGGATAGTGTTGAGATGACGTCGGTGACCTTGTTCGCCCTGCTCCTGGGCTTGAAGATGGCGGCGAAGGCTTCTTCCGTCACCGACTTGGGCATGCTGTGGGTCACAGATATCGGTCGGTGCAGCGAGAAAAAGGTTGACAACCCGAGAGCTGCGCATGATATGTTAGCGTCTGCCTTCCCTGAATCCGATTCCTGCACGACTTCGTACCTTCTTGAGACAGGTGTTGTGTGCTAGGCACGCTGGGCAGCTTCTGCGCAGCCTGCCTCTCGGCGCTGTCCTTGCTCTTTCGTTTCCGCTTCTCGCCGTTGGACTTGCTGCTGCTGCTGGAGCTCGATGATGTCGAGGCATGAACGGACTGGCCCTGGGCAGGAATGTCCTTTGAGCCGTTGTTGTTCGGGTTCGAGGGACTCGAGGAGGACCATCGTCTCTGGTGGCCACCGAGTGGTCTCTGCTGCAGGGTGATGGTCGCCGTAGCCGCTCTCGGAGCGGAGGTGGTGAGGGAGGCGACTAAGGGGGACTGCGGCGCCGAAGCGACCACGCGCCGCACCGATGAGGGTAACATTGTCGCCGGGTGCAGACCTTAGGAGGGGATCTGGGGCGGGTTCGAAGAGGAGGGGGTTTTTGGAGGTGGTTGAGGCTGACGCAGATGTTGCCGACAGAGTCGGTTGATGGATGGCAAACCCGGATTTGGCCGCAGTACGGGAAAAGCTCACAGGTCCACAGACACCTTGTAATTGAGGCATTCGATTATGCACAGACCATTGACAAACTGCTTCCCCAGAACTTTCGAGATGTTGGACGGACTTGAGATGAAACAGCCTTTACAGTCCAGAAATGTCAGTGGGCTTATTACTCTTTTTTTTAAAAAAAAATGCCGTTATTTGGCGCCGCAGAGCGATATGACGCTGGTAACGCTCCTTAATCGTGATCGAGAGGGGATTGTTTGATTCAGCCCCCCGCCACGGGAACACAGCTAAGCGCCCACCACACATCACCGGGCAGACTCGCGCAATTCACCGCCCGGGTGTTGCACACCGCTCGGTTGGTCCAGAACGAACACAAGACTTCTTATCCTTGGAACTCCCGCATCCAAGGTATTTCTCGCACTAACTTGACCGGCATGTATGGAATCATTGGCTCTGGCAAGAAGATCCACAGCCAAGGTATTTCACTACCCCTCGAGAGAATATCCCACCTCCCCCGCTTCCTGGCCCAGCTTTACCAGCATTCTCCGCATGTTCTCTGCCCTCGGCCTCTCCGTCTCATCCAGCACGCCCAAGTCGACCTCATCCACCCAACCCTTGAGCCCGTGTTGCAGGACGTTGCGGGCTCGTAGGGCACTGCCGTTGACATGACCTGCGCTACCATGCAGCGTCATGCGCTCCTTGCTAGCGACGTACGCGCCGCGGTGCAGGATATTATTGTTGTAAAAGACGATGTCGCCCGCCTTGAGCTCCACGTATAACTGGTTGGGGATGTCCTTCTCATACGGATGCGCATTGCGCTCCAAGTCCGTTCTAGCCCTGGTGTGCGAACCCGGGACGACGATGAGACTGTTGTCATCGTAAAGAGCAAGATTCCACTGCGCCGAATAGGCCGGCTTATTGAGCCGATCCAGTTCCTCCTCCGCGGTGGCAGTCGCAGGGATATCATCTCTATGCCACCGGAGCTCAAAGTCCTCATCGGGCCGGATGAGCAGGTTGAAGAGCTCCATGACCAGGTCTTCGTCGGTGCATTGTAGCAGCTGCTTGGTCGGCTCGATGACGGCGTCTGAAAAGTACGTCTTGACGAAGACGGCGTTATTTGGCATATTAGGGTGCATCATTCCCTGGACGCCCCAGATGCCGCCCGGGGGCGCCTCCGGGGTGGTGACCGGCCACGGAGGGAACTGCTTGGGGAGCGTCCGCACATTCGGCCACTTTCCGGCTCGGGCCAGCGCTGTGGCGTTTTGGGTCGCGCCCCGGAGCTCTTTGAGGTGGTCTTCGGTTAGGATCGAAGGGATGACGACGAAGCCGTCTCGGTTGAGGCGATCGAGAAGGCTGGAGGCGGTCATTTTTGCGTGAGTATCTTTCGAAGAATATTCAGAGCTGGTAGTTTCGCTTCTTGTCTCGGAGGACTTTCTCAGTTTGGTTCAGGTTGGTAGCTCATTGCAAGCACTTTCAGGTGCTTTCAGACGGTCGACACCGGACGGAATTGACTTGCAACGTTGCAGCGGCCGACTCCGTCGCCGAAGGATCCCGGCTGAAGGTGGGGAGACTGAGGGGACGGCAGTAGCTCAGTTATCTATTGCTGCGAGTGGTGCGACGTGAGATAGCAGACGCGGAGCTTTGAGCTAAGTGTTCCCACTTGATTGTTGTGCATTGAGCCCCCGTCAGATATCTCATTACCTATGCTCGAGGTGATGAACAAGTTTCAAGTATGGAGTTATACGGTGCCTGGTGTTCTTCCTGGTGAGAGACTTGAGGCTCCTCACCTCCCCCACATCCATCGCTCATTGGCAGGGCTGAGCCTGGGAGGGCCGGGGCTGCTTTCGAATCACAGCGACATCTCTGTCACTATTCAAGTGAGATGCACCTCACTTTGTATTTCAAAGTTGCTGATATGCGGATCACTCGACATGAATTGGTGGGGATTGTCGGTTCCTCGGTCGGCAACACACATGGTCAGGCTTATCGTCACAATGTTTTGAAGCAACTCTTTCTGCTCAGGTAGAATAAAAAAGATGGGTGCAGTATTTTCCCACTGGCCCTGCCCATGACCATCTTTTGATCGCTCCAATCCTGTCTACCCTGCTTCTAATGCTCGAAATCTGAAGCCACAAATCGCTACGCCACGCCGGAATCACAGCGAGGTTCCAATTCCCTTTCCTCGTCCTCAAGACGGCAGCTTCCTACAGGTGGTGACAGCCATCTCAAGCCCACCTTACCACCCAGTCCCCACAGCCTCTATTGGCTGTTCAGGAAACTGAGGTAAGAGTTCCAGCCAATGCTGATGACGTTGACAAAGAGCACACGGTGGTGAAGCGGGACAAACTTGAAGTTCACCACCTGGACGAACGGCCAGAGCAAGTAGTTGGAAGTGAGCGCCGTCTTGTAGTTCTTGTCGAGCTTCTCCTTGATCGAGCTGCCCTCGAGCGTGGCCATGGAGGACAGGAAGACGCTAATCATGACGGGGGCAAAGACGCCCTGGTCGACGGCGACGCGGGCGAGCATCTCGGCGTTCTTGTTCTTGAGGACAACGTTGTTCTGCAGGAACTTGAACCAGGTTGTGGCAACGGGGCCGAAGATGACTGGAGCGGTGGTCAGTGTGAGAATTCATTCCAAGTGAGGGTGATGTGTGGGGGAGCTTACCACCGCCGTAGAGGGCCATGCGGCCTGTGCGGGCAAAGTCGTGCTTCTCGAGACCGCGCTTATCGACGAGCTGCTGGGCGGTGATGTCACCGGTCGCGAAGAGGATGGCGGTGGTGATGCTCTGGGTGAGCAGCGGGCGAGCCGCGAGTCTTGCTTGATACCTAAAAGACAGGAAGCTTTAGCGATGCATGCTGGGGCGATACCAAGGGTTTGTTGATGAAGCTCACCAGCCGAGCATTGTGAATGTTTCCGTCAGAGGGAGATAGAAGCTAGAGTCGTCGGCCTGGATCTGCGATTTCAATCCAGGGTATGGTAAATGCAATGAGCGGAATTGGACGGCAGACGGCCTGCACAGGTCGGTGGGTATCGCAAAAGGAGCAAAGGGACTTGAGCGAGTGGATGGCGATGTCAGTTTGTCGAATGAGATAATGTGAGAGGCGAGAGTTGATCCAAGAATTGGCGGTAGCTCAGGAAAGGTACCTGAGGTAAGGTACCTAGCAGGGAACCTAAGGTACCTAGGTAGATGGCGATCGTCAGGCTGGCAAGTTGCACGTGACGATAAAAGCCCCAAGTTGGCCTGATGAGAATGGTGCAACGCAGGAGAAGGGCAAGGAAATATAGAGAACTGTTGAAAAAAGAAACAATTGCAGCTAGTCTGATGGAACGGCGAGAATTCAACCTGCTGGTCTTGGCCAACGGAATGAGAAACACTGTCCTCGAAACGGTTCGGTGGCATGGGAATTTGGGTTCCCCGGTAAGGGAATATTCCCCGTGTTGCACACTAGGGACGACTTTTCCTGCATGGTATTTCCAGAAATAGCAATCTGCTTACTGGCGAGTAATGCAATTACCGAAGCGTTGTCACACCCCGCGGCTCTCCCCCGAGACCCCATTTTGTCCACCGGAGAGAGTCTGGGATGCAGGAATCTGACCTTGGTCTCGTGATAGATCACGGGAATCGCTTCAATCCGGCCAAGAGCAATTAGCCATGCATCGTGCTAAGACAGTCAGTTGAAGCTTCGTCATTTTCCTAAATGAGCAAGCTCCGGGGGATAAGGTCTGCGATGATCTCGCTTTGCAACAAGGTCCACACTTGGAAAGCTTACAACGGGCTTCGGTCACGGATGCATAGACGACTTTCTGTTCGTTCAATTTCAGTACAGCAGTTTATCGATTCGTCTCACAACCCGCTTCTCAATTAGCAACGAATGCCAAGCCTGGCACAACCCAGGGCTCAAATTTGCGGCTGGTGAATTTCAAAATGTCCCAGGATTTATTTGAAAGGGACTTCACTCTATTTCAGCTCATCTCTGCGTATCAAAAGTTGTGTAGAGCTTGTTTTGGCACTGGCACTGAGAGAAGAATCCATGGCTAAAATTCTTGGTGACTGATCACACCGCAGTCTGTAATCTACCTGCAAAGGCCAGAAGCTGCGTCTATGTCCTCGCCTAGCACCGTGAACATTCGCTTCATCTAAACGTCTCTTCCCTGACACCGCGCAGCAGAATCGATAAGCAAAAGCCCTATTCTAGCCACGCTGAAACATGATCGCAGGCACAATTATCGTCATATTTGAGACACTCAGAGAGACAGTGGCGGGGAAGAAGCGATAAGCATTGGAAGGGACTGCTGCCTGGCTGGCTAGATTTCTAGACCATTCACCATAGTGTAAGTTCAGATTGGCGGTTGAATCCTGCGATACTCGGACCAAATCAACGGCGAAGGCTGCTCTTTTTCCCACGCTTCCAACCTACCCCACTCCTCCAATGGAAAGTCACCCTCGTCCCAAGAGTCATCCACCCAGGCACCAGGCACCTTGATTGCCTCATCTTGGATCATGTTCCAAAACTCTCCTGCGTAATCTTCGTACTCATACGTCCACCATAGCCTCCAGTGCTCCGGGCAGGAACCGTAAGTAATGCCGAAAAGAGAGAATCGAGCTGTACCGCGACTGTCACTATGCCAAGGGCCCCATCGCTGTGAGACATCTGTCAGGCCTTGCTCGTACTTATGCCTTTCCTCACGCCCATAGTCCAAAAGCTCCACATCGCTGGAAGAGAGTATAGCGATCCATTCTGAAAATGCTGCTTTCAGTGATTCACAGACTTGTTCCGCTGTGCTGAGAATCAGGGAGCTTGAGCCAATCAATGATTTGATGATGCTACACAAGGGCGAGCTCATACCCCCGTTTACAATCCAGTTTGAAGTCCAGTCTATGTGGTGCAGACTTGGACGGTCCAACCTGATGCTGTCATGGAGTAATTTGCTCCATGACCGTCTTGCTTCGGCCCATTGGTCAGGGTTTGGGTGGCCCCTTCTTCTTGCGAAGTTGCCAGCCATTCCCATGGCAAATGAATGAAAAAGGCTGGAGCCCTGGAGGTTTCTTGAATGTGCAAGAGCAGCGGTGCAAGCATCAAGGTTTTTAGCTTCCGGAATGATATTAACACAAACCTCATCCGCTTCCCAGTAACAACTTTTTACCACAAGTCGCAGATGGCGAAGCCTCGTTGCAAGAGCAAACGGCTTATTCATAACTGTATATCTTTGCAATATCATTTGATAAAAATGGAAGCCGATGCCACAATCAAAAACATCTGAAATGTGTGCCGGATCTTCGAGATAATCATCGAGAAAATTATCCATGAAAAGTTTCTGGAAGGTTGGTTCCAAAATGTATCGTTGGCCTGATTGGGTCCACCGTTCGAGCTCATAGAGGAGGAAGGGATCACTGGATTTTGTTAGTGTCATCCCCTTCATGTTGCACAATACTTACTCATTCTTGCTGCTCATCGGTTCTCGAGCAAGACTTTCGAGTCCTCTCTCAAGAAAAGAATTCACAACCATCAAGGATTTCATACGGACAGCGAGCTGAAGAAACTCGCACGTATTAGCGGCCAAGCGCCACTGGAATTCTCCACTGAGCACTCTTACCTGAAATAAGCTGTGTCCACGACTGTCTCGTACGAATGGGGTCATGTTATGCTTCGATAATACTCGAAAAGTGCCAGAGGGGTCGTCTATGTGAAGGCAAATGAGCAATCTGACACCGAAGCGTTTTACTACTTCGTAAGCTCGTAGATTGAGCTGCCAGCCCTGATAGCTTTTCTGAACCAAGACTGAATAGACAGATCCAGTGAGCCAGCTCGGCGCCTGAACGGACAATTGGAAGCTGTCATTGTTCCCAAAACCAAATCGAAAGGTAGGCAAGATCGGAGCTGGGCGAGACATGTAGAAGAGAGCCGGTGGAGCGGAAGCCAGTGCTTTCTTTGCACTCCGTTCCGCCCTTATCGTGTTCGAGGCAGCTGCTCTTTCAGGCCGCCCTTCGATGCTCAGCGAAGTCCTAAATGCCGACATGGCCCTGGAATCTGTCAGAAGATAGAACTCGAGAAAGGGGCCAGGGGGCAATCACTCACATGATCCACTGCATCTGCGCGATCGAAAACAGGTAAAGAGCCGCGTCAAGCTTCCTGTCCAAGGCCATCAACTCGTCTTTACGGAACACCACCTTGGTTGAGAGTAGTCTGTTTCTGAACCCATCTTTTCGGGCAGCCAACTTGGTTTGTAGATCGTCAACCAAGTTCTGAACCTCATCCAGTGCGCGGCGAACCTTCTGAATGTGTTGCTGCAAACGATGATTGGTATTAAAGAAGGCTTGCGGTAGCGGACTGTTTTGAATCTGGTCTTCGGCATCGAGAAGGAAGTCTTCCAGGTCTTGCATACGTTCTGCCTTCTGTAGGAGCATTATCGGCACTTCTTTGACCTCGTTCCATAGTTTCATGAGCTTGAAGGTGGCGCCTCCGACCTTCGTTGTCATGTCAACCACCGCGATGACGCTGGCGGCGAGGCCTAGAGCTTCTGCCATCGTGATTGGGTGGATGAGCGTGTGCTGAAATTGGTTCTACCTGATCAATAGCTCGCGGCTGTCTTGAAGTCGGTCGGCGAGAAACAATATGAGTACCGGAGAAAAGAGTGGTTATCTGAATCTTCTTCTGGCACCTTTAAGATGTTAAGAGGAAAAGAAGACGAAGAGAGAGGAAAGGAAGACGAAGAGAGGGGTAGAAAAGATTCTGGAGCCTTGCGATTCCCCTTGTCTTGAGGCAGTGCTGAATCCATTGGTTCAGCGTGACGCACCATACAGATGACTGCGTCTGGATATTTGATTTCTAATTCGCCCGCTTCGCCCGCACTGCCATACTCTTCGGTTCAGAGCTGAATGGCGTCTGCATCTGGGAAACACAAGGCAACCGGTCGCCGTGTCTGAGCCTCACATCTCTTGGGCGAAGGATTCTGGATAGGCTCCCACTTACCCCCAAGACGAGGTCTGATGTATCCCTGCGACACATCAGCATCTGCATGTGGAAAGACGCTCTTTGGAAGATGACGATCTCATTCAATTCCTCGGATAGCTACTCGCTGAAAGAACCGGCGAGGAGCCCAAAGATCAAGAGCCATTTCGCTATATTTACCACAGGGCGCAGACTTTGCATGAGTTCATTGTCAATCAATTGTTTTTCTTAGGACGGTAATTGAATCTACCTACGCGTAATAGGTTGTTTCCCAACCTGTTTCGTACAAATGGTGTCAGCGACGTTGCTCGTAAGCGTTGCATGAGAGTGTGTGGCTCATCGGACTTTACAACGTCATAAAAGTTGGAGAAGCTAGTGAGTATTGAATAAGTCGTGAGGTTGAATTGCCAACCAAGTATCTCTTATGACAAATGGTGGAATACACTTTGCTGCCGGCTACACTACCGACAACTGGTCCATGTTGTTGAGTTCTTTCTGTGACCTTGACCCGCTGGGACGATATTTCTGTCGAAGGAACCAAAAGCTCGGGGAGTCGTTCGATGTTGATGGCAGAGGAAAACTTTGTAAGCGTCCTTCTCAACCAGGATCAGTCAAAGCTTGATAGGAACTTGATAAGAACTTGATAAATGAGAAAGAAGTGGTCAACGATTGTGTTCTATATGTCTGCCAATGCGGTGCGGGCTCTCCGGGTCGACCTCTGCACGATCTCATCTTTAATCGCCGATTTCGGTATCGGATAACTCGCAGCCTGAAGTCAGCATCTTTGAGAAAGTCGTCGAGATCTAGGTTGGTTGGTCCAAGGCTCTGACTTTGACCGACCCAGAGAATCCTCCTTATGCTCTAGGCAACCTCCGTGATCGTCCGGAGGTGGGGTGATTTACTCCATGTCAAGTTTGTCAACCAAAAACACTGGAAGACATCCTGTGGATACCTGGGCTGGAAGTTTGGGAGCAACATATAGATGGCTCTTTCGCATGAATCCCCAGCACACGTCTAGCAACGGAAGCAAACCACACGGTACACAGTGAGTTCATGTTGAATTAAGTGTCAGCGCAGAATAGAATGAAATTGTGATGCACGATATCCTGTGGTATCTCCTGAATAGTGTACCCCAACGCCGTGACCAGATAATCATGATACCGTAAACCAGAAACGCCGATCCACTCAAAGCAAGCATAGCCAAAAGCCATTAAGCAGCACACCGTTGACAATACAACCATGGCACCGCTGCACAATATGCCCCAAAAACAAACCGGCCAGAGTGGATCCTAGAAGATGGACACCGACGACGACGACGACGACGGCCACACAGAGCCGTTTCGTCCTCCTCCAGCTGCGTTCCCAACACACCGCAGGCACCGCCGCTGCTCGCCAAGATTTGTGACAGAGCAATGCGAGCACACGGGCCTGCCGCACGCACCACAAGAGTGATCAGCCTCGGCGCCAACGCCGTAGCTGTAGCCGTCGTCGATATCCATTCCGTCCGCAGCGCCGTCCGAGGCGCCGAGACCAGCGCCGCAGTCGTCGCAGCTCATAGGCGACAGCGCGGCCTGATCCACAGACGGGGCCGAGGAGGCGGAGAGACTGGGCTCCGCTGACTTGATATTCCAGAAGCTGTGAAGGGACCTTTGGGTGTTGCGCGCGGCAGGGTTGGGTGATGGCTCGGAGTGGTTAACTTCGTTGTTCGCATCGTTTATGTACTGGTTCTGTTGCTGAGCGGAGTATAGCATGTTCAGAGTACGCTCTGTACCATACGGTCAGCTTCGTTAATGTTCTGGATTGATGCCTTGGATCGGACTTACGATGGATTTGATCCTCTGAGGGTCTGTTGTCGCGGAAGCGCTTCATTGTCCGACTCGAAACGTGCGAGGGCGTCCCGTGCGCGCAAGGATAGATGCGACTTGGAGAGATGGGTGACTCGAAGGACTCGATGCTGGATTCGGAGCGGACAGGTGAGGGGAAGAGGGCGACGAGCTCGGAGGCGGAGCGCTTGCGCTTGAGGGCCATCTTTGTTGTGATTATTTGGCAGAGTTCTTGGAGATGCTGGGTGGTGATTTTGGTGTTGGCCGAGATCACTGGCGTAGAATAATCGTATAGATGGATTGATAATGTCGTATCCGTTTGGCAGTTGGAAGGTGGTGGTCAGCCCGGCGGGGGTGAGATTGGATGTACTACCTAGAAGATGGGTGGAGTTTTTTGTTCCAATGGTGCTGGTTGTAACCAGGCGCGGCGCGTCTCTCAGTGTCTGAGGCGCGTCGTGTACGCGACACACCCGCTGCACTTTAAGTGATTTTCTGCCTTACCTAAGTACCTTAAAAGGTGGACTCCGCTGAATACCTCAGCTGGGCGACAATGATATGCGATGCATGCATGATATCGGCGAATCCGCGAGGCAATTGAAATCCAACGCACTTCTCATTATACCTCAGACCAGCAACTATGGTGCCATAACTTGATTGATCCTGTGTTATACTTTGTCGCAAAAAGCTCGCTGGTATCCACCTGCCGTTACGGAGGTTCGCTCCGGCCCGCAAAATGCACGACCCACATCCCAGCCGGTGCCGGGCACGGAGCACCGGTCCTACTTCTGACCTCATATATACTTCAATCCTACAGGCACAGAATTTATTACTTTCAAGATTTCAACTTCAAGTTTTCGGCGCCATCTTTGTGGCAGCTTCTACAGTCTGCTTGTTTCTCCTGACCAAACGAATAAGAGGTAATACGGTGCTGTCGTGTGCATGGTTATGACGTTGTCTTAGAAGGGGAAAACAAAAAGGGAGAGACTGGGGCCAGTATTCTGCGGCGCAGTAAACTGATGACAAGGATTACTGCGAGGACCTGAGTCATTTTGCACGGTTTGGGGGCATGAACCCAGGGGCTGGGACTGGCATGATATTCCAGCGACAGCGACTCAAGATGAGACGTACTTCCTTGGTTGTGCGATTGACACATACTTGGATGCGTAGTGTATATAGGCTTTGAGTAATAGGTGTGCAGAATGTGGCCGGTCTATAAATACGGAACCACGCTCACTGTGGGACAGCCAACCGACAGGCTACATACCATGTGGATGGTGAGGTTGGTGCCTGAGTGTAATCTGTGATCAATTAATTTGCTTCAAGTCCCCGAGAATAGACAGTGTGAGCTTGATTTGACTATGAAAGAACGTTATTTGTTAAGATAGCACCAAACCTTTCAGCTGCAAGACTAAGCTGCAGCTTTGGGGGCCTCCTATTTCATGACCGCCGTGAGCTGACCGCATCCGTCAACGCTCCCTCGTGTGCTTCAGAGATGGTGTTTCAGGAAAATATATCTCTCTTCGAAGGATAGAAAGAGATAAGAGGTACTCGATAACATGGCCGACAATAACTGACGTTTTTGTGAGGGGTGCTTTTCTTCACCGCTTCGGCGCCTACTAGGTGAAACAACATAATAGCCGGCTTGAATCACCAGTGCCACTCATAGAATGTGCCAAATCCAAGCGATCAATAGAGAAAAGACCGGTAAGCAAAACCGGAACATCTCATTCAAAATGGAAGTTGGAGTCGTCTTACGAACTCACATGAGCTCAATCATCTCTTTTTCCGCTTTCGCCTTGTCCCAACCCAAGCCAACTTCGTTATCCGTACCGGGCCAGCCAGCTTCCCGGGTAATTCTCCGTCTTAGGCCAGTGCCACAATCTGTATCGCATTCTGATTCCGTGAAAGTGTATTCTTCATGAGTCTGGCCGGCCCATTCCATTTTTGGCATCCAGTTCATAACCCTCCTTTGTTCTCGACACATTTTGAAAAATGTGTCAATGCGATAGGCTGGCATTTCTCTCCAATCATGACCGCACAGATACAGGTCAACTTCGTCATCGGTATGCTCTCCGTCGCTTTCATCTTTGTCCTCATCTCCAGCCTCGTTCTCGTCATCTCCAATCCATTCTTCATGATCCGCATCGGGTTGGACTGGTGGCCATCCACGTGGAAACTCGTCTCCAACTCTGACCAGGATAATAATATAGCGGTCCGTATCGAGTAGTACGTGGTAGCCCTCCTCTTGCTCCTCGGTCAAGACCGCCAAGGCGAACATGCTAGAAGGGATTGGCTCGAATCCACCCTGGGGAGAGTAGCCAGGGTTCGCTCTCATCATGTCGAGTGGAATAGGTCAGGGTTGCTCAATGTATATACGGATTTCTTCATGGGTCCTCTCGCAAAATGAGCTATTTATGTAGTTTTGGGAGTGGTTGCTTTCATGAAGGTTATGTGATCGCTCATGAAATACGGAATGTGCCGCAGCAGCGCAATGAAAGTGTCGGTCCTGCCTAAAATCGAAAAAGAATCGCGTGAGATCTGAGGCCATCCGTTTGGGGGAGGGTATTTGAGAGAAGAGACGCTGTCCGGGTGTACACGAGCGAGGAGCTCATAGTAGGATGTAATGGCAGCCATGGTGGCCTCTTGAGAGTACCCTTCTTGAGCTTGATTGGAAGAAGATGATGCCATATCTAGGTAGACAAGAGAGTTGAATAGTGGACGTAAGTACTAAAGATGAGAAGAGAGTTGATGATGGATGTCAGCTCAGAATGCTACCCAATGAAGAAAACAAGGGAGCTATGACTTGTGTCAATGATGAAGGGAAGAAAGGGGGAAAGAGGCCGGTCTCATGCTAGATTCCCGTTCCGAGACGGGGAAGGTGGGGTTCTCAAGTCCGGTTGGTGGTCGTCCCTTCGCCCCAACGTTATGCGCTGTTGGTGCCAAATTGGCAAACACAATGTCAAATCCTGCTCCTGAGATTTTCGCAAAGACGCAGTATTGGCGACCGAAAACTGACATAGAGCGTAAGCTCTTGTTTGAACCCAGTTTGTTCCACGTGGGGTAGGAGGCAAGCGTACGGCCCTCTTCATATTAAAGTGGATATCTCCTGCATTGTCTTGGTTCGCTCAAGCAACAGCAACCAGACAATCGAGGCAAAATGAGGCCATATTTTTGACTGATAGCCAGATCGTAATTGGAGGATCATGACGGTTAGGCTCGTCCAACTTGTAGCCCCCAAAAGGCTCGGTAGGCGCAAAATGGGTCCAGATCCAGGTCCTGGTTCATCCGCATTATTACCGAGCCCATCTTTGACGTCTCCTTCTGCTCCCGGCAGTTCACCACTAATTGGTGTCTTTTCAGAAGTAGCTCAGCAAGCATGAGGCCATTTCCTCTTTTCCACGTTATTGAGTCTCGCGATATACGCAAACATGACCCGGCTTTATAATAACGAACTGAATATGACTAATTTACACAATTAAAGCTGTAGCATAGATCAGCATATATGGTTCCAATGCATTCGATTTTGATAAAGCCTCACATTGAACTTGGAATTGATCATCATTGTGTCGTTTCAGTATATCAAAGTCTCAAGATTCACAAGCCAAGCAGTCCAACAAAAGAACTCTGCAGTCATCAAGCCTGTGGCCATCAACCCTGACTTCAATCCCCCAACCATCCTCCTATTTGATGAGTGTGACTGATCCATGCCTCAAATAAGCCCCCTTTTCGACTCAGTGGCCCCCCTCACTCAATCAACATGGGGGCATTGGTTTCATTTAGCGGGCAGTGATGGCCTCCAAATCCCAAGATGCGTTGGTGTATACGAGGTGATCTCAATTTGATAAGGGCTGAATGAACAGCTGTCTTCAGGATGTCGAAGAATGTGAGTACAAATATGAGACGGGAGAATTTCAACGATCCTGCCATCGTCATGTGAATTTGATAGAATCCTCATATTGAGAACGTCGATTACAATTTTTCCTGCCTCTTTTACAACCATGAAAGCTTTTCTCGTCATACTACTCCTTTCTACACCTCTATCGGTGTTGTTAGATGCCTCCCACAAGATTCCGACAAAGCTCTCCTGGCTATTTACGAAGTCACTGGTCAATGTTTTCACTACTTAAGCACCGAGCAAAACCGGGACAAGTCTTTGGCACCGTGCCAACAATGGTGTAAAAAGACAGCTGGTTCTGATAGTTATGGGGTAAGCTCGGATTTCTGCGGGTGGATCTGGGTGATCTCCTTTTGTTTAAGCAAGATATTTTGCCCTCAACAAAAGAAGGCTGCTTACTTGAATTAAATAGTGTGATGGTACGCCATACCAAGGGAAGCGAATCGATGCGTCTCTCATACAGAAGGATGCCGACGGCAATCAATGGGTTCCAGCCAAATGCTTTTGCGACTTGAAAATTGCCGAGGAACTTTTAAACATCGTTGTCGAAGGGCTCGCTGTGCTGGATAAGATCATTTGTGCAGCTATGCTGGAAGCTTTCCAGTCAATCATCGATGTCGGCATCAACTTCATCCCCGGAGGCGCCGCTCTCAATGGAGCCAGGGCCGCCATCCAAGGAGCAAAAACCTTTGCTGAGAACGGGCTCGAGGCCGCTTCCTTCTTTGGCGACTGGGTTGGACCTGCATGTGGAGTCCACGACTGGAACTTTGACCTCTTTGGAGCGTTGATCGACGCGCCTGACTCCATGGGGGTCAGCACCGGCTGCCACAAGAAGGACAAGGCGGCTTGCAAGAGGATGGAGTCTAAACCTGATCCAACCAAGAAGCCAGATAAGCCGGCAGGTAAGACGACAGCGACGAACCGTGGCCAAACATCCGAAACACCCAAACGTGAGACATTGACTAGTTCAGTGTCTTCCAGCGCGTCATCAGAATCAGTGTGCGTATTAGTTGCTCGCGCCGTGAAGCCTATCTTGAGGATAGGAGTTGTAGGTGATACCGAAACGTCAGAACACAAATGCGGAAACTTAATCACAGTCCATTTGACGGAAACCGTAAAGCCCATTGGATTTTACGAAACTAGAGTTCCTGATATCAAGTGTAAAAGGCAATGGACGCAAGCTTGTTACCATTACTCGTAAGTATTCACTTGACAAAGTTTTTTTTCAGGCTGTTCTAAAATCCCTTCGGGATCTAACATCTCCGTAGATCTGTGATGGACATACACCGGAATACAAGGTCCATGACCGAATGGACTTGCGGCGCAACGCAAGCAACCAATAACGACGGCTCTGCAACCGATGTCTGGGGGTCGACGGCGGTGACGACATTGGCCCATACCAATCAACATTGGGGCTGGCCATGGGCTAACGGCTTTATACCACGTCGTGTTCTCAGGTCCGCTAACGGTTTGCCAAAGAAAGATAAGCGCGGAAATGAGATTGCCGTTGGCTGTGACAGAGACGAATTTCCGCCTCGTTATTTTTGGCCCAAGGACGAGGAAGCGGAAAAGAAAGGCATGGGGCAGCGGATTCGTTTCGTCCCATATGACGAGAACCGTAAAGCCGGAGCAATGTGGGCTGGCTTTTGTAACAAGAATGGCGCCCAATCTTCTACTACCCGGGCGGGTATCGTGACATCCTGGATCCAGAGCAAGCACATTAAGACGGTCAATGCCAACAGTCGAAGCGCCCAGGGCGCGGACGGTACCACCAGTGGGTTTTCAACGCAGAACCAAAGTTGTGTTGTTCGTCTGGCTGAAATTATTTTACAGCGGTCACGAGTTGGGTCTCGATCGAAACTGCGAGACCCATCTTCAAGATCACTGACTGGGATGGTCTACCAAAAGATACGAAGTGGTACGGCCTCCAGGACAACAAATGCTGGCCCAAAGATTTGACGCCCCACGATCCTGGGTGGGTTCTTTTGACCAACGACGAGTTTTACGGCCCAGCACAGCACCCCGATCTTGCTCCACATACGCAGAGTTATAGAGGATTACCCGATCTCACATTGCTGAGGCAAGTGTTGCAGCAGCGAAGGAATCTGCCGCCATACGATTTTCGCAAGCTCGACCTTCCAGAGTACGATGGGAAAAACATCCGAGAGGGAAATGGTGTAGGTCAAATCCCAAGAGCATACCGCGACAATCTGCTACCCGGTATACCCCGACCCAAGAGACGACGCAGAATGATTCTCGCCGAAGTGCATAACGAGACTCAAGTTTGGGAAGAAGAAGAATTTGTCGAGGATTTCGAAGACTTGGACGATGAAGAGTTTGAGGAATGGATCGGAGAGTATATGGACGAAAGTGGAGAGGCGTCGGTGACGATGCCGAAGGAGACGGAAGCTGTCCAAACTCCTACTAGTCAGGGCGACGCAGCGACTACACCACCGTCTCAAGCATCCATCGCAACAAATGGGCTTCCTCATGCCACCCATCAGTCTCATGGATTTTGAGAGGCGATCCGCATTTTTCAACATTTATTCAAACGACATGCAACACTTATATCTGCTTCATACTGTCGTTTCTTGTCAGCTACTTTACCTTTTCTTTTCCCTTTCTATCTTGTTTTGTTTCAGAAATCAGTATCTTTGGGGTTTTGTATACTTCTGCGTTCCATAGTCGGCATCAATCTTCTGATTCACGTGTAAATCAAGGATGCCTGTATATCCCCTCCTTACCTGTACTCAGTAGTGTTGTCAAGGGATAAATACATTTGATGTACAAATGACTCGGCTCGAGTGGTTTACCACCGTGACAGAACAAATTAAATAGGTGTTTTCTTGAGGAAGTGAAATTTGTTTATAAGTATAGCATCAACTTCACTCAGCTGTTGTATTCCTACCCCCTGTATGGGAGTGAGGTCAGACACTTTTCAGACCAATCGATCAACGGGCTCGCTGGTCATCGGAGCTCCACTTCATCGAGTGTCGATGTAGCTCCGGGTTCGGCCGAATCCTGCTTCAGCAGCGTCAGCAGCTACCACACTCTTTAACCAGATTGGGGCTAGTGCCTAGCTTGACGTCTGGTAAGAATATATATTCTAGCTCAGGTGGGTTATTCTGTCTAAATGGGGACGCATACTACACGCCAAACTTCCAGGAACTCCAAAGCTCATTCAAATCCCATGATCTCGAAACCGTGCGTTGATACAGGCTATCAAGTTTTCAAAGTCCCGGACTGCGATGTCGTTAACCCGTGGGGCCCGGGTCAAGTGCTTTGCGACAGGTCCGGTTGCAACTACAATCCAAACAGACTCGGTAACAGGGGTTTTCTATGGAAAGGGAAAGATGGTGGACGCGAACAAGATATTCACGTGAGGACATCTCTAGCGCTGATTGTTTCCTCGACATAGATGTCTCCTGTGACTAGACTTCATTCGAATGAACAAGTGTGCCATAGACCTCCAAGCCAAGGGGCATCATTTACATTCCCGCAGTTCCTTGCCATCAACCCAATTCCCATGCAACCCGGCCCTCAGCCTCATGGGCACCTTCACCACCGCCGCAGGCTCCGTAAACCGTCTCGTATCAATGACGTGCAGCTCACTCGCCATGGTCGCATAATTATTCACCAGCCCAATCAAGAACCCGTCCCCTTCCACCGCCTCCTCCGTCCTCGGCACGAAGACGGGCTCCTGGACCATGTGCCGCGACCCGGGGTAATACACCTCCAGCCTCCCCTCCTCGTGATCCAGGTGGCCCAGCGCGTTGTACAGCGGGTGACCGCCGCCGAGAACGGGCATGATGGCCGCGAAATCGGTGCCCAGCGACGGGTCCATCATGTCGAAGAAGCTGTGGCGGTGCGGCTTCGAGAGGACGCGCTCGTCGATGCGGGGGAATTCCATGTCGTGGCGGAGGATCGTGACGGGCGCGGGGAGGTCGAGGGAAGAGGAGGAGGAGGGGGAGTCCGAGGCGGAGACGCGGGGGTCGAACTCGAAGCGTACGTACTCGGCGCGGATGTCGTGGGGGTCCGGGGCGTTTCCCTCGGCGTCGGGCCACCAGAAGAAGACGTTCTTGTCTGTTAGGGGAAGGTCGAAGACGATGGTGCCCGAGGGGGTCTCGTAGGCATTGGTGGTGTGGCCTGGGAACGCATTGGGGGCGCGGAACCACTTTGGGAGGGGATTATTGTCAACTTTGCTTGGAGCGTGATAGGGGGTGGATGGGGCAATAGAAGATACCTTTACGTCGCTGCCCTTGGCCCCGCGTCTGGGCAGCACGCCGAGATAGAACGGCACGTTGGGATCCCACTGCCAGTGCTCTCCGCCCGACTTTAATCTGTCAATATCACAAATTTGCGGGATCATCGGAAACAGCACCTGAAAATATGATTAGTTTACGACTCTACGATGGTTGTCTTCTTGTTTTGTGTTTTTGCAACCGCACATACCCAGTTATCCGTAATGGCACAGTCGTGAATCATCCCAACGACCGGCGCCACAAGCCACACAGTCTCGATGAACTCGCCGTCGGGGGCGATACGAAAGTAACAAACATCGGGTGTCCCGTCGCCCTTGGCCTCGTAGCCGAAACACACGAGCTCGCCCGTGGCGGGGTCGAGCTTGGGATGCGCGGTGAATGTGCAGCTCGGCAGCTGCCCGTCAAAGTCGCAGAGCCCCCTCGTCTCGAGCGTGTTCGGGTCCATGAGATAGGGCGGCGCGTCCTCCTTGATGGCGAGGAGGGACTTGTTGAAGTAGAAAATGTTGGTGTTGGCCGTGGTGCGGACCTTGAATTCGACTGCGTCGGTGTACTTGTTGCGGTATGCGCCTGAGTTACGGAAACACTCATGTCAGAGCCATATAGCCGCGGGGGGTTTTTTTTTTTTTTTTTTTTGCAAAAGAAAAGGTCAAAAAGGTTTGATTGACGAACCTGCCAGAGCTCGATTCGCTTCTCTTTCTCGAACAAACTTCTCTGTGCGCACGTATTTTTGCTGGAAATCGACGTTGCCGTCGTGGAAACGGAACGCCGACACGTTTCCATCGCCATTGAACCACTATCATCGAATGAGACAAATATTCAGATTTTATAACCAAGTACGTAATCGTTTCCACAGGAAATTATACTATGGCTGGGGAGAAAAGAAACGTACAGGATCATTTTCAATGAACGGCGGGAACTGGGGATCGGGCATGACGCGGAAAAAAGTGCCGTCCAGTTCAGCGGGGACGGCGCCGACGACCTCCAGGTTCCGGACCTCGCCCTCGAAGCGGCACGGCTTCATAAAGGCCGAGAACTGGGGCCGATCCGGGAAGGATTTCGCGGGTGGATCTGCGAGCGAGGCGCGGAAGTGGCCCGCCATTGTGTGATCTGAGCTGTTTTGGGGGGTCCGGGCCTTCAGGTGGCGGTTGCAGGCTTTGTTTGTGGTGGAGGGGGGGGGGAGATGGTGCGTGCAGGCGCGGGTGGGTGGAGGGTATTAAGAGAAACGACGTTGTGAAACAGGCAAAAGTTTATCAACGACGTGAATCGTGGAGCTGGTTTCTTGGGACACGAGGGCCGAGAAAGTCAAAACTTAATTCGCCACGATGCGGAGAGGAGGTGTTTACGCCTTTGTTCTCTTTCAGCAACAACCACGAGGATGGGCGGGTCTTGGTACACCGCAAGCCGCAAGCGGGATATGGCTGTGGCCCCCCCCGCCATGAGAGCCGCAGTCCCACTTACCCCGGAAATGCTTCCAGACGTCAAGAATCCTGGCTCCCGTTACTGCTTCCCACTGCTTATCGAAGTATGATTGTACATTAATGTTCATTCAAACACATTCGAGGCTCCAAAATCGCCGATGCTGATGCTAGACTGGACCCTATTTGGGTTCTGCGGACTTGGTTTTGTCAATCACGCCGGCTGCTATTGGTCCAGTCCGTCCTATCTCCCAGGGTCGCCCATTCAAAGTGCGTGGGTGGACAGAGTTTGTAAGCGGAGACGGCATGGCTAACAAGCGCGAGCTGCCGCGAGTAAGGATTCAAGACGCTATCATGGCCCGTTGTAAATGCAAAATCTCTGACCCGACCACCTCGGGGGAAAGAAAAAGAGGAAAGCTAAAGGAGACTTCTTGTTGCCATGTGCCAAGGTGGTCGATAGAAGCACTATGATACGTATTTGACTGCAACCTCCGTCATCGCAGGACTAGATTTTCATCAGAGCCACACTCTTCCCTCATTCATACAGTCATGCATTGATTTTTGTGCAAATGATTGCATCTCATCGGCATACTTCGGGATTCGGTGATTTTGCTTCTAGGGGTTGTCACGGACCAGACTTGCGCTTCGGTGAGAGACTGTAATACGTGTTCGTGGAACAGCCGACTATTTCGAAGAGCTGTTAGAAGAGTGAGAGTTTCTTCTGCCGAGGATGATCGCCCATTGAGTTTCAGAAACCGCAATCTGCATTAGTACATCAACAGAAGAAGGAAATACATTTCCGTTAGGGTTTTAACGTGGACAACGTCCAAGAAACAATCAATTTTTCTCACTAGCACAACGACTTACAAGAAGAGATAATGACGATTAAATCGCATTTGGCACCAAGAACACAATAGCACAACACCAACGCAATCCCATATCTAGCTCCACCAAGCTGGATCGGATACACCCTTAGACATTGATATTCCAATTATTCTCCGCTGAGCCAAATCCATCCCTCGGAAGCAGTTCACTCTTGCTCAATTGACCTAATAAACCGGGGTTCCGACTTACCCAATCCTCTCCTCAAGGCTCAAAAGCGCCAAGCCTCTCGCTCCTCCTCTCGTACCTCGTATCAACGCATCCAACCACCACCGTCGGACTAGCCCCATATCTTGGCCCTATCTACGGATACTCCTGTACGGGTACCTTATATTTAATATCCATACAACTCGTCTGCCTACTGTAACAGCACATCCTTACCCGGCCCACACACATCCGTCTCATTATCCTACACCAACACCAAAGAAGTGTGCCCCCCTTTCATCTTAAAATGCTGGTTTGAGTCGTCATCCATACGGCTGCAACTTCCCCCCCTTTGAGCCCTCGTACGGGAGAAGAACGAGCACTATAGCCAAAACGGGGTTGGGACGAAGGGGAAAAAGAAAGCGCCAGACGCGAACACGCAAGCCTCGAATCACTAGCAGTACCTAGCCGCTGGGGAATCACTTTACATGGGAATCAAAAAACCGGTTATGCGATTGTCCTCTCCCCCACATTCCGCGACCCAAGTCTTCGTCACCAACTCAACATCACCCAACAAAGACGACGACGACGCTTTCTCTCCCATTTCCCCTCTTGCTGTTATTTGCTCTTGGCAAACAATGTTCCAGCGTTTCCCATCCAGTGTGTCCCGCTCTTGAACATCATCACCGAGAAACCATCATGGTCCACGCGATCGATCCATGTCCAACGTTGTTTGGCAGCTGGGACTCCAAGTCCTTGCTCTCTCTCATGTGGGAATTCCGTCCCATCTCATCAGACAAGCCAAAAAAAGTCTGACAAGCTGGTTCAATGTCAACCACGTTGTCCAAATAAGGACACCACCACGAGCATGCCCCCTCCCCTTTTTCATTTTCATATAATCTCGATCGTCGTCCCTTCATCACGTGGTTAAACGACATGCGTCGACTCCTCTTCTCCGTATGGACACACATCACACATCATGTCAAATTTCGACCTCCCGCCAAGCTACGAAGCGCGCGCACGCGCGGGCGTCTGTCCCGGCAGGATGCCGTCTCCCCCGCCGCAATCGCAAACGAACCTCGGGTGTAATCCGTTAACCCTTCCCAGAATACTTTGAGGAAAACCGATTCCGGTTGTCCCGAGGCTTTTTTGTTTCTTTTCTCAAACCAGTTTCCAAATACGTGCTGCAATCCATGTCGCAGTCTGTTGTCCCCCCTCTCTTGTGCAGCCTGCCCCGGGACAAAGTAAAGAAAAATCCCGTCAAACCAACAGAGAAAAAGTCTACGAGGCCCCGGGGACCCCACCACCGTGCAGTTTGCACTGCCGGATTGCCAAGACGCCAACCCGGCGCGCCGGCTTCCCATCAACCTTTTGTCAACTTTTTCTCCTCTCCTTTGCGCTCTCTCTCTCTCTCTCTCTCTTATACCGTGGTCAAACAACGCAGCGTGCCTGACAACCCGCTCACTGCGCACCTGTCAATTGTCCAACCCTGCCGCCTTCTCCATACCCTACATCCTCACCTGTCTAGCAGCCCGATGATGGATGCCCGTCCCATCCAACGTCTGTTGTCTGGTACCCCATTTCCAGGCCTATCTGTAGTGTAAACCCAACCATGTCGTCCCCTTTCCTGAGCCACCGCCGAACAAAACTCTACGGTGTAAACCGCCCCTCCCTCCCCCCTCCCCGCCCGTTCTGCTAGCGAGAAGAAACCCACCCCTCCCCCCCTCCTTCTAGTCTTCCCGTCAGAACCCTTGCCAATGAACCACAGAAATCTTGTTGAAAATCATTGACATCCCTGGGCCCGTTGAAGAGTGTGTGCGACTGAAAACGAAAAATAAAAACCCCGATCCTTGGCGGACATCTTTCCCCCCTCTCCTTCTTCCGGTAGGGGCTAATTGGCACGTTAAACATAATTAGATGCTCACCATCGCCTCACACTCCTCCCCCCACAACGCCTGCTCGCCTGCCTTCCTATGGTACCCAGCCTGCCTTGCTGCCTGCCTGCCTGTCTGCCTTCTAATGACATCGTTCATGCTCCCCCTACTCAGCCTACCTTACCTCATCTTATCCGTACAAAGGTGAATTACGTAGTTTCAAGTCCCCAAGGTAAGTATGCAGAAAATTGAGGACCCAATATAAGCCAAAGAAGCCTACCTAGTGAACCCGCCGTAGGCCCCCATAGCCAAGACCGCCGTGGTATTGTCCAGCGCGACATGCCAACGCCAACGCCAACCACAAAGACCGAACCCCTTGGGGGAAAGTCCTCCTCCTCCAAGCCAAGAAGTGAAACGGGCGCCGGGTCAGATAGCAGCGGAAATGGATTAGTTGAAAACTTGGAGAAGCATCAAAACTTGTCTTGCTATCGATTCCGTCAACTCCATACCTCATATCGGGGCCGTTTCCCGCAGAGTCCTGACTACGTCGAACCCACTTTTAGCCGCATAGTCTAGTCACCTGCACCACTTCACCGACGTTGAGGCAATTCTGACTCGATAGTAAACCTAGATGAAATGACCTCTGGCAGTGCTTCTCTCATGATTGGGTCTTCGTAATCAGGGCACTCACCAAAGTCTATGTAGTAAGGCGGTATTGAAGGCGGTAAACATTCAACACACTGATTGTTGAGATACTAGCTTGCAAGCTTCGAAAAATAGTCAGTCACAGTGCATATCTCGATTCAACTTGAACGTTTCAAAACTTGGGTAAATTTGCTTCTAAATTCTGCGGACATGGCTTCTCAAGCTCGCGGTCCAATGTCTCCATCCATGTCTTCTCCTCTGGTGAACAAGAGAAACTGGTTTCTCTGTGAGGAGGGAGGGTGACTAAAAAAATAAAATAAAAGCTTCTTCAATCGTCAACTCCATTCGGCCAGATGGAAAGCGTATCTGATGCCTCTCATCGCTCATGCAAAATACTCGAAGATGCAACACAATCCAGCGTACATGTGTAGTCCCCGAAACGCCCCGTCCAAGAGCAGCCCGGCGCGATGGCGAGCCATTACTGTCCCATGGCTTCGAACCTCGATCGCCGGCTTCCTCTCCCTGCTGCGTCGTGTCGTACGAGGCAGCTTTGCTTATAAAAGTGACCAGGCAAGCCCTGCCTATCCCATGGTTGCGCCTTGTACCGCCGACATCCAGCGAACATTCAACGCGCAGTATTTTTCGACAAAGGAAATGAAGCAAAGTAAATGAGGTGGTCGTAGATACATTTCGTGCCCCGTGCCCAATGAGATCCAAGGGATATCCAGTGGATGAAAGCGACCGGCAGTGTACGGTCAGTGGAGGAGTGGTAGCGTGTTACTGTGTCGGGACGGGGCGCCGGTCTATGATGCCGTTGTTTTTTGTTTTCATTGTATCGACTTTAGGTAGATTAGACATAGAAAAAATTATCATTGCCTTAATTGGTGCTGCACAATTGCGCAAAAAGCCGCTCGCCATGGCGGGTGAGCGGCGACGACCTCGGGGCCGGGGAGGTGAGGGTTCTGGCATCCACTGGGTATCTTGAAAAAAGTAGCAGATATTGCCAGCCCGCAAAAGAAGTGGCCTCAGGTCGGCAGGAGGGTGGTTGAAGTTGTGTGTGGCGGATATATGCCACCAGGTTGGGATATAGAGCGATAGCCAAGGTTGCGCTCACGCTTCAAGGCAGGTCGCGGCGACGGTTCGGGTCGTGAGGGGGGAATTGGTGATGCCTCGCGTTGGCCTGTGCCGCAAGATACTCTGCGGAACCAGTCTGGCGACCAGGCTGCTCAGCAGGCAGCTTGGTGTCGTCACGTCTCTGGGGAGCTGATTGAGTGGGAGGGGGCGCGCTGCTCGTCGAAGGGCTGGGCATGCCAGGAACGAGATCGGTGACGGCTTGGGCGATGGACTTGATGACATATCCCCGGAGCTCGCGGTCCTCGCGGCTGTCCTCTTTCTCGAGTCTGAACTTCTCATCCTTGTTCATGTTACCGCGACGCAGACCTCTGATCTCGTTTAGGATGTAAAGCAGTACTTCTTCGGGGCACCTATTGCGTTCCGCACAGAAGTCGCTTTTGCGTACGTATCGTCGGGTAACATCCGTGGCGCCATCGATGGAGAAAGCGATGCAGTAGGACATCTTCTTGCCCCAGCCCTCGGTATAGAGACGAGGGTTGTCCCATGCCTCTTCACAAGCGTCAACGTGGACCCAGCGCTTCTGATGTTCCGAGTAGACTTCGGTCCAGACGTGGTCCTCTGCGTTCCAGATCCAACGGACTCTGCCTCCCATAGCACGGCAAAGCATGCTGAAACAATTTGCCCATTCTCCAACACGTCCTCTGCGGGTGTGCAACAGTCTCCATACGTCGCCGTACCTGGGAAATCGTTCATAGGCGCCGCAGTCTCTGGCTGAGCAGTGGTAGAGCTCGACTCGAAGCGCACCGCATGCACTCTCGTCAGGCGTCGGGGGTGTCATGCCTTGGGCGATTGTGGGCGAGAGGCAGACAGGGCAAGGGGGGTTGTTAACCCAGGTGAAGAATGATCGCTTGAACCATCTGAATAGACCATTAGACTGTGTTCAAATGAACCAAGTAGAGAAAATCCACTTACCTCAGTAGTGCCCGAATAACGCAATCTTGGTAGCCCCAAGTGGCTTTGCGTCCATCCCCCATACTCTCAGCCTCGGCCTGCATCACTTGGCATTCCTCTTCCGCCTCGCCGTATATCCGGTCGAGGGGAATACACTGCAGAGCCTCGTCCAACAAACCAGGGTTTTCGTACTTTGTCGGGGTGAGAGAAAGGCTGATCATTAAATTGCGGAACTTTTGAGAATCGCGGTCGTTGGCGGCGGGAGGTGTGGGGATCTTGGGGAGGTGGCGAGAGTAAGCGGGTGGTGTCGGTGGCACGGGTGTCGAGCTGTGCGAAGTTGAAGGTCGACCGGGCCCAGGTGATGCAAGACCACGAAGGTTGGCGCTGCTTGCGCTCTCTCTGGGTTGCGGAGTGCCTTGCCGGGAAGACGTTCGAAGTTCGGTCATACGCTTGTCACGAAGGAGTGACTCGAACTTTACCCTCAAGTCGCGAGCCCATTCTTCGCCGTACTCGCCATCGCCGTTAGGCGGGCCTTCGCCCGGGGGGTAGCCGTGGCCATCCATCGCAAAGTCGTCGGTGGTTAGGTGAATGCAAATGTCGAGGTTGTCGAAGAAGGGAGGGACGGATGGAGAGTCTTCGACGGAACTCTCCCGGTGTTCTTCGAGTAGGAGGTGAATCGTGCTTGTGTCAGATCAGAACGGCGAAATTGGTTGACTTAAAGAGTGGAAGTCGTTGTCGTCAGAGTTGATGGTCGTCGAAGGCTAAGCAACGCGGTCGGTGTGTATCGGTTGCCAGCCAGCCAAGATTGAAGCTGTTGTGGTGTTGTTTGGTGGTTTCTAGTCGATCGAGTCCGGATGCTTCTCGTCTGCTAGTTGGATAGTCGAGGCTCGGCACTGTCGAGAGGTCCTAAGCCAAGAGCTTCCGACTTGGACTTTCGGTTCGGTCGGGGGTATTTCAGGCGTCGTTCATGAGTGATTCTCAGCGAAGCGATCGTGGCCGCTGTGCGAGAGTAGTGGTTGGCGAGATTCCGTGCCTTGTCGGTCGGTAGAATTCGAGAATCCAAGAATCGAATTTCAGAGGCGAGCAGAGTGCGGTGTTGAGAGGGAAGGAAGGGGGGGGTGATGGGGTGTTGAAAGGGTTGGTAGCGGGCGGAGAGGAGGGTGCGATTGGGGGGTGGGCCGCCAGGGGAATTGATGGAAGAAAGAGCGGACGCAACGTACGCCAGCAGTATCCGTCAGGTAGCGAGCGTACGTAGAGGTGCGAGAAGTTGCGTTGCGTGTGCTGCGTCTGCGTAAGGCGAAAGGTGGAAGAAGAGAGGCAAGGGAAGTGGAAGTGGTCAAGGTCAAGGTCCAGGGGGGGTGTGTGTGGAAGACTTTGGTACGAAGACACACAGCGAGAAAGAGAGAGAGAAGGAAGGAGAGTGGGCGTGGACGGTGGGAGCGGGAGGAGTGCGAGGAGTACGAAGCATACGCACGCCGCTCTCTGGCTGGCTCCTCATGGGCGGTTTACGCGTAAGCTGCGCAACTCGGACCAATGGCAGGGGCCAGATCGCTCTAGAGTGGATCCCGCTCAATCCGCCCCGGCACGTACCACGACTCCGTCTCTGTCCCAAGTGAGTAAGAGTATTCAGAGTGCCAGAGTGCCAGAATGCCAGCATGAGCGTGCCTTCCTGTCGTCTCCCTCTGCCACTGTCATCCATGTACAGTACCTACCTACCTTACCTTGCCTCGACACCTCGAGCCATGTGCCCCTGTAAGGTACCTTGACCTATGTACCTGACCTAGGTACATTAGGTAAGGTGCCTTTAGTCTCTCGACCAATCCAACCCATCTCACTCCCGTCCTGATCCTCTCCCTAGGCTCTTGCGCATTTCTCTCACGTACTCCCCCGCCACTGTACCTCTCCCAGTCCCTTCCACGGCCTCAGTCACCCACAACAGCTTCTTGTCCATCTACTGACGAATCCTGGATGAGCCGGCCTACCTTACGTACGTCCTGCCCTGTCGCCGTCTCGAGCTTACCTATCCAACGTCTCCATTCCGCCTCCCACATACACTCGTGCCAAGCCCTTCTTGAGCTGTTCAGAGGGGCACAATATTGACCTGCGACTCTTTTGTGGTCCTTTGCTATCGTTTTTGCCAAGACTTGCGTTGCTCTGCGGGCAAAAAATTGAGAGAAGCCAGGCAACGGCGACGCAGTCCTGCCAGTGACGACGGCTGACGGTCCCTGGGGGCGGAGAACCCCTAGCCCTTACCTACGCATTATACCAACCTGCACTCTACACTAGAGACATTGAAATTACTCTCATGCTTGGTGGTGACGATAGCTTTTGTGCTTGTATCCGTAACTCAGTCGCGAATCCGAGCGAGAGCGAGGCTGACGAGCTGCGACGACAATGACAATATTGTTTCTTCCTCTTGACACCCGTGTGCGGGTTGAGGGAGAGAGCTTCATCAGATGGACAAGATGAAGCGGAAACAATGAGAGAAACAAACGGCAGCGTCCACAGCATCTTCAAACACCCGACAGTAGGGTACAAGCGAGAGGCACGTTGTAAGTATTACTCTTCACCGAATCACCATGAGCGCATCCGCGAATACCATCACTTACACACGGAACCACCACTCTGTGCCGCACCTCGAGAATGCAGACCACGGCAACCAGGACGGACATGACAAGCCCCACAAGCACATCTGATGTACCGGTACCTCTTGCATGTACCTTGGTAGACGTCCTGTCACTGGTCAGCGCCAGATCCCACCTCTTAACCTTAGTCGAGTGAGCACTGCTGCCACTGCATCCCTCCCCTCTGTCCCCTCCTCCAATTCCTCCCTCTCTCTGACCCTCTGGCCCCCTCACCCACCCGCGCCCACACCCTTTTCTCACTGTGACGGATCTCTAGCAGCCCCGAACTGTGATGACGAGGCGTGGCTGAGGTCTATTTGCAGCATTCGGTCCAGACCAATCTGGCCTGGTCGCCAAGACTTTCTCGCCTGTGTCGGCGGAAACAACCCCCCGGATTGGCCCCCTCGTCCCAGACCTGTGGCTCAGCTGCGTCTCCAAAGCCTCAAAGCCTCACTCTCAGCAGCGCTTTCTTGCTGATGGCGCGCCGCAGCACAAGTCGCCAGTGGCTGTGGCAGTGGCAGCAGATGACACGCACGGCGCCGCTCTGTTCCCCTCCCAGGCACCTCTTTAGGCACTCTGAGACAGCAACACTCGACGCTCTCTTCCCTCTGTAACTGAACCAGAACCTTGGGGAGGGAAGAGGCCCACGGAAGGCGCCAGCTCCGACGCCAGGCGGCTGCCGGCCGCGGATGATTACGACGACGACGTGCTCTCGCTGCCATCCGTGCCAGTTGCCAACACTCTGAGCATCTGTACGAATCACAAAGTAATTACCGGTATCCATTTCTCGCAGCAGCAGCAGCGGAGGAGCGGGGGATGTGTCGATGAGGCAGAATCTACTACCGGCACCCTATCTGTACAACCCTCCAGAGTCTCGAGGAGTCGAGGACCCATCATGGTCATGAGAGATCGATCGTGTCACGAAGGAGGGTCACCAACCGACAGAGAAGATGGCACACTGGCCGACTTTCACCCCAATTTCCCACTTCGTACTGTACTTTGTGCTGTGGTGTCCGGCACCTAACTCCAGATCCAGCATCCTTCGTCGCCAATCCTCGCCTGGCCACCTCAACTTCTTCGCCGTTGCATATCATTGCCTTCACCGCACACTGGCCAATCTCCCATATGCACCTCAGAGGCCAAAAAGTTCTTTGATCGGGGTCCAACAGATCAACCACGCCGCCACGACGCCACGACCCTCGCGGTCTTTTGCGACGACATGTCAAGCACGACATTGCATCCGTCCACGAGGATTCGCCATGTGAGACCACGCCCGATTATCAAACCAACGGTCACTTGAGACTCGCGCCAAAATAGTCCATAGTAGCCCGTGATAAGGGGAGTTTGCTCCAGAATCGCCTAGTTGCCTCGTAATGCCAATCTCTCACTGGATGACTGGTTCGTCGCCGACTGCGACACACCATCTCGCCTCGCTTCTTTCACGTCTTGGCCCTGTCTCTCCGTCCTGGACGGGAGACAACGATACAATTCCAGCAAAACCAGGGACAAAAAAAGCTTCAATAGAGTGTGACACCTTTAATTCACACTCTGTTTTTCCCCATCCTCGATTCCCATTGGTCTTTCTCTGCCATCGGCAACGGCGCCGCAAAGGCTTGACGTCTATCCGCACTCTACTTCAGTCAGGTACGCACTCGAGGAGTCGAATGTATTCGGGTCCTCCCAGTTGTCGCAAACACCCCGGGCTCAAGGTCCTACCCCATTCGCCTCCCACTCAGCCTCGTTTTCCGCTCCTGGTCCCGGTCTCTGCGAAGGCACTTCGCCTACTCATTTTAGCTGGCCACGTTTCCCCAGGCCCCCCGCATCTGGTTCCTTTTCGTACGGACTGAACTCGTGCAAAAGGCGGCTGTCGAAGGACACGGCTATGAGTCTTCTGAATGGCAATAACTTCGTCTGGAGGCCGAAAACCGTAGTTTACTCATTGACGCCCGTCTTTCGGACAAACTTCACATAACGACAACCTCCTGGAGCTTCTTCTGCGGGCCAGGTCTTCCCGAAATCTTCTAGCGGCCGCCCTGAACCCTGATTGATAGACTCTCCAATCCCAAGAGATCCCCGGCCGATCCAAGTCTGATCCCACGTCAAATCCTCCTCTCTGTTACGTGTGCTTGCGTAAACAGGTGGGCTCGTCAATCGTTATCGCAAACTCAAATGTTCACTGGCCTACAGAGTACAGACTGGTGCTGTCGTATGCCAACGTCTCGCCACTTAACTCGACTCGCACAGGCTGGAGGAATCGATTGACTTTGATGAGACGAACCAAGCGAGTTGGTATTGCTCAGACGGCATCTTAATGAAGACAATCATCCTCAGGCAGATAGATGACGAGTCAGCGGACGACGTTCTCAGGTGCAGAAGCCCAAATGGCATATTGTACCCGCGGGCGCCGCTAGCCCCGGTTTTGACGATTCTAGCCATGCTCGACTCTTAGTACTCCCCGGCTGGACATATTGATATTATCACCAACACCGGCAAGGATATCGACATCTGTTGCGGTTCGCGTCCCGACGATTCCAAATCTCATATTGTTCTGCTCGGGGACCCGTTCTCCAGGTTAAACTCCCCAGAGTCTGGAACATAGGACCTGATCGATATCCATGATGGCCTTCCTTGGGGAAGACTTCTGGGTGCGTGCCTGATGCGGCGACCCCCCAAACCCCCAACCCCACCCCCCCTTGGGGCGTGGGTCTTAGCGGCTCCGTGACGCGTCATCCACCTTGTCTCACATCGGCCCTCCAATGGTGGCTTGCGCGTTGTTCCCAAACCCGTTGCCACTCCACATCAGACTGCGCTCCTTCGTCTCGAACTGCCACAAAGTCGCAGACAAACGACTCTGCGATTCTCCATGCTGGCTTGTTCACAAATTAGAGAGCAAAACTGCAGAACTTCCAGCGAGGGGTGGGTACGAAGTCCACCATACTGGACCATACAGGACTACCTACAGGTGCCCAAGCTTCCTGGGGCTCAAGAAACCTCTCATTCCATCAGTCCATGTCGGCTTTCGGCAGAGTTGCCAAGATGGCCGCCTGCATCGTGACCGGCCAACTGCACTCCTCCCATTTCCCGTCTGCAGAGTTCGGACCGTTCATATTTTCGTTCGGGCTGGATGGTGTTTTGAGGAATTGAGAGTGTGCGGAATGCTTTCAGTTGCTTGGATGGTCTGCTCCAAGACATGGAAACGAAACATTCTCGGGGAAACGCCAGTCGAGAGAGCTGTTGTAACTTGTCGCCAGTGGGAAGGTCGCACGATGAAGGCATTTCCACAATGGGACGAACGAGTACTAACGAGTAACGACCTCGAAAGTCCCGTTTTGACCCCTCTCCCCCGACCATATGAAGACACAGGCATCGCGTTGTACCTGGTCCAAAGTCGGCACAGCCCGATGAAACCAGGTACTTGATTGGATCGTCCTCATCCCGCCTGAAAGAGCCGGACTCCGATTGTCGCGACTTCAAAATGAAAAGGGCGACGACTCCCCTTCCTGCTCATCAACCCGGCCTTGTCACGAGTGTGCAAGATCGCGGCTCATGCTCTCCAAGGCGTGTCGTCTACCTTGGTCTCTCAGCACATCAATCATATTGGTCTCCGCCTCGGGCTGCTTATTTGATTGTCTACTTGGCCCCCATTTTACCCCTTCCTTTGACCGGTGAAACCGGGTCGGCCATGATCCCCAATGTCGAGATGACGAACCATTGATTCGTCCAACCTTTTTTGCCTCTAAATCCTTGTGGCCTTATCGTTTCCCCTTCACCGCTGCCCGCAGACGCCCCGCCCCCAAGTTTCCGGCTGTCCATTTGCAGTTGCAATTAGACGGTAGCCGCGCTTCAGAATCTTCGGGATGACCAGCCTCGGGATCGTCAAGCCACATCACTTATGGCCCAGTCACCGCTCGTGACACGACTACCTAGAGGAACGAACGGCAAAGCAAATCTCTTCCTGCAGCTGCCGTAGTCGACGGCCCTGCTCACCAGACTGCCGGGGCTGCTTGCGTGGTCTGACCCGGTCCATCGTCGTTTGTACACAAGGGAGGGGGGCGGCCAGAAGAAACCTCGAGCGGGACGCGCGTACCCTGGACCCCCTTCCGTCCCTCGCCGTTCCCCCCCATCCATGCAGATCAGACTTGAGAAGAACGACGACAACGACCGCCTAGACTATTTGGGCTAGTGCTATTCGATGCAAGCCCTCTACACACTACCAGCCGCATCTCTTGCTTTCGTCCGCAGACGAGATATTAAGGTATTGGTTCCTCGGACAAAGAAGGGTGCCCTGGGCTGAGCAATACAACGAATCCCAGTGGGATATAGCAGGACCAACTTCTATCCAGAACCCCGGGTTCCCCTTTTTTTTTTTTTTTCTCCCTTCATCTGGTCTTTTGTTCTCTCCATCTTGCGGAATGTGGTGACGAAAGCTGGCTTATAGGTTGCCTTGACCTTGTTCCGGGTCGGCGGTCGTGGACGTAGACGGTATAGTTCACCTAGTCACTCACTGAGAGCGTAGGTACGGGACGGCGGTGCCGTTCGGCGCTCGGGGGTACTTTGTTGGAGGAAGAACGGAATCCATTATGGCCACGACGCCATGCGGATATCGGGACTCCCCCCCTGGTTCGAGGGCGGACGACGACAACGTCAAACCGAGTGAGGCTCTTCTTTGCGCCTGACTCTTGCTTCTCGTAAGCATTGCGTCCAGCGGCGGCTTTCCGCGTGTAAGTGTACACGAGCCTTATGTCACGGGCAGAATATTTTGGTGGTTTGGGATTGACGACGACGCACACTTTGGACGACCGACACGTCGTGGGGGTGGGTCAGGAAGACGTGGTTTCTTTCTTTCTTTTGCACTGCGGCCCATGCCTGTCGGGCCTGTCCATCGTCGTCTTTCATTTGTGCATCATGACCGAGGAGGAGACTCCCGGACGGATGGGCCGGGGGTTGAGAGAGAAACGGCAGGTGTCAAGGTTGTCAAGGTTGTCATGAGTTCTCAAGGCCCGGTGAACGGATGGAGAGACTTTTGACGCCTGACAAGGTTGCCTTACGGCAAGGTTGAGGCTTAAACTACGTAAGCCTTGGTTTGGTTCGGTTTTTGAGCTTGCTTTGGCATGGTGCGGTCTACGCGGCTCCTTGCGGTATACCCGTCCTATTACGCGTGGCGTAGATAAACGTAGTCCCAGCTCTCTCTCTATCTACGGGATGACAGGTGATGGGGGGGGGGAGGACATGGAGGTTGCTGATTTGCCTTTTATTGGCGGCGGGGGTGGAGTTTGGATGAAGCTTTGCTGATGGGAAATTCAAGCAGAGAATAAGAGAGCTCGTAGGTCGAGTCGAGGCGAGTCGAGACGAGGCGAGCCAGCGGTCGTCCCGGTTGGTGGCTTCTTACGCCGGCCTCCGTCTACCCACTACGCGGCACACGACGGCCGGGTCAGATTTCGTCTCTTGACGCGCGGTGCGGGTGGAAGATGGGCCGAGAGCAAACGTCCCTTCTCGCTTGAGCTCATCCTCCTCTCTACCCTCGTGCGGATGTCTTACTCTTGCCAATGTCTTATTGCTCGTTCACTATACCCCGCGTCACGGATTGGTGGGAGGTGGAGGAGATAAGAATATCTGTAGGGGGGGTTCCAGGTCCCTAGTCTTTGCTAGCCTCGGTGTGAAGGGTAGACGACACGGCTGTACGGCATGGCAATTTGCTTTGCTGGTGTTATGTACAATGTAAGCGATATACGCGAGATCGGCTTTCTCGCGTGTGGTTTTTTGGGGGGGCAGTTCCCGTGGCCTCGGATACCTGGGCGGGCGAAGAAGAGAGGATCTTTGACTGGTAGGTCTGACGAGGTAGGTAGAGGACTAGTAGGAACGTTCTACCTGGGTGGGTGGTTGGCTGGTAGATTCATTGGTTGGTTCATGGTAGATGGTGATGTATTTCTACTTGGGACACCATCATCTCGAAGTTGCGATGATACGTAGACAGTGGTGCTTGGTTTTTGGTATGAATTTACTGGCACACATTCATTTATTCGACATGACATATCCCATTTGACTTTTCAAACTCCAAGTTCTAAACTATGAAGAGATTAACCCGACCTTTTTTGCTATAACCGCCTTTATTCGTAAGGTACTCCTACGAACACATGGCCGGGAGAAAGGGAACAAGAAACATGTCGGAGAAAACAAGCGATGGAATGAAGAAAGAAAGGAACCAGAAGAAAGGACCTGAAGAAAGTTGGATAGACTAAAGCAATACTCGGTGTAATACTCGGGGGGAAAAAAATATATTCTTGAAAACTCGCGAGAAACCTGTTGATCAAGGCTCAAAAACCTCATACCACACAACAATCCCATCTGTCGATACCCCCCACCTCAAGTAACCTTCACCGCCAAGACAAATTTTGACAACGAGGGCATTGCGCGGCCCCCTCCCCTCTCTCCACCACTCCGAACCGTCTTGCCCAGTCGTAACGTCCCTCGTCACGTCCTACGTCTTGCGGGATATTCCCTTCTTTTCTCTTTCACAACTGCATAGAGCGTACTCTCAGTCTTCCCATTTCTCTTGTATGCTTCATGACTACTCTTTCCTTTCCCTTCTTCCGAAAATCAGAAGCAAGTACACGTATACACCTTTTTGATGAACCAAACATCATTGACGAAAGAAAAACGGAAAGCTTTCTTGTTTCAACAACAGTTTGCATGGATATAGACGGGTAATGGTAGTGATAGAATAACAACCCACAAGGCCACAAGGACCCCTTCCCCTCTTCCCACCCCCATTGTACATGCGTAACGTGCGTGATTATAACAAGAAAGACAAGAATGTACAATAAGATTCATCCCTCTGCATCATTCGATGCGTCCTTTTGTTTTTACCCCCAATCCATACGCACGAGAAACGAGGCAAACTAGCGCCGGATTCGACCGAGATGATGGGCGGGTTATGCGGAACTAGCTGAGGGCTCCCCTCCCCGGCGAGCACAAAAAATGGGAAAGATGAATGCAGGACGGCGATAGTCTTCCCGGTCTGACTGACTGACTGGACCATCAGCAGCAGCAGTAGCAGCAGACTCTGAAGACCTCGTGGACCACACGCCATCCTCTTGACTCGCTTCCTGCGTCCTCCGGACCTCGCCCGTCGTTCCTCCCTTCCAAGCCCTTCCCCCAACCCCCCCTCCTTCTCAAGTTCTCTCCACCAATTTTTCAACCGTTTTCAACTGCAGACAAGGCCCCGTACGCGGAGACGGAGGTGCCTCATTTTACCTCTCCCATTCTTTGGCGCCAAAGTATCTCGCAGGCAGATCCACCTCCCAAATAGGCCTCTCAACAAGGACGGCCTCGAGAGCGTCCGTCTCGTCTCCATCGGCTCCGGCTCCGGCTCCGGCTCCCGCGCCGCCAGCAGCACCGCTAGAAAGCGGCGCTATGCCCAAAATGGGACGGTACTTGTACGTATACCACCACCGCGTCTTGCCCTCGGCGCCCGCCTCGGTCTGCGTCTCCCGATTCCGGTTCCGGAGGGCCGCGAGCTCGCCGCCTTCGCTGTCGCTGGCGTTGTGCCCCTCCTCCTCTTCTTCTTCGTCGTTGTCGTCAGCAGAATCGCCATCAACGTCCATCGCGTCCTCGTCCTTGGGGGCATTCTTCTCAATGTCGTCCTGCCACTCCTTGCCGGCCTTGGAGCCGACGAAGCGGTCGACCTGATGCGGCACGATGGCGCCGACGTCCATCCGCGCGCCGGCGCCGCTCTCGGGACCGCCCCTGCGCTTGCGCTTCGTGCCGGCCTGGTGCGGTACGAGGGCGGTTTCCGGGTCGGTTGAGCCCGTCGGGATGCCGAGGTCCTGGGAGAGGTCGAGCATGAAGAGGAACGAGACGCCGTAGATCCAGATGCGGGATCCTTGCCAGAGTAGGCCCTTGGCCAGGTCGCGAGTGTCGCGGATGGTGGTGGGGAGTCTGGAGATGGGGTTGCGGCGGGACCACGAGGTCAGGGCGCCGGCGACGGGGTGGAAGGCGAGGATGTGCCACGCTGTTGTGACGGCCACGAGCGTGTAGTCTGTCGTCGTTGCGCCGTCGGTGGCGGCGACTGTCTCGTCTGAGAAGGAGAGCACCACGGGTGGTGCCGGGAGTCTGGGCATAAGTGACGCGCGGGGATTACGAATCCAGCTCTCGCTTGAAGTGGTGGTGGTGACGGCAGCCATATCGTCCTCGTTGGACGAGTCCTCGCTGTCAGAGGACGCTGACGCGGCTTCGTCGTCGTCCTCTGAGGTGGTGTCCTGCGGCTTGCCGAGGACCCAGGTGTCAATGTAGCCGGTCAGATCCGCGGATGCGAGCATACGGCTGTCGGGCGAGAAGACGAGCTGGGTGATGTTCCTCTCGTAGTTACCGAGGCCGACCTGGGACTGCTGCTTGGAGGTCTTGCGGTCCAGGCGGCGGACGACGCGAGGCTTCTGAATGATGATGGTGTTGTTGTCGTCGTCGTCGTCGCCACGGACGACCTTGGCGACGAGGACCTTGGATCCCTTTTGGACTGCGGCGATGTAGTTGCCGTTGGGCGACAGGATAATCTTGCTCGCACCGTTTGAGAAGGCCTTGGGCATGGCGACGGAGGCGAGCTTCACGTCCGAGGGCTTTGTAGGGTTGTGGTGCTGCAGGTGGAATGCCTTGACGTCCGTGCCGGTGGCGGCAACGAGGAATGAACCGTCCGCGGTGATTGCGGCCGACGTGATGTTGGACTCGCCCTTGACGAGGATAGTCTTTAGGAGCTTGCGGTTGTTCTCGAGGCTCGCGTCGGCGTCGGCGCCGTCCGCGCCATAAAGGCCGTCAAATGACTTTTGCAGCTTCCAGATGTGAATCTCTCGGTCCCACCAACCGACAACCATTCTTGCTGAGGGGGCACTGGTGAGAGGCGGTGACTGAGGGAGACCGGAGAGGGTTCTGTGGTTCTCGCGGCCGAGCTCCTTGAAAGGTAGGACGACGGGGGATGCGTCGGGGCCTTTTGAAATTAGTTAGCATGTGTGTGTAATACAAGTACGAAGAAGGAGAGTGTTCTTTACCTCCTGAAATGACAACGCTCATCTTGTTGCTCTCAAAAGAAGCCATGGCCTTGACGTCGTGTTCGTGGTATTTCCTGCTCCAAACCTTGCCCCATCTGGCGCCAGAGCCACCGGAAGTCTTCTTGTACAGAACCGTGCGACGGTCCATGCCGCCGCTCATGATGGCGGTCCCGTCGGCGCTGGTCGCGAGGCTGAGAACGTCCTGCTTGTGGCTCTGGATGCGCTGCATCTGAGTGTATGTCTTGCCGTCCCAGATGCAGACCTGGCCGGTCGAGTCTGCCGAGACAATGTCCCCAGAAGGCAGAACCTTGACGCTCCACACGATTATGTCCTTGGCGCCTCCGGCCAAGTCGGCGCCGAGAGCCATCGTCCGCACCTTGTTGCCGTTGCGCGTATCGTAGGCGCAAATGGTCGAGTTGGAGCAGCCAACGACGACAATGTGGCGGGATTGGAAGGCGACGCTGACCATCTGGGCCTTTTTGCTGGGAGACTTGACAACCATGCGCTGGAAGCGCAAGTCGTTGTCCTCGATGGAGTACATGGCGAGCATACCGTCAATGGTACCGGCGACGAGGCGCTTGACGGGATCGGAAGGGGAGGCGGGAGGCTGGGCAGCGAGGCACCAAATGTCACCGTGCTGGCCGCTGGCGTGGCGCATGGGGCGGCCGGTCTCGAGATCCCATTCCGTGACGGCGGAGGTGTATCCGATGCTGAAGAGACGCGAGCGGCCGCCAGAGACGGAGTCGGCGTCGGGATCGTTGGCCCAGACGAGGCCGTCGACGGAGCGGTCTGCGCCGGAGCGGAGGACGGTCTCCTGGAGCCAGGAGCCGCCTAGCGGGTTCCAGATCTCAATGTCGCCATTGGCGCGACCGACTGCGAGACGGGAGGCGGCTGATTGGGCCTTTGAGCGGGTAAAGGGGTGAGAGAAGGCGAGGGCGTTGATGGCGGAGGGCGGGTAGGGGACGAAGCGACAGCGATGGAGATCCATGGCGGAGGGAGCGCGGGTTGGCCTCAAGGCCTTGCGATTGCGAGTGTTGGTGATCAATTGGTGTCCAAGATAATGGTCCCGCGGGGGAAGAGCTGTTGAAGACAAGGCTCGAGGGGGTCGGCGTCGGTGTGGTGAGGCTGGCGAGGATGGCGGGTTGCAGCTTGTGTCTTTTGCTGCGTCCTGTGTCCTGCTTCCTGCTCTTTGAAAAAAAAAAATCCGCGGCTGCCAAAAAGTTTTGTCGGCGGTCGGAGGATGAAAAATAATTAAGGTGTGGTCTGTGCCCAAATGTGCCCCTCCACCCCGCTGGTGGGACGCATCTGAGAGGACGAGAGCGCCAAGTCGGGAAGCGTTTTCTGAGTCCTCGAAGGAGTTGATTGAGTTGATTGTCATTGCTGTGCGTAGAGTTGCATAGCATTCCAGGTTGCACAGCAACTTGACGTTGGGTATACTAGACCTGATTTACCTAAAAGTGGTAGTTACTACTTGTGTAAGTTCTCGTCATCAGACATCTTTGTGGTTTATGCGTACCTCAACCTAGGAAGAATGTGCTGCTGCTGCTGCTGCTGCTGCTACTCGTGCATTCTTCGCTTACATAAGTCCACTTCAGCCACGGCGTCTTCCGCAACGGCAACGGCAGAGAGTTCCCCCAAAGCGCCATAGAGAGCGTCATTGGCTGCAAACATGGCTGGACCCCTTCCGCAGAGGCTAACGAGGTGATTGTGCACCGGCGGCATGGTCGCTGGTTGTTCGGCTCGTAGGAAGCGCCGCGCAACATCTGATGCGACGGCCATCTCCGTACCTCAGATAAGAAAAGGCCGTCTTTTGTCTTTTTTCTCCTCTCAGTAGGTGAGTAGGTAGGTTTGACTGTGTTTCGTTTTGTTTACCGCCAATAGGAAGTTGAACAATGGGACCCTCAACATGTCAACTGATGCCAACAACTTCAGACAGAAAAGTGCCAAGCTGGAACTCAATTACCTTGATGGTGTCCATGGGATCCATGGCCCTTTTTTTAGCCCCTCATTCCCCCGTCTCTGAATCCCAACTGCGACAAGTAAAAGTCGCATGCAAACTTCGGCAATCCCTGCCCATCCGTTCGCCCATCTGCCCATCTGACAGCCTGTGCCTTATCAATCAGAGCTCATCAATCAGCTTCCGTCGCATCCAAGCTTGCTGGTTTTAGGAGTGTCGTGCAGGTGCTGCTGCCGACTCCCGCAGATTCGTCATCCTCCTCACAAGTCATAACTTTAACCCCTCCCCCTCCCCCTCCCCCTCTTGCTCCGAGCTTTGTCACGATCGCGCCGTTGTGACACGCGTATTCCGACCTTGCCTGCAGACTCTTTTTTTTTTTTTCTGCCCATCTTCCTGCAAACAAGCCAGCCTTTTTTACTTTTACATTGTTTCCCATTGCAACCGCAACATCTACTCTGTAGCTACTGCGCAGAAGTCCAGAAACCCACCGCCACCACCACCACCACCACCACCACAGCAATCGCGACCATGGATTTCAACAGCTCGTCGCCTTTTCCCGAGGGCGTCATATCCTTCCTGGATACTGACCTCTACAAGCTAACCATGCAATGCGCCGTCTTCAAGTACTTCAAAGATGTCCCAGTCACCTACGCATTCACAAATCGCACACCCGAGAAGAAGCTCTCGAGAGCTGCCTTCAACTGGCTGCAAGAGCAAATCCGGAGTGAGCCAAAGACCCCTCCAACCACCAAACCCCCGCCTCCCCGCCCTTCCGCCCTTGTTGAGACGCAAATGCCGTGACTAACTCACTCATGCGCCGCCTAAACAGAGCTCGGCTACATCTCCCTCTCCGACGAAGAGTACCGCTTCCTCAAGACCCACTGCACCTACCTGTCCGACGAATACGTGCAATTCCTCAAGGAGTTCCGCCTCCGCCCGAGGGAGCAGGCCGTCGCGACATTCCACCCCATCGGCGAGGACACGGGCGCCGACTCGGACATTGGCGATCTCCACGTCGAGATCAAGGGCACATGGCTCGACACGATCCTCTACGAGATCCCGCTGCTCGCGCTGACCTCCGAGGCCTACTTCCGCTTCATGGACACGGATTGGAGCTACGAGGGCCAGGAGGAGCAGGCCTTCAACAAGGGCATACGGCTGCTAGAGGCGGGCTGCACCTTTTCCGAGTTTGGCACCCGTCGCCGGCGCGACTACCACACCCAAGCCCTCGTGTTCCGCGGGCTGGTCAAGGCCAGCAAGGAAGGGGAGAAGAAGGGCCTCAAGGGCAAGTTCACGGGGACCAGCAACGTCCACCTGGCCATGCGCTTCGGCATCCCGCCCGTCGGCACCGTCGCGCACGAGTGGTTCATGGGCATCGCCGCCATACACGACGACTACAAGGCCGCGACCGAGCTGGCGCTGCGCTACTGGGTCGGCTGCTTCGGCGGTAAGCTCGGCCTCGCGCTGACTGACACGTTTGGCACGCAGGAGTTCCTCCGGTCCTTCAGCCAGCCGGTCCACCCCCTCGATGGTGACGAGAGCAAGTTCAAGACGGCGGACGGGAGCAGGCTGCAGACGTACGCCGAGCTCTTCCTGGGCGTGCGCCAGGACAGTGGCGACCCGGCCGACTACGTCAAGATGCTGCGGCAGTACTACGACAGCCAGGGGATCAAGGAGAAGAAGACCATGGTGTTTTCCGACTCGCTCGATATCGAAAAGTGTCTCGAGTACCAAGCCATCTCCGAGGCGGCCGGGTTCGCGCCGACGTTTGGTGTCGGTACGTTTTTGACCAATGACTTTGTGCATTTGAAGACGGGGACCAAGTCGGTGCCTTTGAATATCGTGATTAAGCTGAGCTCCGCCAACGGAAACCCGGCGATTAAGATCAGGTTCGTTCCGCCCTTCTACCTTGGCTCAGAGTGTGGCGACATGTGCTGATGAGATTGTGAATAGCGACAATGCTGGCAAGAACACGGGTGACAAGGCGACGGTGAATAAGGTCAAGGGCGAGCTCGGCTACGTTGAGAAGGAGTGGAAGGGTGGCGATGAGACCCAGCGATGGGGCAAGGAGTAAGGCAAGCCGTAGATGTTTGGTACCGCTTGGAGCTCGTCTGGCAACAGACCTCGGGAGAGCCAAGGGGAGGAATAAGATGGGGAAATAGACGGGCATTATGAGATGAGGGTAGGAAGGCATGGTAGAATTGGGAACGCATTGATAATGATGTTTGCAGGTATAGACCTGGCGAGATACCTATTGATAAATGAAGCAGTGGCACACGGCCAGCAGGATTCGCAGATACCGCTTCCTTGTCTATTCGTCAGCAATGTGTCTCTTTTAGGTCTCCATCCCCATGGATATGGCAACGGGACCCATCTCTATGTGGTCTGCTGCAGGTGCAGAAGTCTCTTGGATACCTCAGCCACGGCTGAAGGACCACATAGGTGTGGTATATGCTATTACTTTTCAGGACAAGGCAAAGCCAAAGTAGGGCTCACCGTCGTTCGACTTCCTGCATGCCCCGCTGGTGGTAGTGTCAAGGCATACTTGATCTCCTCTCCCATGAGGTGACAGGATGTGCTTTCCAGAGTCACAATTTGAGATCCTGTCTCATGAGGGAAGTGTACACCCAGTCCCTCCCCTACCTAGGTGAGTTGTGGCTGGCGAAAGAGGAAGATCCCGGGGTCATACGTACATCAGACCCATTACCGAGACATTTATCTCAAGGTACCTTATTTGGTCAGGCAGGTAGGTGAATGTCGTCTGGAGGCAGTCCCAACGTCACCTTCCCAACTCTACGTCTCTCCTTCCTTCGAAGAGGCCACTTAGGCCCACGTCCCAACGCCGTTGCTACCACTAGCACCCGCTCGTAGGTATAACTACCTTACCTAGTAGTCTCCGCTTGAGGAAGGTGTTTGGCATAGTGTTGTCAACTCTAGAACAATTACTCTAATTGAAGTATAAGTACCTGGCTACTGAGGGACGCGTTGTTCGATTCCGGGCAGGGACGTGAAGAAAAGGTCAACTTTCCTGCTTTTGGGAATCTCTCGATAGAAACACTTTCGCACTTTTGCACTTTTGGACTGGTTCTTGACTTGCCAACGTGGAAATTGGTAAGCGTGGAAGGCACACGAGAGACTGCAATGGTTCTTGCCGATGCATCATTATGCACTCTCCCCTCCCTCAAATGAACCACGAGGATGGAGAAAAGACAGATCCATCGCTTCCTGCTCTCTTGGGTTTCTGACTGGAAACCTGGAAGGCCCTATGTCACTTGCCTCCTGCTCTTCGCCTCTTCGTGAAGTAGCAGTAGCAACAGCGACAGCAACATGACGAGCCACATATAGCCAATTCGCCCCCATCCCGCCTCGGCTTCGACATCTTCTTCTCCTCCATACACGCATCTCATTCTCTCCACCATCACACTCTCGCTTTAATTTTGGCTCATTTTCTTGGAACCCAAGTTTTGGAACCTTCATCTCCTCGGGCAGTGCTCTACAGACTACGCAACGCATCTCGTCATTCCACTCATTCTATTCTCGGGCGTTTCAAACCAAAATACACCATCATGCAGCTCCCTGGGCCTTCGATACCTTCACAACGCCAAGGCCAGATGGCAGCTGGCATAGGCCTCATTGTCTTGGCCTTCTTCACTGTCTTTGCTATGACCCAGGCAGTACGGCCAACCCTGGTCAAGCCCAATTTCGCCAAGAGGGTCACAAAAATTGAAGCCAGACAGATTCAAGGGGCCTCTTGGGGACTTCCATGGAACTTCTTTGGCGGCGGTCAATCTGGCCCTTCTGCGAATGCTGCCCAACCCGTCATCACCACGCTTCTCCCTGCGGCTACCCCGGTCACTCACAATAGCCAACAACAGCAAGGCCCTCTCGGCGGCGTTATTGGCCAAGTTGGTCAAATTGGTCAAGTCATTCCCAGTATACTCGCTCCTTTGACTTCGGCCCTTGCGGCCGTGGGAACTCCGGTTGCGTCCGTACTCGACCCTGGAAATATCGTGCCGGTCGTCACCAACGTTGTACCCGTGCCGGTCGAGTCGTCACCCCAACCTGGCGGCGGTCCCGTTCTTCCAACTGTCACCCCAAACGTCGGAGGATCCCACTCACCAGCCAGTGGCGGACTCCTGCCTTCGGTGCAGAGTGTCCTCAACAGCATCATCGGTGTTGGCGGCTCCGTTCTGCCTCTGCCTGCCGCATCTGGACTATCCATGCCTCTTCCGACACAAGTTGCTGGCGGAGTTCCCGTCTCTGAAATCACTGCGGCTTTGGGCAATGGTGCCTCTGTCATCACCAATATCCCACCGGAGCTAGTCAGCGTTGTCTCCTCCATCGTCAACCATATTCCCTCAGTCGTCAACAACATCCCCTCTGCAATTGCCGTATCCACCATTGTCAGTGCCATCACAGCGAGCCCAGACATATCGTCTCTATTCCCTGCCGACGTGCCTATCTCACTCAGCAATGCAATCATTTCAAGCCTCGACGATGTTCTGCGGTCCGTTTCAGTCATTTTGCCGCTTCCAACAACAGCCCCTCAGCTCCCCGACGACTTGTCCACCGTCTTGCCAAGTCTTCCCGACGCCCTTACCAGTCTTTTCGGTGGCCTCATTCCCTTGACCTCTCCCTCAGGTGGCCCTTCTGGTAAAACAGAGAATGATCTTTGCACTTTCGTCAAATTTGAGAGCGGAATTCCCACTTTCCTTGCCGTCCCTTGCTCTGCGAAGGCTTCCCTTGCAGCTACTCAGACGCCATCCTCGTCCGGCATCCCGGTTTCTAACTCTGGAGCCACCTCGGCTTCTTCGCCACTCAGCTCTCAAGGACCTCCAATCTCGGCGGGCGCGTCGCCGTCAGCTCTTCAGTCAGCGGTATCCAACACGGCCAACCATCCTGTGTCTTCTCAAGTTGACACTTCTGCCTCCGCAACAAACCCAACTGCTGGAGCTCCACAGCCGCCTTCAACTGCCGCACCTTCTACTGGCGATGCGAACACGAATCCTCCTGCCAACACACCTTCGACGCAACCTAGAGCCGGAAGGTCTGGCAACAATGACCAACCGCACAATACTGCTCCAGCAGGCCAATCTCAGGCACCTATGCAACCTTCAAACCCTACGACTAACCCCACACCGGGTAAGAAACAGCCTTTCTTGCCCCCCCTACCTTACTGTACTGACATTCCGTTACAGTCAATCTTCCATCTGCTGCTGCTACTCAAAGGCCCGGTCAGGCAAATAGTGGTGCAGCAAGTCTAACGTCAGCATCAGCTCCCGCAATCAGCCCTCTGACAACGTTGACAATTGCTGCTGGAACGCCTGCCTCCAAGCCAAGCGATGCGCCGGCGAATGGTAACGGCCAGACCCCCTCTCCGACCTCTAAAACCGGCGGTTCGATCTTCGGAGTTGGTGACGGACAAGACCCTTCCTATGAGAACAACATCCCACCAGGCACACCAGTCATCCCCATTTCCGATTGTCCAGCCGTTGTTCAGTGCCCTGCATGCCCGGCATCCCCTGCAAACACACCTTCCGGCTCATGTCCATGCCCTGGTCGAGGCTACTCTTGCTCGGAGTGTCTCAACGGATGGTTCTGTCCCCCACAGGAAACACCAATGCAGCCTGCGCCTTGCGGCATGGGATGGCCTTGCTACCACTGCAAAGGAGGTTGGTACTGTGCTCCTGACAGCAACAGTATGGCACCTGCGAGTGCAAACGATCCGCCAGTTGTTGTAGTCACAACGGTGACAGCTTTCATCGTCCCCCAGCCCACTGGAGTTGGCAATGGCGGTACTGAAGGTGATGGCAACAACAATGGCTCTGGAAATAGTTCTGGCGACGGCAGCGACGGCAATGGGACGCCTGGCAATGACAATTCTGGTAATGGAGGCTCTTCCGCTGCATCTACCCCTTGCACGACAGCGAATAATGGTCAGTATACTGGTGCTCCTGGCAATGGCAATGGTGCTGGTTCGACTCCTAAACCCAGCTCAGACGACTCTGGCAATGGGAATGGCAACAACAATCCTGGTAACGGTGATGGAGGCAACGGAGCCACCCTAGGAGCCGGCAATTCTGGAACCACCGCGTCTACACCTTGCACAACTACCGGCGGCCAGCCCACAAATCCACCTGGGCCTGACGGCAGCTCTGGAAACGGTTCTGGTAACGGCGGTCCTGCCAATGGTTCTGAACCACCCGCTGCATCTCCTCTGCCCCCGTCCTCTAATCCCACAGTCAGCCCAGGATACCCTCCCAGCCCTGTCTCACCAGCGGGTAATGGCAATCCAGACGATGGTTCCGGAAATGGGCAAGGCAGCCCCGGTGCCGGCAACCTCTCAACTGGCTACGGCAATTCTCCAACAGATCCTCCCAACGGCAACACTAATAACGGACCTGGACCGAGCAATGGCCAAGGTTCAGGTGCACCAAGCGGCAACGGAGTACCCGCCAATACTGTAACATCGACTCCCACACCCAGCAGCAACGCAGGTGCAGGTGCAGGTTCTGACAGCGGATCTCCGAGCAACACGGGACCCAAAGCCGCTTCTGAAGTCTCTGGCTGGGAGTATCTTGGATGTTTCAAGGATTCTGCCGTTCGAACTCTCGACTGCGATCCGTCCAACTACTTTGCGGGCAGCATGTCGAATGAGAAGTGCATTGCACACTGTGCCTCCATGGGTTTCAAGCTTGCCGGTACGGAGTACGGCAAGGAGTGCTGGTGTGGCAATGCATTCCAACTGGCTGTACGGATACCGGAGGAGCAGTGCAACGAAGTATGCGATGGGCAGTCTACCGACATCTGCGGAGGTAACTGGGCTGTCACTGTTTACAGTGCCACCGGCCAGGCTTTGAGCGTGCCATCCGATGACGATGTCGCCAATGGTGCCGGCGCCGGCAATAACAACGGCAGCGGCAACGGCGGAGCTGGCGCCGGAACCAATGGCGGTTCTGAAGCGTCACCATCTCCTCAAAACCCCGCGCCGCCCGGGCCTCCTGTAGAAACCCCGGCATCCACCCCTCAGACGCCAGGTCAAGGTCAGCCCTCTCCCGCTCCTATAGGAAATCCCCAAGCCAGCATCACTCCTACGGCATCTCCCAATTCTGCGACGCAGCCTCAGGTCGACATTGCGTCTCTCATTCAGAGCATCATCAACTCGCTACCCAAGGGCAGCCCTGATGGCGGGTACGGCAGCGGTCTGGGAGCAAGGGACTCTGGGGCGTCTGGCAACAAAGGACCTGCAACTCCAGGTAACACTGGTGTTCCTAATGATAGTGCGGGAGGTGCGCCGGCGATGGGCCCGGGTCCTATCAACCCTGCGGGTGGACTCAACCCATATGGTGTCGAGAAGAGGGAGGCGGCACGGCGGAACATGAAGCGCAGCAGCATCGTAAGGCGGCGAGCGGCCGCGAAGCTTGACGGTATTATCTGCGACGGAGCAAATGAGTATGATGGCGATTGCTTGGCGAAGTTGCAGGTTTAGAAGCAAAGGTGTTCATGTTATTACGACGTTATCATGATGTATGACTTATGATCAAAGATGCTGGGGGTTCAGCTCAGCCTTTGCGCTTACTGAAAGGTTTTGGGGGAAACAGGCCTTGATGTATGAATATTGCCTGAGTTCAAATGATGTAATGAAACAAGACATTGGACGTTAATATTTGGGTATGCCTTTGTGGATGATGTGCATGCTTGTTGACTTCAGTATGCGATGTTAAGTATTGAAGTGAGGCAGACTGTGACGCCACCTCTTGGCCAAGATGAACGGCAAGGGGTGGGGGCTCCCTCAGCTCGCGCGCTACTGCAACTCAATTGGGGCGTTTTCTGGGGCTGAGAGCCTCAGCTGAGATTTGGTGTGAGACATGCTGGTCAGCTTATATGTTCTGAGGAGGTGTTTACTGAACGGTGAACCTGCGCGAAACGCTGACGGGGTTGGTTATGCCATAATGACTTGATTGATTAACAGGCTAAATCAAAATCCTACTTTGAATGCCGAAGGGATATCGCGTGCTTTTTCTCCTGCTCTGCTGCAATAATTCTGAGCGAGCCATCTTCAGTCGTGCCGTGTTGACCGAGTATTGCGATGTAGTGGTATGAGTGTGTGGGTGTCATGATGTGATTTCATCATGTCGATCGGCCGTTGTCTTTTCATACCTAGAACCTCATAGCCCAGCCATGCTGATTTCATCTCCCGCTTCAAAGATTGTGTTCCTTTTTTCCTTTTTAAATTTGATACTTCCATATATATTAGATCTGAAGAGCACCGAAAGTGGCGGCGGAGAGGAGCAGAGCGCCAATGGTCAGGCCGAGGGTGCTCACGCCGGCAGCAGCAGCGTTGGCCGACGACGTCGAGCTGGAACCCGAGCTGGAACCCGAGCTGCTCCCGCTCCCGCTGGCACGCCCACTACCGCCCCCGCCGGAGGCAACGACGCTGGCCTGCGCCGAGGGCGGCGGATCGACGTTGCCGGTCGCCGTGGCCGAGGCGTTTACGTTGCCATTGTCGCGGCAAAAGACGTCGGTGTAACCCGCCCCTTGCTCAAAGAGGCAGTCTTGGAGGTCCTTGACGGATTGGTCGAGGGCGAGGCAGTAGAGGCCGCAGTTTGCGTAGTAGGCGACCACGTCGGCGTCGTTGCAGCAGGCGGACATTATGGCGGTGTGGTTCCCGCCGTAGGGCATTGCGCAGACGCGGTCGTGTTCGGGGGTGTCGTAGAGGTTTGCGGAGCAGATTGTGGAGGGGGTTGCTGTTGCTGCTGTTGCTACTGCTACTACGGTGGAAGACATGATTGCGGGTTTGATTCGGGATTGGATGGATTTGGGGGTGATGGAGGGGTGTTATGGTGTTCCGAGTTCTGGTATTGTGATTTTGCTGTTCTTGATGCTTTGGGTACTGGTGATGGCGGTTGGGGTGGGTGGAAGGGAGAGCGGAGTGGAGGAGAATCACTCGGACAGAACGAAAGGGAAGGGGGGGAGGAGTAAATAACGAAATATTGGGTTACTATCTGATTGAGCGAGTTCCAAGAAATTTCATTCTTCTTTTTTGTTTTCCCTGTCTTCTTTTCCGTGTACTGTGTATTGTTTCCCTTTTGTCCCTTTCCAAGGATACTTGCCGATATGCGTTGGTGGCTCGAGTCTGACGTTGTGACAACAAACGAAAATGAAGCTGGAAAGACTGTGTGACACCCTCCGTCCCGCCCCGGGTCGTGTCCCAGCTGCAAAGCCTGTAATGCAAGTTTAGTGTCTGGTCTTTCCCCGCCGTCAGCAAGAGGGTTGTCGATCCTATTAATATCCGTAGCGTTGATTGGGAGACTACCGTGTTGAGCGTGGCCCGTCGATCCCTTTGTGGCCCCCCCTTTTAGTCTCCGTAATGGCGTGGTGCTGAATCCTGAAAAGGGAGGATTCCTTTGTAATGGAGGAAAGGGGACGCCAAAGGGGGGAAGGGGGGAAAAGGAAGAAAACTGTCGCGCGTTGTGGCTCCCCAATCCAACTCGCGTCGTTGCATCCGTCCGGCGTGCAGTAGTAAGGTAAGGTAGTTTGGGCCGGATCGGCAGCCAGCCGCGGGTGGGGCTGGCTGCCCCGGCAACCGGGCAATCAGGGAGGGGGGCGGGAATCACCGGGGAAGCACTAACAGCTGGTTCGACGAACATGAAGCAAAAGGCTGAGCGTGCAGATTGTGGCTTGATGCTAGTTGAGTGATTGATGATGGGCGGGGCTCGGGGGGGGGGGGGGGGGATCACCGGGGGAGCGATAACAGCTGGTTCGGAGAAAATGGAGGAAAAGGCGGGGGGGGCAGATTGTGGGTTGATGTTATGTGGGTGATTGGTGGTGGTGTGGGGTCGGCGGGGCAGAGCAGCGCTGATTTTTCTTTTTTTTTTTTTCTTTTTTTTTTTCTTCTTCTTCTTCTTCTTCTTCTTTTTTTTCTTCCTTTTTTTTTTTTTTTTTTTTTGT